AAACACGTGTAATCAGTGTTGTTTTGAAGCCTGCGAGGTCAAAATCAGTCAAAATCAGTCAAAAACACGTGTAATCAGTGTTGTTTTGAAGCCTATAAGGTCAAAATGAGTTAAAAATACGTGTAATTAGTATTATTTTAAAGCCTATAAGGTTAAAATCAGTTAAAAACACGTATAATAGAGAGAGAGAGAAGAAGAAGAGGCGGATAGAAGGGTAGCGGATATTACTTCGGCTAAACTATTGACTACATGATTACTTAGTAAGTCTTTGTTTTAAACGTTTAGAACACTAAAATACACTGGACGCTTGAGAAACCCTCCGGCGGAGGGGAGGAGACGCGTGAGATGGATGGATGGATGGATGCTGCCCCGGCCCTGCGACGCGTCGGGGAGCTGATTGATTAATTAAACACGTGGGTTCAAGGCTTCACGGTATTTGATTGGATGATTCATGCTTTCGTCACTGTCATCAAGTCGAATATCATTGTCTCAATGGTGTGATATATATACAACATAAGATTCCCGTAAAGTGAACGCTGCACTTCTCGCAGCCAATCGATCCCGCTTCCTCCTCTCGATCGATTTGATCGCTCGCACATGACGACGTGCAAGTACGTACGTACGTACAATATAATATATTTATACAGTGTCTTATAGATATGCCCTTGCCCGTTCACATCTAGAACCCCTTTAGTTAAACTAGACAATATCGAACCAATGATCGCGCATCAGTCGTCTAGGGTGAAACATGTCGCCCGCAAGTGCCAGCGACACTCAGATACCCAGCAACCCCAATATATGCCCGAAATGCACACACATATATGTATCCAAGGTACCCGAAAGCGTCAGCCTTCACAAGCCCACATGACCGAAAAACTGTATGAATGTGCCCATGCGTCAAAAACGACCCGTGCGCCCATGATATGCAGTACCAACAAACCAGCATGCAGAGGTATCGTCAAAAGCTTTAACTACCCATATCATGTAAAGAAACCAGACTTCTTCTTCCCCAGACTAAATCTGTTTTTGCCATCCTTTTTATCGTCTTTGCCGGGCTCTAGTGACGTATCGTGCTCGCCCTTGTCCTTGTTCCCAAGCCATTTAGGCTTGTTCCTCAGACTCATGCTGCTGTTCCGGAACCTGCTCAGACCGTGGCCCATGAGGCCTTTCTCTTTTAGATTTTCTTCGTTTCTGATTCGTGCGCGCGGACTTTGTGACAATGCTTCGAATTCGGACGAAGCCTCGGTCGCTTCGGTCGATGTGGTGGTCGTAGTGGTGGTGGCAGTGTTCGCAATCGAGGATTCGGTATTTGTGGTGCCCGTCCGTCGAGCTTCTTCGGCGGCCGAAGCCTTGGATGCTTCAATCGCGGCTTGCAGCTCTTCATCCTGTTTCTTCAGGGCTTCTCGTCGGCGGTCCATTACCGATCGTTGCTTTTCGTACATTTCCTTCTCACGCTCCTTTTCTTGTGCTTTCCGCTCCTTCTCCTGTGCCTTCTCCTGTGCCTTGCGCTCCTTCTCGGCCGCCTTTTCCACAGCCTTCTTTTCTTTCTTCGCAGCGGCATCCGCCTTCCTGTTCTTGGGCGTAGACGACAAGGTCGGAACCGTGGACTCGAGAGGCGAGGTCAAAGTATGCTCGGGCTCATCTTGTGCCGCAGAAGGCGATTGCGGCGACATAGGGGCAGAAGCTACGCGGTCCAGACTGATGAAATGAGGTTCAGTCTCGTCGGTTGGTGTAGTCGGGACAGGAACATGGTGATAGCCATTTGCCGTGGCGCCATTGACTTTCCCTGAGTTGACCGCCTCCTTCTCCCGCTCCGCTGCCTTTTGAGCCGCAGCAAGACCTTCCGCCTCCTGCTCCTTTTGCATGGCCTCTACGGTGGTCTCCTGGTAGAACAAGACGTATGCGCACGCAAGAACGTTTTCGCCACCGAAAAAGTTCCGTACGTAACTTTTGTCCACCGGCTCAACCAGCTCATCATCAAATAAGAGCCAGCCACGATCCTGCGTCTTGATCACGGACACATAATGTCCATGATAAGGTCCGCCGCCGATATGCACCACGACCGCGTAGAGCTCGTACAGTCTATCCGGGTCCTCTGCATCATCTGTGGTATTGAATAACCGCAGATAGTACGGGTAAACAACACGGTGAAACAGCTTCTGCAAGCGCTGCAAATCCTCTGTGTATTTGAAGCGCTTCAAGTGCAAAGCAAGAATGCGCGGTAGCCTCTTGATCTTCATCCTCTTCTCAGCCTCCTGCAGACCACCACACCGGTCGCAATGAAACTTGTTGCGTTCGCACAACATCTCCTCCTCTGAAAACTTCCTTAGACAGGATGTCACCGAAGAATGCTGCTCCAGATCCACTGATAGGTCCAGAAAAGCTTCGTCTCTTTGAGAGGTATTTTCACAGGTAAGGCATCGTGTCTCCGAAGTCAGCGTGCCCTCGAAAAGCTCGTGAACCCATTTGGTGTTGCTTGCGCTCGCATTCGTCGCTATATCTCTGTACATACCGGCGGATACCGATGACGTCAACGCAGACGAGAGCTCTAGTGCAGACTCCTCTGGTTCCTGTGGTGCAGCTATAGCCTTTCTTGAGAATTTCTCCACGTCGTCGACGACCTCGTTCAGCAACAAGTTCAGAAATTCGTGTGCATCTTGGTGCATTGCGGTGCGAAACATTTCGTTCTCGTTCCGCAAGATCTCGAGAAACTTGTGGGGGCTCACGACACCCATTCGCGACTTGTGCGCGATGATAGCTTCAAAGATGTCCTTGAGGGATGCAAACAAGGATTCCGTCATGCCGTAGGACTGAGAATTCTCATAGTCCATATTTATGATCGGGCCGGCGGCCAATATCAGCTTCTTTCTGTACTCTGGTGAATCCTTGTTGTCCTCGGGCTTGGTCCCCGGCGTCGGCGTGCCGTTGTTGGGCGTCACGGGTTTGCGCGCGGGCGAGGTGACTGTTGTCGAAGGTGGCACACCCTTTGCTTTCGTCGGCAGTAGGAGTCCATTCTGCGTAGTTGTCGCTGGGTCTGTATGTAGCTGCGGAAGAGCGCTAGGCTCAGTCTCTTTCAGAGCCTCAATTGGGGTCCTGGCAGGAAAATTGATGACTTGTTCCCGGAAGGGCACGGAGTAGTATAGACATTGTATTATCGAATTACAGTAACTGGGCGTTGTGGTAAGTTATGGGGCGCGAGGCGGCAGTTGTTCGAGAATTGGGGGGAGGGGGCATACCATGTGCTTCCAAACTGCTCAAGCAATGTTAGCACGCATCAGTCGATGAGTTTCGGCATCTTTCGGACGTACATTTTCAATACCAAAGAACTTATCGCTGCCATCGTTGCGTATGGGACCGGCATCCGCAAGCATCAGCTCGAGAGGAGTTGGCTGAGGCGTGTTGGGATCCTTCTTGACAGGAGCTTCTTTGGCAGATGGGGTTGGGCCCTGGAGAAGACAATTAGAGTCAGACGGAGCGACAGGAAGCTGGAAGAGGTTGCGATCATACATCTTTCGTCTTGAAGCGACCCCAGAGTGACGACATGTTGCGCAGAGAGGCGGATGGAGCGCAAATGTGGCGGCGCGAGGTCGGTCAAGGCGTTAGCTGCAAGGCGTGTACATGGATGGAAGCGGATGGAGAGAGCGGAAGGGCGCGACAGGGCGTGTGTGTGAAGGGCCGCAATTGAAGCGGGTATGACAGAAGAAGCAGAGCAGGTCGATGCTGTGAATAGAGGTGAGGCTGGAGGGTGTGGTATGGTAGGAGATGTGGACGAGGTATGAGGCTTGGGCGGCGGATCGGGAGGGTTTGACACGATGCGGTATTATCAGTCTTCGTATGCGTTACGTCTTGCTCTGCTCTGTCTGTCGGGGTCGCTTAGAAGAACCCTGCCGGACCAACAAGACTGGGCTGCGGAGAGGAGGCGTAGAGGTCAAAAGAAGGGCGCAATTCAATATGAGCGCGTCAAGCCACGGGCCCAACAGTTGGGGCGACGAGCAGCTGACGGAGAAAGGAGTGCAGGGGGTGGTGAGGGTGGTGATAATTAGTAGATGGCAGTGATGGCGATGGTGGCGGAGGTGCAGCTGACGGCGGCGGTGACAGCGACTATCGACGGGTCCAAAGCGCGGTCTACATACCCAAACGGTCGCCTGCAAGTAGGCGGGCGGTGCTGCCTCAACTGTTCGCTGCACCATTAGGTTCTGGGATAGAGAGCTGCAGCCTAAGGCCACAAGATTAAAAGGCCGTTGGTCTTGTGGGTGCCTGAGGCAGCCGCTGCTGCTGCTGCTGCTTGGGTTCTTCTTGGTGCTGCACTGCGCTGCGAGCTGCGTGCTGCCACGTTTTTTGGGTGGAGAGAGAGTTCGGGGGGTTTTCTTAGAGGTGGTTTTGGCTGGTTTTGGCTGATTTAGGCTGGTTTTGGCGGGTTTCCGGGGGGAGGTTTCGCGGGTCTAATTAGGGGGAGCCAGTCTAGGGCAGTCTGGGGCTCTCTGGGCTCTCTCCGCCAGCACTCGTGGTCCCTTTGTTCCTGGGTATAGTAGCAGTAGCCCTAGACGTACCCATTCTAGGGACCAATCACCCCCAATCACCCCCCAATAGACACCCCAAGACAGCCCAACACACCCCAGACGCCCCCCCAGACTTTCCCCCCCCCCAAGACAGGGCTGAAATTCGCGCGTCTCTAGCGCCGAAACCGTTGCGACCAAAGGAACTTTCTGTCGAACACCTGTCGAACACCACCCACCGGGTTGGCGTTCGGCGGGCATCCAGTAATTACTATTATTGGTATTATTACTGCATTCAATTACTGTATGGATTATTACTCATCACCAAGGTAATAGTACATACTACTATACTATACTACTACCACAGTCGCGATGCTGGATGCTGGATGCTGTGATGCTGTTACGCCTGCTGCCTGTCCCCCGTCCGTTACTGGCTAGCTGTTCATTCGTATTGTACACTGTACACTGTACACTGTACACTGACTGCCTCTCACTGCCACATCTGTCCCTCTTCTCACCCCGTCCTCAGAATACACTCACTCCACGCCGCCATCCGCCTAGACTGAAAAGACAGCCACGTCAAATCCACACTTCAAACACCATTGCCATGCCTGTGCTATTAATTACCCATTACCATCATCACCGCATCCCATTCCTGCCACTCTCAATCGCCGTCTTGCCGCTGAACCCATTCGTTCGCGCACACGCCATCATCGGGTTCTTCTCCATGTACTCTCTCCTGATCCGCGCTGCCTCTCGATCCCAGATTGCGGCCTGCTCTTTGTACGCCGTCGTTCCGGCCTCGGCGTTTGCTTTGGCGCTGTCTGTTTGCTCGATATACGGTCTCCGGACCTCCTCGCTCGCCGTTCTCCACGATCGTCCGACTTCGTTGCGGATCGCGAGTTTGTCCGCTTTCGCGTTCGGGTTTCCCGTCGCCCTCTGTCGGGCTTGGTCGCAGTCGGCCTTGCACTTCACCCAGTAGTCTTTCGTGTATAGCAGAAATGGATTCGTGCCTCCTTTCTTGGGCTGCACGGGTCTGTCGCCAATCTCTTGCAGTATCGCTCCGATGATCGATGCTTCGTAGCTCTCTTGCTGGGCTCGCGCCAATTGCGTGTCCATCTCGAGCGGTGCATCTAGAAGAGGAATCTTGGCTGGCGTACTATACAGAGGTGCCACAGCTGGTGCATCCTCTGCCTTCTGTTTCCTGGGCGCCAAAGGTGTGGGTACGTTGATTGGCCCTAGTAATGCATCAATCACATCCGACGCTGCACGGAGGCCAGACAAGTACGCTCCGTGAACGGTCGCGGGGTGCGTACCACACGTAGCTTCTCCTGCAAAGTGTAGCGGCCCGATAGACTTGGCCATGGCATCGTAGTCACCCTGCACGCTCTGTGGCCCAATGTATGAATAGCTGCCTCTGACGAATGGGTCGCTCTTCCACCGAGAAACAATCGTTTCGCGCGGTTTCGGCACTTTCCGTTGGTCAAACATGCTGCGCAGCTTCGCAAGAACGCCTTCGACCAAGCTCTTGTCGTCCTTGATCTCAGCCTCGTGGGCTGCGTCTCCTGCCATCAGTGCCACGAGCATATGTTGGCCACTCTGCCGCGTTCTGTTCCAGAAGAAGTAGTATTTCCCACGTCCCTTGCCGTATTGTTTGGTGTCCTGCTCGTTGACGTTGTCTGTGACGTCATTCAAAAGCCCGAACATGTCTCTGTCTTGTTCCCAGAATGGTTCGTCGAAGACGAGGATGATCTAATCAAGAGTTAGTCCTGTACCGTCATGGTCGTTTACACTACAGTCACCTTGTTGAGGAGTCCAAAGCCGAGACGGTCAATGGCCCCTTGTTTCCATCCAGGAAGCGGTGGCTGGAAGACAACATTACCATGTTTCAGAACGCCGAGGGAAGTCGTCACAACCGCCATGTCGCCCTCCATCACTTCCCCGTTCTCACATTCGATTGTTACGCGACTCTCGTCAACTCCACCGTTGTCTTCGTATTGCACACGCTTCACCGAGCTGCCAAATCTCACGTCCAGCTGCGATGGCAGTGAGTAAAGACCGCGAGGGAACTGCGTGTATCCTCCGATGATCTCGCAATGTTGTCCCTCGAACTCGTTCCCTGCATCCTGGTCCCAGTTACCAAGGCTCAGCTGGTTCACATTGGCAGCGTTGGCGTATTCCATATTGGCGTAATGCCAGTTGAGCAGCCTCAGCTCCTTTGGTGTCAAGGAAATGAGCGACTGATACTGGCGAATGGCCTCGTCCATGGTTTCACCCAAAGTTGGATACGCTTTGGATTTCACAAATGCATCCAGATCAATCGATTGGCTCTCCGAAACTCCAGGACGAAGTGTCCATCCCAGCTTCTTGGCTGCATCGGCTGCAGGCTTCAATGTCTTCTCGCTATCCCCCAGGATGTAGCCACGGCCCGCAGTCGATGTCGTATTCTTCTGTCCGGGACGTCTGCTTCCCGTCACTGTCACTGCAGCGTCTGAACTATCGAGCTCGGAGATAACCTTCGTGCCTTCACTGGTTGGCTCTTTCGCCCAGTACAGTAGCTTCTTGTCCCCTTCGATTGTCTTGACTACTGGATTCTTGTTTCTGTATGCACTTGCACGTTCGAGAATGTCGTTGAAGAGACCTTCTACCTGAATGTCATGCTGTCTGTCGATGGGCACACCGTCGTGGTCGTACAGTATTGTATTGTCCTTCAGCGGATAACAATGCAGCGCAAGCTGTCCTCGTACCATCGCTTTCAAAGGATTGCCAGACTCAAATCCTGTCACGATTTGTGCCCCCATCTCTGCCGTGCAGCGAAGGTCGTTCGGGAGGAGATCTGAGCCTTGTTTCTTCAGTGGATGAGAGTATACGCGACCACCAACGCGCTTTCGACCTTCCAGTACGATCACTCGAGGAGGCTTTTCTCCATTTTCCGTGAATCTGTACCCATACTGCAAGAAAAGACCCTGTAGCTGCCGAGCGCAGCCAAGGCCAGATACTCCCGCTCCAATCACGATGATGGTTCGACGTCGTCCTGTCGCCTTAATACGTGTTATTGGACCAGCCGAGTTGGGCAGTTCAAGACATCCATAGTTGATGAGACCACGTCTGATCAGCCAATGATAGGCCACCTCTGCCAGTTTGAAGTAGCGACTTTCCCGGGCACACCCCAGCGCTTCTTCTTTCGTGACCTGGACGAGTGTATTCCTAGTCCAAAGCCGAAGAATGGCATTGCGGATATTGAGATATATCGTGACCTGTGGCAAAGTGATGTGATCTTTGAATAGCTCGTATTCGCCTTTGTGAAGCGCGTACGGGTTAAGACGTGACGAATATGCAGCCACAGCTAGCTCATGCGCGAGGTCATTTGGTGCAAGATCTGTCGGTATCGATGATCGAGGTCGCAGCTCGGCGACCACTTTTTTATGATAGGCGCGAGTCGTTGGCGTACCCTGCTGAGTCACATCATGAATGTTCAGTGCCTCAGGAGTACTTGATGTCTTGATCCTTTTGGCCACATTCGATGACGAAGTAGAATAGGACGGGCTGTCGTTGTCGGATGGATGCTCGGGCTTACTAAGAGGCGACTCGCGCACGATAAGCTTCAATTTCTTGAGCGAACCCGGACATGATTGAGGTGTTGATTTAAGCTTAGTAGCGGAGTCGGCATCGGTATCTGGCGACGTCTTTGTTTTGCCATTGTGGCTCCCTTCACGCCAAGCCTGTGTGTTGACCGTGCTGTTCTTATCTGAAGGCAAATCTCCATTTGCAAACGTCGTTGTGTTTTCGCCTTCTTCTCTACTACTCATGTGACTGCCTCCAGTCTCTGAAACATCAATCAGGTCATTGAAGTGGACCGATGATGGTCCGGATTCGTTATACGGCTCGTACTCGATATTGTCCAGATTCGGAAACGGAATCGAGCCGCCATCTTTCAACTCAAGACCAGTGTCTGTATCATCATGCGAGAGCGGCAGGAGGAGATTCGACTCTTGAAACAGGTAGGATGTGTCGTCGACATTCTCGTCATGGATAGAGCCGAACATGCCTCGGGGTCGCTCGTGATTATGCGACAACACGTCGGCCGAATGTGAAAAATGAATGAAAGGGTCAGAATGTGACCCAGATTACGGCAACGGAAGCGAGAGAAGTGCACAGCAGACGCGGGGAGTCCATCGATCGTATCGCGCAGGAGATGGTTGATATCGCAACTGAGTGATGGGCGTCCTCTGGGGTGCAAGTCGAAGTCGAAATTGCTCGGCAAACCCCGCCCGTGCTGCTTCTTCAACCTTCTTTCAACGACATTACTTTGTTGAGCCTTCCACGGCAACGTCGCCAGACATGTTCCCAGGCAGTTTCTTGAGAACTCCCAAAATGCACTTTTATGCATGTCTAGATATGATGCTTCCTGGTCTTAATGCGGCTACTCGCTGCCCTAGCCTTGTGTCTCCATGTCCACGCCCTCCAAGGTTCTCTACTCTTGGCGACCTCGCCATCTCCGATCTCAAGGTAGGCACCACTATACATCGGCAACATTGATTCCATCGAAGATATCGGTAGTCTTGTGAATGTCGCCAATGCTGAAGCATAGCAAATCTCACTCTGTCTAGGTCTACAACTAGGTATATATGTCGCATATCTCACATGCTCGAACGCGAATAACGCTGACTTCTGATAATAGCATTTTCGCCCACTATAATCTGCGGTTATCCCCAGCCTGTCTTAACAGGATTTAGAAATACTGATTGGACACAAATACGCCTGATTGAATGAGATGGTTTGACGAGGACTTTACTTCACTTCGACTGGTCAGCCCAGACCACATATAGGAAGTAAGGGGTCCTTGCATTCTTTGTCCTGCTTCGCAATAAAACAAAGCTACCGAGACTGCGATATCGAATGGCGAAACATTCGAATTCCCTTGTTTGCCAATTGTTCAACGTCGTTTGACATCATCATCGCCCGGGGTCAAGCAGAACCTATGAGACCCCGCGATTGGTCCACATTGTTTAAACAAACAGAGCGACACAACCCGATCAACTATTATGTAGCGACAACCCGAGCTGTGTTTAGATCGTAGTTCGTTGGTCGCACATGGTAAAAGGTCGTATAAGAATTAGACGAAGTTTTCTGGTCCACCCCTAGCCGAGACGTGAATACAAAACTGCATTGCATACATATGTACACTGAGTATAGGAAATAGAAATTAATATTTACAATGTATGTCATTCTTGATTATTATCTACAGCAAATGGCAGTTTTTATTCGACGATGGCACAGCCGCCAAAGTCGAAAGGGATACTACATGGCCTGAGGCAGCAAAAGCTAGGACCTGGAACCTCATTCATCCGCGGCATCGGAGGTTGAGATCAACAATTCTTTCCATAGTCTACATTACTCGCAAAGACAAATAGATTGAACACTATCTTCACTATGGCGCAGATTCGCAAATATGCCAACTTGAATCTGCCAGACCTCGTGCGTTCCGAACCATCAAGTACGATGCTTCAACTCACATGAACCAGGATAATGCGCCGGACGTGTACGAAACTCCAGAGCTCACAGAAGACGCATCAACGCTACAGGTAAGTCTAGAAGCTGAGTACGCCCGGGTCCACGAGCTAATTGACTCCCAGGACTCTACAGTACGCTCTCCTTCCCCATCCCAGGACGGCAATGCCTCAGACGACAACTCAGCGGTCGACCGCCGACGCTTCAACCCGACATCAGCACGCTCACACTTCCGCCCTGCCCGCGTAGACGCAAACAACGTAGACTTCTCCGACCGAATCAGCCACCACAAAACCTCCTACCGGACATCCCATCGCAGACGCCGCGGCAGCAATGGCCAGTACGGCGACCTCAGCGACGACGAAGAGGAAGAAAGCAAAGACCGCAAACTCGCCCGCCTACGACGCGAGGTCGCCGAGCTAAAAGACCAATTCGACGAAGAACAAATGCAAAAGCAAGAACAGTCCAAGAACGCCGAGCTCCCAGAATCCGACCCACACGCCGACATCAACCGCCTCGCCGCCCTGCTCGACAAATCCTACATCGAGCGTCACAACCTCTCCCAAGGCGCCAGCGAGCACTTCACCGCCACCCTCCAGAAATACGCAACATACCACCACCACCCATCAACCCAGCACACATCCACCCCAACCCGCATCCCCCTCCGCGCCCCTCCCGCCGCGCCCCCACAACAGCAGGAATACCTGCTCGCCCAGGCCGCCGACTTCGACACCCGCCTCGCCGCGCTCGAGGCCACGCTCGGCCTAAACAGCATCACCATGCCCGACCTCGGCACCAACCCGCCCGTCTTCTCCGTCATCCAGTCCCTCGAGCAGCTCGACAGCCAGCTCTCCACCATCGCCAGCACCACCCCGTCCACGCTCGACGCCCACAGCCGCAAGGTCCGCGAGCTCATCTCCGACGCCGAGAAGCTCGACGCCATCCGCAAGACGAACGAGCTCTCGGCCGCTGCGAGCGCCGCGTCGGCGGGGAAATCTACCGCTGCTGGTGCCGGTGCTGGTGCCGGGCGCCGCGGCAGCGTGGCAGACGAGGAAGATAAAGCAGAGGACGAGGACCCGGAGCGTGTGGCGAAGATTAACGCGTTGTATGGCGCGCTCGATACGATTGATCGGGTTAGTCCGACGCTGCCGCTTGTGCTGGAGCGGTTGCGCTCGTTGAGGCTGATTCATGCGTCGGCCATGACGGCGGGCGCGACGTTGGATGCGGTCGAGAAGAGGCAGGTTGAGCAGGAGGCCGAGATCAAGGGGTGGAGGGCCACGCTGGACAAGATTGAGGGCAGGCTGGGCGAGGGGGAGAAGGTGACGGAGGGGAATATCAAGACGGTTGAGGGGTGGGTTGGGGATATTGAGAAGCGGATTGCGAAGTTTAGTTGATGCTGGAAGAAAGCGTAGCGAGTACGGTCGTAGGGGGGGGGGGGGTAATAGCAAAGCACAGCGCGCATCGCATCGCATTGCGAAGCATCGACTCATTCTTATCTAGCATTCATGATGTGTGCATAAAGTAATATATACCCCAACTCAGATCAGTAGCATTTGTGACTCAAGCCTCACGTCCTCTCTATGTACATCACCACCGTTAATCTACCAAGAGACTACACCGTGAACAACACACTGGCGTTCTTGTACCAGCTCAACAGAGGGTTCTCCCCATTCTTCGTCGCCGTTTCTTCAATCAACGCCCAGCTCTTCATAAAGTCTTCATGCGCCACCACTTTGGTGAGTTTGCCCGTGACGGCGCGGTAGACTCCTTCGGTAACCTGGAAATCGGTTGGGAAGAGGTGGTCGAAGTAGCCTTGGTGCACCTACGGGTATTATTAGCAATCAACACTTTGGTGATGAATTTCCATCGTGGAAATGGCTTACCAGAGGAGTCGTCACGGGCACAGTCTTCCGCTTATATCTCGTCTGCACGACCGGCGCATTCACGCCCTCGACTGCGTCCGGCAGGCTGCTAAAATCACTCGTCACGAGCCGATGACCGGGGAAGTAGTTATAAAGCACATCGAAAAACTGCAGCAGTCGCGTCGGGATATACTCTGGCTGCGTGAGGTGCATGCCTCCTTGGAAGAGATTCCTGAGCTTTCGCTGATACACGCCCTCGCGGAGCGGATGTCGGTATTCCATGTCGGCGCAAGCCTGCTGCCGCACCCGCAGGAACCGCTGCGTCAGCTCATCGAGCTCCCTTGTGTAAAACTCGAAGAAATCACCCTGGTCGTCGATGAGGGCGTACGCCTGGTATGCTTCCTGGGTTACGGAGTCGTAGCGCAGGGCGTCGTGGGCGAAGTTGTCGAAGACCTCGAGCGCGAGGAAGAAGCAAGGGGACGAGACGTACGTGTCCCAGTCGAAGATGGAGCGGTTTATGATCTCGACCTTGTCTGCGTGGCCTCGTGCTGCGGCGGTGCGCTTGAGCTGATGGGCCTGTAGACTGGCTAAGGAGGTGGAAATCTCGATGATCTTGTAGCGCGTGCGTTCGTACACTTCGGGATGCACATCGCGGATGTAGTCGAGTATGTTGATCATGAGCGTACCATTTCCAGCACCCATCTCGTACAGGAGGAGGTCGTGATATGGGTATAAAGCCAGCTTGTAGTTCTCGACAAGATAGCGAGCTATAGCTTCGCCGTAGTATGGCCTGAACAGCTCTGTCGGCGTGTGCCATAGCTGACGCGATATGTTTATTGATTCCTTGTCCAGCTCGTCCTCGAATTCGGTATATCTCTGGCCGAGTAAGTTGTGGAAGTCGCGCTCGCTCTTGAGTTTCACGAATTCGAATGGCTCTCCGGGCGAGAAGATGACTGCTTGCTTGGAAAAGTAGCCATAACTGGGGTTATATAGACTGTCTGTGGAAGCTGTTAGTTCTACGTTTCCACTCATATGGCCAGGAGTCCTCTCCGTACCTTCAATGAAGTCCCGCATGAGCATCTTGACACGTTTTGGCCTTCTCTTTCGTGCTTTCAGCCATGTGGAGTCCACGATTGGGAATTTACTAAACTCCTCTGCTTTGTCTTGTTGGAACACGGCCGATCTTTTGTGCCAATTACTTTCGTTCGTCGGGGCACGCTTGAAGAGGTCGTCCGATGCATATCGTCGTTGTGTATTGCTAAGCTGTAACGTGCTCAGGCGATGGCGTTGAAGACAAGCTCTGTGTGTGAAGAGCTGTCGAAAGAGCTGTGTGACTATTGGGGAATCCATGTCTCCCACTCATCGAATTTTTGGCGTGGAATATGGGGAGGACGCGGGTAACAACTGGTGCATTGCTTCAGAATATCATTATGAGCCGGGTTATATCAGTGAGAGATTGAGGAATGCGCAACGGCTTCAGATATGGAATATGGTGAGGTAATTGGGCGTTGATGGAACGCGGAGGAGAGCATGAAGCTTGCATATTGATGGATGGACCGTGCGTTCTCCGCAACCAGAGTACCTACTTGGCACCTTTCATACTTGTACTGATGCCCTGACATGTACGAGAACATCATTGTCTGGTCCGTAACTCGGTATGTACATGATATACTCTTTGCAAGACCATGTCTGCAGCATCTGTTCGACTTGCTGTGGCACGCCGGTGCCGAAGAGTCCTGGTCCGCTTCAATCTCAATCTCACAGTCGACACAAGTGTAGTTCTAGGTCTGTATACATTGTAGCGAAGCGCTGGTTCGCAGTCTCGGTCCACTACTTCATGCAAAACTCACAGGCTGTCCATATCTCGTCCGGAAAACCCTCTCCGACTCGGATCGATGTTACACCAGTAATTCCGTCACCGGATCATTCCACAAAGGCAGAGCGGGCCATTAGTTCCTCCGACTGTGCTCCGGAGAGACAACATAATTAAGGATTTAGACTGTCGCCTAAGTCCGCCCTAAAAGCCGATGTGCTTCAAACTTCAAACCGAATGCGAAGCGGGTCGGATCTGGAGACTCAATCGTGCCATTCCTACTCTCGACCGGTTGAATACTTTCACATCGTCAGCGGGAATAGCTTCCAGCTCCGACTACAGCAACTCGGAGACAGTTCTGTTTTGATGCGCCGCACGAGTGCACGATCATTGTATATAAAATGACTTCGTCCACCAGCAGAATGTACTTTACTACAGGATTAAAGCACTACAGCTCTCGGACAGTCGACTCACCTTCATCTATACAAGATCTGAATCAGAAAACAGAGACAGCTCATCGATCATGCAGTGGCTAATTACTGGTTGTTCCACGGGCCTAGGCCTCTCCCTCGCACGCGCCGTACTTTCTCGACCTGGTGAAAAGCTGATTGCCACATCTCGCAACCCACAAAAGACTCCTGATCTCGTCCATGAAATCACCAGTAACCCGAACGCGGTATGGGAGGCACTCGACGTTTCCGCCACCGATCTGGAGGCCCGACTCGATGCCATCATCGCAAAGCATGGTCCAATAAACGTGCTCATCAACAACGCTGGCTATGCAGCCGGTGGCATCTTCGAAGCCAGCCCTATATCCCTGGTCCGCGAGCTATACGAAACGAACTTCTTTGGTGCAATGCGCGTGATGCACAAGCTCGTTCCGCACATGCGCGAGAACGGGCAAGTAGGGGTCATTGTCAACGTCACGTCAAACGAGTGCTGGGAAGCACACGCGGGATCATCGGCCTACACATCGAGCAAGTTTGCTCTGCAAGGTCTCTCCCAAGCCCTTGCGGCCGAACTTGCCCCCTTCAATATCCGTGTCTTCACAGCCCAGCCCGGAGGCATGCGGACTGCGTTCATGGAGCCGGCGAAGGTGGAGAGTTTGGCGACCGAAATTCCAGATGCATACAAGGGGACGATTGCCGATTTCACGCTCCAGGCAATCAAAGGCTTGCACAGCAGTGCACGGCAGGATCCGGATAAGACTGCGATTGCAATTGTCCACGAGGTCCTCCAGCCTAGCGAAGGCCCCCAGGGGAAGGTCCTCAGGCTTCAGCTAGGGAGTGAGGCAGTCGCTTCTATGGAGAAGCAATTGGAACTCATACAGGCGGAAAGTGACTTGACCAAGAGATGGGCTATAGACTGTGATATTTAGAGTCGCACTTTGGTGAATCATGCATATGGCCCCTTGTTCAAGGTTGACCTGAGTCTCTGATGTCAAAGCTTCCTTGTTGACTGGGTTGGTGTCACTAGTAGTATCGCAATATCTCCACTCTCAGTTCAATCTTTGTTACTTGCCTTGCATATTGATCCTCGAGCTCGTTGACCCCGGTCTTGTTGCCGATCCTATTCACCTTTATTCCAGTCCATGTCAACTAGGAACTAACTATGTGCAATATGTGATAGAGTGCATTGAAGGTATGTCATGTGAAAAAAAGGGAACGATAGCTCAAAGCAGACCTATGCACAGAGCAGGTCTTGTAGTATATTTCCCTTGCTACATAGTATCAAAACCAGCGTTTGCCCCAGATGAAATAGAACCATAAGACGACAGTTCTATGCTTGCGGCTCTGTCTTACTACATTCCTTCCTTCGTGTTTTTTCCACAATGTACGTAAATGGAGATATCTCATAGAGAACGATTCTCAATGTTGATCTTATGACGGTACCGTATCCTGTATCTGCCAAGCTTCTTATATTGATAGAGCTAGAGATATGATGATTGAATTTGAGATGTCATCCCAAGACTGACTTTCACTGAGTAAGGCCAGCAAGACGGTATAGAAAGCTTCCTTGTACTCAATTCCTCAATCTCTCCTTTAATGCTGATATATTCATTATTTCCATGGCTGGTGTTGAACGCGCTCGGTGGGACAACAGAATAGTTACGCAACCTAGCCAAAAGAAGCCTTGTTCTGAATCCCATGATGCTATTGGATGAGATTTGTTGCGTGGAAAGAGCTACTCAAGCTTTCGATATTAACGCAATTCAAGTTCAACTTCCACGCGACGATGCGCCTTATGGTGGAGACCTTGGACATTCAACAAATGCGAAGATCATTTGTAGTAATTCAACTCAAATGAGATTTCCTCATGCGTAAAAGATGATATTGAAGATCGAATTGTGGGGTTTAAATGAATTCTGGAGGACGTAACGTAAATGTGAACTTTGCTATATATCGAAAGTGATGCGCCTGACATGATACAAGGGGCTCCTCGAGTAAGAATTATAGCTTCTGCTAGACATTAGAAAGATATCCCATTCTCTTTGAGCTAGGACACGTTGACGTCTGGTAAAGGGTGGAAAAGCAGGAAGTGATCACATTTAAACTGTTACACATATGCATCATAACAAACACAGGTCTACTGAGATCCCGTTGCAACACACTTAGCACTGACAACTCTTCGCCCACAAATGCCTCACTCCGCAACCCACTCCTCACGCCAGAAATCTCTCACATCTTGCGCCCCTTGCGCCCCAAGGACTTCCTCCAATCTGCCCGTTATCCCTTGCATACTCTCGCTAGTGGAGTCCTCCTCAGCAGTACTCATAGCACCGTGTATGAGATCCTTCAAGTCGACATATGCGTCCGTCAGAGCAATCGCCGCGTCTTCAGCGAGCGGTGGCGTGACAGTGCAGTAGGGCAAGAGCTCAAATGCGTGTGTGGGCTTGCGCTTGCCGGGTCTTGAAGCTGACGGAGGCGTGTTAGGCTCCGAGTAGGTGCTCGGGTTAGGGAGTGGTGCGGTGACGATTTGCCGATACGCACGAACGATGTCCGGAATGGACGATGCCAAAGGCACGGGAAGTATAGGGAGATGTACAAGTGGCGTAAAGGATGCTGAGGGCTCGCCTTGAGACCGAGGCGCACCGAACAGCAATGTTGAAGTTAGGTGTGCGTATGCAGCGAGCGCTGCCGTGGTCGAGCTTGAAGCTTCGGTGTTGTCTTTGGTGGAAGATGTTGAGAGCATGCAGAGGACTGCGCAATTCTTCCCACCCGTGAGACTGGCGAAATGTTCTATGCGCTTGAGTGTGTCGAGGAGAGAAGTGCTGATGACGCAAGGCGGAGTGACGATGAGAAAGAGCAGACGCTTGGAATTGGAAATTGGGATGGCAATGTCGTGGGTGCGGAGGTCAGATTCTTGGGGAAGCGTTAGTACTCGTAAAGGACTATTGGTAAGGTTCACCTATGAGCTGCAGACCCGCGGGAGTGGGCAGTGTCAACGTTGAGATGAGAGGTGCAGCAGAAGAACGTCGACGAAGGCTTGTGCAGAACATGATGTGTCGCAGCTTGTGGGCATGAAGAGACGCGGCAAAATGAAAGAGAAGAGAAGAAGTGGTGACGTTGAGACTGAAATACGAACGACACGATATACAATGAGAATGCCGTGACGTATGTTATACATCTTCCGTAAATGCTGAGTCCTGACTCCTTCTTTTTGTAGACGTATGTACACATGCTTATTGTAACTATACAGAGGTGAGATTTTTGGAACGATGCGGTCCCACAATCAGGCTTAGCAGCTACTTATCCCAATGCGTATACATGGCATTCGATGCTATTAGATGTCTATTGGCCAAAGGCGCGTCTGCGTTTGGCCGAGATGTTGAGTAGCGATTCTCCTAATGACGCGATCCGTCCAAGACAATCGAAAGCTAGCGATTCTGTCTTGAGTAGCCATCAGGTCGGAAATAGGCCGTGCAGCGAGTGTAGATTTCCATTTACACCTTTATATGGGTGTTATGCCTCTTTGACAGGCCTTCTCTCGTCGTGTTCAGCGGCCACCTTGACTACGGAAGCACTCTTAGCGTCTTGCGCTGTCTCTAACCCACTCTTTACAATGCCAGAAGTGCTATTTTTCTGGCGCTCTTCGTGGAGCTCCGTTTCAAGAGTACGAATGGCGGTCTCCAATGCCTCCAACTTCTCGTTGACATCGTCTCTTCTGTTGCTCTCTTTCCTCCTGGACCTCCAGCTTTCGAACACGATTATACTGGTGGCTACCAGGAACAAGAATGACTCCGATATGAAGTTGGCACCTGAATCTATGGCCTTTGATTCTGAAAGAGGTCGAATGCGAGGTTTCCGCGCCTTAATTTTCGCCTTTGCTTCCTCTCTCTCTTTCTCGGTCATGGCCTCTTCCGCCTTTGTTTCCTCTTCTGTTTTGACCGTCGGTGCTTCATCTCTTTTTCTCCTTGCCTCCATTTCTCGGACCTCACGTTCAATCTGCCGATCTATCACAGCCGGGTCCTGTAGCAGTCCTAATCGCATGCGCATGTCGATGCGGTGCAGGCGCTGCGCGAAACCGACGCATAATTTGCGGAACGTTTCGTGCTCGCGGGCATTACGTTTGATGTAATTCTGTTGCCATAGTAAGCTTTATTTCCGACTACTGTAGAGGTAATGATTGCATACCCCAATGGGCTTCGCCAAGGTCCTGATGACCAAAGACCCAATCTTAAGAGTGAGAGACATGGCCCGACTCTATGGCGACCGCGCTCACAATTACGCGCACATAATCTCGATCGAACACCGAATCGTGCTGTAGAGCGTAGACAGCGGAGGCAATGCAGTGAAAATGATAACAATGTCGTCTGTGTCTACCGCTGCCGAGTGTCAGATCCATGAGTCGTTTGCGGTAGCTATGTTGGTTGTACAGTTAGGGCACGAGCACGGACCTGCAACAGCTGTGGTGGTAAGGAAACTGCAGTCGTGAAGAAATCTATAGTACGAACCGACGAGAAGTCACACTCCACAGGCACGGGCAGAGAATGACATTGTCAGTCTAAAATCTATTCATTCATCTCCTGCTATCCCGTCTACATTTTCCAGATCCACGAGCATCGTTGCAGTCCTGGGAGCATAAAGACTCACGGGCCAATGGATGGATCAGATTATCGGCACGCGCCAAGCCCCGATGTCTGCATACCCCTGCCCCTAGCAACCGAGCTGTCTTGTTTACACCACTAGTCAACCGACACCGCGAAATCTTAGATATACTTGAGCTCTAGAGAACAGCATCGTCATCCACAACGTGTCGGACTCATGGCGACCGCAAACCCCTCGCATGCTGCAGCTCCTCCTGCAATTGTTTGCGAGCCGCAGCAATTCAAATATGCCACCAAAGGCGAGCTTGGGAAGGGCGGTTTCGCCATATGCCACAAAGCAGAACTACTCGAAGACGGAAAACCTACCGGTCAGCTGTATGCGTTGAAGATTGTCAAATCAAAGATTGAGCCTGCAAAGGTCGCCCAAAAGGTTCGTTGAGACCACGTGTATTGCCGACTGCATCTAATTCAATGCTAGTTTGTCACTGAACTGCAGATACATTCCAAAATCCAGCACCCCAACATCGTCGAATTTTACCGGGCCTTTTCATATGGATCTAGCACCTATGTTGTCTTGGAGATGTGCGAGAACGGGTCGCTGGCAGACATGTTACGGAAGCGGAGGTGTCTTACGATGCCCGAAATTCGAAGATTCATTATTCAGACGTGTGGAGCCATTAAATACCTACACCACCGGAATATCATACACAGGGATTTGAAGACTGGCAACTTGTTCCTTGACGCGAACATGAACGTCAAGGTTGGTGATTTCGGGCTGGCTGCTGTGTTGATGTCATCCAGCGACATGGGCGCAAGAAGAACAACCATGTGTGGCACGCCGAATTACCTTGCACCTGAAATCTTGGAAAAAGGAGGGAAAGGCCATAACGAGAAAGTAGACCTGTGGGCCATTGGTATCATTGCTTACACCCTTGCGGTAGGGCGAGCACCATTCCATGCCCAGAAAAGAGAAGAGATATACAAGAAGTTGCAATCACGAGACTACACGTGGCCAGAGCTCTCAAAGTCGCAGAACGATATATCAATGGAGCTACGAGAGCTTGTAAGCTCGTTGCTTGTCCACGAGGATGAGCGCCCGAGTCCCGACGTGATCGTCAGTCACGATTTCTTCAAGCTGAACTGGATACCGCCGCATCTACCTACAACGACTAAAAGTACTGCACCTACCTGGCCCAAGCCACAACCTCCTTCGCCCGCTACTAGGGAGAGAGGGTTCTCCGATGGATGGTGGCGATTGTGTAAAGAATCCGGGGTGGGCCAGTATGCACCCGGAAAAACATTTCCAGTGATTGGTAGCAAGAAGATGAGATCAATCTTCCGGGATTGTCAAAAGGAGATTGAACAGGGACGGCAGCCGATATTACCAATCGCCTCAGACAGTGTTTATCTTCCATTTCCAGAGCGAACCAATTGGCCATATGCAAACCCAAATTCATTGTCTGATATATCAGAGGAGAAGGAGCAAAAACCTAGCGGACGCCATCTGAAGACTGTTGAAGCCAACGAAAGGGTTCGGCGGGCACCAATTCAAAGGATCGAGGAAGAGCAATCCTCCTCTTCCAAGGAGAACGTCGAGCCAACTCAGAGCCGACGAGAAAAGGCGGCGCCAGCTGAAAAGGTTCGGAGAATACCGTCAGTACGGAAAATTCGGGAGGAAGAAGAAGCTCTGGAAGTGCCGGCCCCCCGAAATGTGAGGAACTCAATCCAGATTGCGAAATCGAGGGCGAAGACGTCCACGATGAGGCGACCAGTAGAGCATGTAGTCTTGGAAGTCGACCTACCAGTCGATAACTTAGCCGAAACACAGAGACCAACGACAACATCGATAAGGGTACAATCGGCAACAACGGCGAAGAATCTTTCCGGTCATACTGCGTCACGCCGAGCTGCTACATCGAAACCATTGCCTCCGGTACCAAAAGCGAGCACAACGGTGATTCCTGAGACTGACCCTTTGGCGGTCCTAGAAAAGGTCTCCATCCTTCGACAGAATATCCAGTTGGCGCTCAAGAACCGGTCATCTTCTGGACGAAGGCATGCAGTCGACCAACAGCTTCCTTTTGTCTCTAAATGGGTCGACTATTCAAAAAAGCATGGTGTTGGTTATGTATTGGCGGACGGAACTATAGGTCTTTCTATGAGAGCCTCACCCAAGAATCCCGTCACTCACGTTCTTATGCGCAACGGAACGGACGGGCTCTTGAAGTTGGTCAAACATCCCGCGTACTTGGAAAAAGCCGATTTTGAGTTCTATGTTGACGGCGGTGCGGACGGCATTCGAGTTGGTGCTGTAGAGAACGACAGACGCAAGGCTGCCATCGTCCTGTGGTCTAAGTTTGCCAAATACATGTGCCAGCAGCTTGGCCAAGCAGAGAGTCAGGGTGAGCCGAGTGAGGCTGGGAAGACTGCGGACGTCGTGAGATTTTATCAACGTCTGGGTGGCGTAGGGATCTGGGGTTTCACTGATGGTTCTTTTCAGGTTTGTTTTCTCGAAAATATGCAGCACCACTTCACCTACTGACACGTCTGTTAGTTCAATTTTCCAGATCACACGAAACTCGTTCTGTCCTCAGATGCAACGTACTGCAACTTCACATGCCTCTCGATCGAGGCAGCACACCACATGAAGAAATACGGCTCTTTGCCGTTTGAGCATATTCGTTCCCGGATGGTAGTCACTACAAATTTGCGCAGCCTCCTTCATGGTAACAAGACTGAAGATGGTCTATCCTACCGGGACATCGGGGAAGCTAACGTACTTGACCAAAAACTCGACTTCATTTTGAGGCTCACGGAACAATGGCTTCGTGCTCGAGGCCTTGGCTGCACTCCCCCTGGCGACGAAAGGCTGAGATGGGAAGGGCCGCAGCTGGAAGATGGAAAGAGACAGGACTGGGTCACTGTCGGGCGTTACGGTGGTGATGAGGATTCTGCAGAGTGAATCAGGAGGTCTTTTTTTCACGAGCGTTTGATGATTGAGATGTCTTCTCCTGCATGAGTAGCGTCGGCGTCTTTGGGAAACTTTTAATGCGCTTGTGTCAGCATTTTGGTTCGGCGTTGTAAACATTGGCATAGTGAGGTGTTTTGGGACATTCTGTATTCGCATTGCAATGTGCTTAGGTGTTAGAGTAGTCAAACATCTGATACAGCCTGCTTATCTTCCATGTAGGACGGCTGTAGAACTGCACATATCGCGGTGAATGTGACGACCCTTCTTTCCATGGTACTCCGCGAGTCATAACGGATACCTTGTGGCTGAGGCCAACGCCCCATGCTTGGCATATTACGTCTGGCGTATTGTGATTGCGACGCCTTTTGTATTGTCGTCTGCGCATTACGCTCTTTCATTCCTCGGATACTCTCTCCTAGCAGCGCGAATCACAGGTCTCTCTCATTCCATTTCCCTTGTCCTTGTGGTTGCGCCGAACAATATAGACATCCCTCTGGATCTCAAGCCCCACCGCAACGGCCCAACCCCTCGAAATAGTCGAATGTTCAAGCAATCACGGCGCTGAACTGAAGAACCTCACAATTCGCTATTCATGGTATGTTCTAACAGAAATCCCCTCAATTCCCATCCATGTCAATGTGGAACTCATTCGTCCGGGGTGTAGGCAGTGACAAAACGAGCCGGCCGCAAGAAGGATGCTGGGGGTGCCAAACAACAAGCTGCAGCGGGTGGTAGCAATGGGAAAGCTATCTCTAAGAAAGCAGTATTCGAGGCCACAAAGAAGAAAGAGGTCGGAGTTTCGGATCTCACATTGATCAGCAAAATCAGTAATGAGGCCATCAACGACAACCTCAAGAAGCGATTCGAGAACGCAGAGATATACACATACATAGGTCATGTACTGGTGTCTGTAAATCCATTCAGAGACCTGGGCATATACACCGACCAGGTTCTGAACAGCTATCGTGGGAAGAACCGACTGGAGATGCCTCCTCACGTATACGCCATCGCTGAAGCATCCTACTACAACATGAACGCATACAAAGAGAACCAATGTATAATCATCTCAGGAGAGTCAGGCGCCGGAAAAACAGAGGCGGCGAAGAGAATTATGCAATATATTGCAAATGTCTCGGGTGGTAGCAATTCTTCCATTGAGGAGGTTAAGGACATGGTGCTGGCAACCAACCCGCTCCTGGAGTCGTTTGGAAACGCAAAGACGCTCAGGAATAACAACTCGTCTCGATTCGGAAAGTATCTCGAGATACAGTTCAACTCGCAAGGCGAACCCGTTGGGGCTAATATTAACAATTACCTCCTGGAAAAGACTCGCGTGACAGGGCAGATTACGAACGAAAGGAATTTTCACATCTTCTACCAGTTCACAAAGGCGGCGTCGAGTAGTCACAGGCAAAATTTTGGAATCCAGGAGCCCTCATCTTATCTATACACGAGCAAGTCCAAGTGCCTGGACGTTGATGGCATTGACGATCATGCCGAGTTCAAAGATACTCTTAATGCTATGAAGATCATAGGACTGAGCCAAGGCGAGCAAGATAATATATTCAGACTACTATCTGCAATTTTGTGGCTCGGAAACGCAACATTTAAGGAAAACGATGAAGGTAACGCTGAGGTTGCAGATCAAAGCGTGATCGACTTCGTAGCGTACCTTCTCGAGGTCGATTCAGCCCATGTCCTTAAGGTCTTGTCGACCAGAGTTATGGAAACCAGCCGCGGTGGCCGAAGAGGATCTGTATACGACGTGCCACTCAACATTCCACAGGCTACATCTGTACGCGATGCCCTGGCTAAAGCTATTTATAACAACATGTTCGATTGGATCGTGCAAAGGATCAATGTCTCCTTGAAAGCGAGAGGTGCGAAAGCATATAATATTGGTATCCTAGATATCTATGGTTTCGAGATCTTCGAGCGCAACAGCTTCGAGCAGCTTTGCATCAATTACGTCAACGAAAAACTGCAGCAGATCTTTATTCAATTGACGTTGAAGACTGAACAAGAAGAGTATGCGAGGGAGCAAATCCAGTGGACGCCAATCAAATACTTTGACAACAAGGTCGTATGCGATCTCATCGAGGAGCGAAGACCGGCTGGTGTATTTGCCATACTCAATGACGCATGTGCGACTGCTCACGCAGATCCCACCGCTGCTGATCAGACGTTTGCCCAAAGACTCGGAACACTGTCATCGAATCCCAATTTCCAACCTCGTCAAGGCCAATTTATTGTAAAGCATTACGCCGGGGATGTGTCTTATGCCATTGACGGTATGACTGATAAAAATAAAGACCAGCTGCTTAAGGACATCCTGAACATGTTTGGACAAAGCTCGAATGAGTTCGTCCACACATTGTTCCCGCACCAAGTCGACCAAGACAGTAAGAAGCGTCCACCAACAGCTGGAGACAAGATCAAAGCCTCGGCCAATGATCTTGTAACCACGTTGATGAAAGCTTCTCCGTCGTATATCCGTACCATCAAACCAAACGAAAACAAGTCCCCTTCGGAATACAATGGTGGTAACGTCCTGCATCAAATCAAGTATTTAGGTCTACAGGAAAACGTTCGTATTCGCCGTGCTGGTTTCGCCTATCGCCAAACCTTCGAAAAATTTGTCGAGCGTTTTGCGCTATTATCACCAAAATGCTCATACGCGGGAGAAATCACATGGACTGGAGACTACAGATCAGGTGCTCAACAGATCCTCCGGGACACACATATTCCTCAAGAAGAGTATCAAATGGGTGTGAGCAAAGCGTTCATTAAGACCCCAGAGACGCTATTCGCCCTAGAAACTATGCGCGACAGGTACTGGCACAACATGGCTATCAGAATCCAAAGAGCATGGAGAAACTATGAGCGATACAAGGCTGAGTGCGCGATTCGCATTCAACGTTTTTGGAGACGTGTCGATGGTGGAGGCGAACTAATCAAAGTCCGTAACGAAGGTCATCAGATTTTGGGTGGTCGCAAAGAACGACGGAGATACAGCCTGGTCGGATACCGGCGATTTCTTGGAGACTACCTGGGAATCGACAACAAAGGCGGTCCAGGTGAAGTTATACGTAACGCAGTCAACATTGGCAGTGGTGAAAAAACTCTTTTCTCCTGCAGAGCAGAGACATTAGTGTCCAAACTAGGCCGCTCGAGCAAGCCGGAGGCTCGAATATTACTCCTCACCACCAAAAACATCTATATCGTGAAACAAGTTCTGGTCAACAACGCGGTTCAGATTCAAGCAGAAAGGATTATGCCCCTCGGGTCGATTCGCTTCATCAGCTGCTCATCACTGAAAGATGACTGGTTCGCCCTTGGCATTGGATCTCCTCAGGAAGCTGATCCTTTAATCAGATGTGTGTTCAAAACGGAGTTCTTCACCCATTTCAAAATGGCTACTCGATCTTTAGATTTAAGAGTAGGGCCTACTATTGACTATAATAAGAAACCTGGTAAAGGTGCATCAATCAAAACCATGAAAGACCCTGCAGTTCCAAGAGACGACTTGTACAAGTCTGGGACCATCCATACTGGACCCGGGGAACCGCCCAGTTCAGTTTCTAAACCAACACCTCGGGGTAAACAAATTGCAGCCAAACCTATCACCAAAGGCAAGCTTCTTCGTCCTGGTGGCCCTGGTGGAGGTGCTGGTAAATTGAGCCAGGCGGCGGCCGCACGAAAGCAAACACCAGCTACTTCAACGCGTAACACGACTCCAAGACCGGTGCCAGCTCCTGTCGCTGCCTTAAACGGAGATGCCGGTCATATAAGAAACACCTCGACCGGTGCTGCGCGCCCCCCACCTCCACCTCCACCTGTTGCTGCTCCGCCACCCAAAGAGCCTCAATATAAGGCAATGTACGATTTCACCGGACAAACTGCTGGCGAATTGAGCATGAGTAAGGATGAAATCATATTAATCGAAAAGAAGGAAAACAATGGTATGCCCGGTCTAATTCTTACTCCCTACCTCACTAACTGAAGAACAGGATGGTGGCTCGCCAAGCGCCTCGACGGCTCAGCATCAGGCTGGGCGCCATCAGCATACCTTGAGGAACATACGCCGAAACCCGCACCACCTCCACCTCCACCCGTCGCACCGCGCATTGTGCCAACACCACCTACGGCGAATGGTACAGCTGCGAAAGCAAAACCTACGCCGCCAGCACCACCAGCTAAGAGACCCGCTGGGAAACGAGCAGTTCCTGCAGCCCCGGCTGCGCGCGATAGCGGATACTCCACAAACGATACTCCGAGGGATAGCAATGGAAGCATGGCTGGAGGTCTGGCAGAGGCCTTGAGACAGCGACAAGCTGCGATGAAAGGTAAGAGCGCTGACGATGACGAGTGGTAGTCGGCACTGTCAAGCGTTTCATGAGGTTCAGTCACTTGGGATGAAATCGTGCCTGTGGGCAGATTCGTCATGGTAGAACTTGTAGATAGAGATGGATTTTTGAGATACCTTTATTCCCCGTGTTGTGCTGTGAATGTGTAGCATGGTTTTATTGCGGTCTCGATGACATTACTCTAGAAATCCCAAAAGGTGATTGCACCATAGCAATGCCAATGGTATATACCTTCAGAGTTGTGACCAGACTGTCATGTCTTCAAGCATGTTGCAATTCATAATAGGAGCAAGAAAACAAACTCGAATTTAATGGCGACCATAAGTACCGAATTCATAGTTTCAGATCGATGTCATATAATACTTCCTGATATACTGCTAATGCATTATATACAAAATATGAGAAGCTCACTGGTTGTTATACCCTCCCCTTGAACTCCGGAACGATGCTATATGAAATGGTTCGTCAAGCCGAACTGATCAGAAATCTACATATTTGTAGAACTCGTACATCTCATCGATCGAATAGGGGTACGGATATCCGTCGTCATCTGGCTCTAACACCTCTGATCCGTCTGATTCTGTACCTGTGGCTCGTTGGTATACAGAAGCAGCTGGAGACTGTATGTCACGGTCTTCCAAGATGCTGGACTGAGCTTGCTCGTCTTCTGAGCGAATGACGATAGGGTTAGCAAGGAGATGCGCGGCACCCGGTCCATTCGGCCAGTACTCTCCCCGACCCATCTCCTTGGGAGGTGTCTTCTTGTCCCAGGCTTGGATCTCGGCTTCAGTCAGCTTTGGGACCTGGATATACGTAATCTATGCTACCTGTCAGCGATTTGTTGCATGGTGATTGGGGCACGCTCCGATACTCACCTTGTCAACCTTCTTGTCGGCTGGTCTGTTGCCGTCGAAGAGCGTTGGGAACTCTACCTGCCACCAGATGCCGTCGATGGGCACCGGGTCACCACTCATCAGGTCTGCATTTGTCATCACGAAGACTTCGCCTTTGCATTCCATCGCCATGGCCTTGGACATGGCCATAAAGTATAATCTTTGGCAGCCGTTGATTTTGTTGTCGTAGTCGGTCTTTTCCCAGTCCTCGTATATGCATCGCGACTCGGGCGATTTGTCGAGGTCTTTACCGTACGGGTAGTACTTTATGTCGTGAAGGTCCTGTGAAATGGTGTTAGTCTGCCGATGTGGAAAGAGAGAGGCGATGTGCCATGTACCCATATAGTCTGGAAGGCTTTGGGGCCTTCAACAGCGCCGAGTTTGAGCATATCGTGTAGGACGTAATTGGCGGTTCGCTCTGCTGCACCTGACAGATGCGATGTGTAGAACAAGCAAGGAGCCGTGCAGGAATCGGCACCTGCCTTTCGGTTTGCCCGAAATTTCTGTAGCGGTCAGTGTCATGATGGGTTTATGCCATACATAATGTATCACTTACATCTACAGTGACGTCTTCCATCCGGAAACACCTTCCAACGTCGCCGAATAGCTTGCCGCGACATTCATTATCCGGTACTCCAAACTGTGGCCCCTGAGGATTCGAGAATATGGACGCGGCAATCGCAATTCCAGCTCGTTTTTCTAGTGGCCATGGCGTAAATCCAGGCTTTTCTTCGATTGGTAGAGAGGAAGTTAATTGGATATAAGCATAGCCCAACAGGCTCAACAATGCAGTCTTCATCGTTCCTTGAGTTGTCGTAACGGTAAAGAACAATAATACACCTCGACCAACCTCAACGAATGGTACTGCCGATGAGATGGGTGAACGATGGTTGAGGATGCAGTAGAGTGATATGGAGTGGCATTCTAGCGTTCTGAGGATGTCTTATAACAACCTCATAAGCACCATTATCAGTCCCCAAGACAATGTTGGGCATGTTTTGGGCTTGACTTCTGGTGCTGAAACAAACGAGGCGGCATGCTTGAAGAGGCTGTGTTGATCTCACCACATTGTTTTCTTTCTCTAATTTAGAAAATTAGCAGACGTTGGTATTCCAACAGCTCCGATGACTCTGAAAGAACGTGGTGATGCTAAATACAGTAAGACTGTGCCTCTAGGAGTCTGTTCCTCCCTATGGCGCGCTGTGTACAAATTCGAAATATGCGACAACATAAGACCCAGCTTGGCAGTTGATGCCAACCGTGTTTTCTATTTGGAGACCCAAAGAGCTCTATGATTGAGGGCATCCTAGATAGGGCAGATCCAAACATAGATAGGATCGAAGCCCACCGATGCGGCCCTTCTCATGCAGGCGACTCGTCTCGGTGTAGTACCACTACTGGTACCTGCAGTCCCGATACAGCGAAACATAATGACTGCTTTTAGGTCTTACTGTTGCCATGCTGAAGTCTGTGGAGCTGCAAGGGGAGGTTAGGGGCTATGAAGGTGCAATGACCATGTGAGCGACAGGTACAAGGCTCCTTTTGGCTATGCCGGTGCGTAAGGTAAGATAACCGAGACCCAAGCCAAATGTCTGACCCAATCTATAGTCCTGTATCTGTATTGAGTCTGTATGGATATAAGTGGAATGTAGATGAGATCTAATGGAAGCGTGAAAAGGCTGGGTTCTCTTGGCAGGTCGCACTTATGCAGTCAGCACAAGGGGTGAAAACCTTGAAGGGGGAGGGTATCCGCTATCTTACTACCCATGACGAGCCAAGACTTTCAAGACATTGGCGGAAACGCAGGGCACGAGGCGACTAAGCGCTAGATACTGACGGGGCGCAGCTCGGCGACATTTGCAAGCATACGGCAAGATGGGAACTTCCAACTTTTGGAGTGCGTGTGCAATCTTCGGAAACTCATTCGAAAATTGTCCATATTCGACGTATGAATCTTGTCCGACTCCCACAAGTATGCTAGAAACATCATTATGCTTTAAGGAAGCACGTGATGCGCGGCATAAGGGCGATATTAACTTGGACGAATATGTGAATCATATCGTGGCTCATTATGGAACTGTTAAACACGACTCTGATGTTGAAGGCAAGAGGCCATGGTTCCCTATTGGTTTCGAACACGAAGTCAGAGAAATAGTTCTTCGTGAAGACCACCAGGCGGTCAATGAAACTGGTACGTTGAGAGCTAGGTAAAAGGCTAGATATGCAGAATCTACTAATCAGTGTCATTAGATATGGCTCGTGTCTATGATATCTTCATGTCGGCGTTCAAAGGAGATAGCGAGATTGTTCGGATACAGCTCAAGGATTTAGAGCATCTGGAAGGCCAGTTGTTACGTCCACTGGTCGCGGTTTCTACACAAGAAGGATTCCCAAAGCTCTTTAATGTTTGTCTTGAAAAGGGGTTTCAGCCAACCGAATATATCGATCAGCTCAGCATCATGAGAAGCGCGCGACGCAAACACAGCTTGGAGTGGCTAGAGGTTCTCTTCAATGCCGACTTTCGGAACTGGAAAACAAACAGAGAAAACTTATGCCAGTGGAACACGTGGTCAGAAATCTTTCGTATGGGTCCTGAATGCGTCCGTTGGTGGATCGATCGTGGATGTCGCACAAAGAGTGCTAGAGGCCTTTTCGAACATGACTCTACATGGCCGGGTGTCGCGACATTCAGTGTTTTGTTGGAGGAGTTCGGAATAGACTGGTTCAAAGACTCGGGAACGCTTCAGATCGCTGCGAGAAACAAGGACTTGGGCACTGTGGCACTTCTACTAAATGCGGGAGCAGATGTGAATGAAGAGGTGACGGACTGGTCAAGAGACGTCCGTGAACATCGAGCAGCACCGTTAACAGCCCTACATGAGGCTCTATATGCAAGATCGGAGGAAACGGTTCGATATTTGGTCGAGCACGGTGCTCGTCTCCCCCGCAAGTATGTGGCTGATCCGTACAATCTGGTGCCGAAAGATGTGAAGGTTTTGATGGGCCTGGTAGAGAGCTTGGGTGCCATTGGGAGTAACACACAATTGTGATTACTCTATTCTCTCCCCTTTTGAGAGTCTATCGGAAGTAGTAGTCTAGATGGCGTATGAGCTTGATAATACTTGGTGATGAACTTGGTGGATGATAAATTTGATGTGGCTGACTAGCGTATCCGTAGTATGCCTTAGGCAAGAATATCTATCAATACTTGATCTCGTGTTGTTCACCAACGAGTGACAATGAGATTGAGGCTGCCATTCAAATGTTCCTCAGCGACAGAGATGGCTATGGGCTACTACCTCCGTGTTCGTAGCCCTGAGCTTGGGCACATATTTCAAGACTCATCACAGACTTGATAATTCCCACACTTGATTATGTTGAATCTGGGGCAAGCCGTCATCGCATTTCGAGGATATGTGCATAAGTAGTGTATGCCCCATAATTAGTCAATCCAACTCTTATTCCCTACTTGTGGCGTTATCCAACTGGATTGTGCAGCCAGCTAGACTTAGCCGCCTCGCGAAGGGACCTAGAAATGCATGGCGTCAGCTTACTATATACAAGGTGCGAATGCGGCATCGCACAACATCAGCCATTTTGTAGGTACTTGAAACGAATGTTTAGAGGATCTGGACCCTGGATGTAAGTCTGGATAGCCCTTTCTAGACTTTCGCTCTCCTGTTATTGAATCGACGACTGCACCGTTGATGTTCTTATATTAGTATCACGAGGCTGAGCTTCTGGGCATATTGTACGCTGTAGGGCTGCATGTGACTTGTTCCCATAGATGACCAGCAGGATCCAAGTAAGTGTCTGTAGCCTGTCGTATATATACGCACAGAAATCCCTTCCTCGTCGTAATATCCTCTCATACACCCATCTATCCAAGGCCATTCATTCAAAAGTCTGTTTCTATCTAGTCTTAACCAACAAGACCTTCGAGCCACGCTTTATTCTTTCAAGCTTTAAGATCAAGACAAGAGATTCAGAATGTCGCCATCCTCTCTCTTTCTTACTCTGTTCCTCTCAACACTGTCCTCAGCGTACATACTCACGCATTACGCCGGCCCAGGCTGTCGTTCCCAGAGTCTCGGCCGGACAGAAGTCGCGGTGGACCCAGCTGGACCTCCATGCCATCAGGAATTCGCCGGTACAGCGGCCAGTCTTATTGTCGCACCAAACGAGAACGACGACGATTTCGGGAGTGTCGTTGTATTTTTCACAGGCGACGACTGCAAACCTTCTGACATCATCAACTTCGATGATGAGGGTTGCATGACGGGAAACTATGGAAGCTTCCAGGTCTGGGATTTGTGGAAGGTGGATGGGTTACAGACGCCAGTGTTGTCGTAGACAGATCCGGGGAGCAATTTTTTCCTAACATGTTGAAATTTGTTTTCGAATGGGACTTCTAGGCGTAAATCTATACATAGCTTATTGTGATTGAACATGGGTTTCTTTTGATAAGCTCTTCCAACCAATTTCCTAACAAAGACTTCAGTGGTTTATATACATAGCAGAGTTAGAAAGATCCCTCTTTGGGATACAAAGCATGCAAATTCACGTACGTGCTAAAATCAAGTTTGAACGACATCTATGAGGGCGATATTCCATTGATGAATATAACTCTGATTGTAGATGCTCCATGACCCGCACAAATATACGCTCGTGTCACACTGTTGTCGTGTTGAATGATGGACTCTATCGTTGTTGTTAATCTTTCATCCGTGTATATCAGAAAGCGGGGCAGCTGCACGGTAGCACGTAACTACCGAGATTCCCACTCATGTAAGATGGCATACAAGGGAGGGGTCCAAAGGCCCGGGGAGGGGGGTGGTGAGATCTGGCCCCAACCAAGATATTCTGCTTACGCCAAGAATTTAGACAACCCGCTTACAACTAATACCAAGTAACGTGGCTATGAACTCTAGCTTCCGCTCCTAAGAACTTCTACCTGTTTTTAGAATCCTCAGATTTAGCACCCGTTTCAAGTGCTGTAACTCAATGGGGAAATTGAGGTTTGGCTGAGACCATGCTAGGATCAAGACCGCCGACGACGTGAGATACAACTTGAAGATGGAGCACAGCTACCAGGATTCACAAGGAATCTCCAACTACTTCATCAGCTGAGCATAAAGTTGTTACCGGAAATAAACATCACTGAATGAAAACAAATGAGTGGCTGAGTATCAAGCGTAAACAATGAGACTTGAAATATCTTAGTGTATATAACGGGACGAATGAACGTCCCAACGGAGCTCTCACTCGCCTACACACTGACAGCGTCACAAAGAAGTCTACAAGATTCAATATGCGTCTTTCTCAGCCTACAAAAGCCCTCTTTCTCTTGATCAATCACCTTGTTGCCGCGCACACACCTCCGATTGCCATAGCACCACCACATCAAGTTCGCGGATCTGGCAAAGTGCAAGCCTTGAATAATTTCAAGCCACGAGGTCAAGTAGACTATGATGCGGGTCTCGCCGCTGTCGGTCTTCTCTCAAGAGAAGAGAGCGCCAGTTGCGACCGCAAAGCCCGCTGCCGCAAGAAGAAGATCCGCAACCCTTCCGACCCTACAAAGTGCATCCGCTGCCCGCCACTAACGAAGCCCGACCCAACTCGTACAATCTGTATACGAGACAAAGATGTAAGCGAAGACGACAAACGCAAACAATACGAGGAGAAGATCAAAGAAAAGATCAAGGAGAAAGCGAAGCAGTTCAAAGATAAGATCCAGGAGCGTATGGACAAGAAGAAAGAAGAGAAACAGAAAGAATGGGAAAGGAAGGATAAGGAGCGCAGGGATACCCGGAACCAGAAGAAAGCTCGCCGTATGGCAGTCTGCTTACCCCTTGTTGCCGCAGCCATTGGCACGCAGGCCATGTTAGAACTTGCCGATGGTGGCTTCTCTACGGATCTTCTTGATAGTATCGATATGGACCTTTTGGCGCTGTGGCCTGGCTCTGACATCCCAGACGATTTCATCGACACAGGTCTCCCAGATGACGAGAAGGATATCCTGGGGGAGGACTTTGCAGATGAGTTTCTGAAAGTTGGCGACATTGCATCGGAGGCTGCTAGGCGCAGGTCTCTCGAGAACAGAGCCACCGAAACTACTCTTACTAATAACGATATGCAAGGCAAGTCCCCTGAGCAGAAGCGCTTCCTCAACTTCATCATCCAAGCTTTTGTGTCCATTGGAATTGCCATTGGTAGTGCAGCTGCGAGAAGTGCTGGTGCGATTGGTAGTGCGGTTGCGCGAGCTACTAGGTTCTTTGCCACTCGCAAGCCAAACTTGAAGAAACCAGGCGAGTCCAAGTTGTCCAGACAGCAGCAGAAGGACAAGGCCAAAGAGGTTTCAAAGAATAAGAATTGGAACAGATGCTTGAAGGGTCAAAAGGCCGAGAAATGATCCTGCACACTCTTACGTCTTGGTCCCTCTTCCCGCTTACATTTTGTATCTGTATACTTCGGACCTCAAGAGGCTTGAGAATATTGGCGTAGAATTTGATTTGTACGTGTACTTGAACTATCCGATGATACCTACGAACACTAAGCGTTTATTTTCGTAGTCCCGGAACCACTGTTTATGTGCAATGTTTATCGTTTACTTTCCCGGTGTTATCTCATCTTAGCCCCATTCGGCATCAGAGAATCTCTGAATCGATGGCAGGATTGGAGAAGTGGTTGCAACATCCCGATCTCATCCTCTACCGTACAGTAATTTCGACAAGTGTGTCTTCTGATAAGGTAGAAACATATGCAAGTCTAGGGCTTGATATAAGGTCCTTAGAATATCCCATCTCGCCCAACCACTTTGCCTCAGACTCTCTCCCTCACAATCGCCGCCACCGTATCTTCTCCCAAATCCTCCAACCCCACCAACTTATTGTCGTGTTTCATTGAAAAATCGTTCCCGAACCCCTCTCCGAACGTCGCAGCTTGCAACATTGGGACCGCCCAGCCATAGAATTCTCCAGGATTCTCTTGCAACTTCTCATACCCTTCCTTCTCTCTTTCATCACTTCTCACGTGCTTGAGATCCCAACCATCGGTCCCTGTGAATTTCTGGACCAAACTCAAAAGTTTGTTCTGTGTCATACTAGTCCCATGAAGCCTCACAACACTGTTCTTCGTCTCCAGGGAGTTCATTAATACGCCGACTATCCCACTTGCGACAAAAGATAACGGGGTCGCCGTGTACACGTGCTCGCCACCGTCGAAAATCTCCATCTTCCTCTCTTTGATATTAATTCCAAAGTTGTTCTCCAGGTCCCAGTCGAAAAATTGGTTGTTACACAAAAGCGTGTATGTTGTCATCGTCCCTGAAGTTTTTTCTTTCACGTACTTCTCCACAGCTACTTTGTCCTGAAAGACAGGCAATGTCCTTGCCTTTGCGTCTGCTGGGTCGGAGCCGTATTCGGATGGAACGATACGCTTGACACCCGCGGCGATGGCAGCATCGATAAGGAGTCGCTGACTTGCCATCCCTGCATAACCGACCGTACACACGAGCGCATCCATGTCGCGAAGAGCGGAGGTTAGACTGGTTAGAGAGGTGTAGTCCACAGCGACGACGTCGACTGACGATGGAAGTCGCGTGTTTGAGGTGAGCCGGGTCAGGACTGTGACAGTGAAGTTGGCGGATGTGAGCGCAGAGAGGGTTGCAGTGCCGATGGGACCACTTGCGCCTGCAAGAGCGACATTATGGATACTAGGCATTCGGATTTGAAGGAGCGGGTACTTTGATTTTGTAGTTTTCTTTCGCGTCAAATCAACCTTATGAGTCGAATTCGTGTATAGCTGAAGAGTAGTATAAGGGATTTATTCCGATGAGTGAGGAAGTGTCTCCCTTTTTACATCCCCATCTCTAGACGGCGGCGATACCGCTTTACTAACGCCGACATCTGTGGCTCTCTGTGCTATAGTGTGTGCTTGGAGAATGATAGTAACATATCCCTTATGCTCTAGGCATATCACTAGGGAGGAGATTGGTAAGATGACAATACAGAGATATGGGCCGACGTTAACGGAAATATGCCAAGTCTTGTGATCCCGAGCCCGATCCCGAGCCCGAGCCCGAGCCTGCGCCCGAGCCCGCGTCCAAGTCCGAGCTCGCAACAAGACCCATGCACTCCTCAATGTACAGTCAGGGATAGGTCTGAGTATACCAGGGTTACCGTCTTGAGTCTTCCACAGTATCGAACCACGTATTCCAATCATATTTCAACACGTCATCTTCTTCGAAAATGTGGTTATCGAAAATGGTGTTGGCACTTGACCCAAGAAAGCTGTCAAGGCTGACAGAAGTCGCTGCTTCGAGTTGGTGATCGACCATCGCTCCTGACATACCATGTACCGGAGAACGGGGCCTCTCAATATTGGTCGATTTATGACCACAGGAGGAGCTATCAACTGCAATTGTGTCTGCAGACCCAGATGTCGCCGAAAAGATCATCTGGTGCCACCGCTCCCGAAAGCTTGCATCATTAAAATACGCCGGAAAAGTGGTCGAGCTCAAAGGAACAGGCATATGCTCACTGTCATGGTGACGAATTTTGACGGCCCACATTGGACACGCTTGGAGTTTCTGTATTGATTGCTCACGACGTGTACGGGCAGTTGCTATCAATCGCTTGAGAGGCACCCACGTGCTTGGATTCTTATAGACTGATGTTTGGGTAGGAACTAGCCACGGACTTTGTAATGCTATCCATGCTCTTTCCATGGTAGGAGACCATGGGTGCTGACATAGGTCAATGAGAAGATAGACGACGGCGTGCCAATGCTGTTGTGTATGATACACCCACTTCCATGGTCGACAGCTTGGATCTGAGCACAAGGCGTGATGATGCTCAATCACTTCAATGGCCGCAATAACTAATTTGCTGCGTAGTGAGGTCGATATGCTCTTATCAGGAGTGGTAAATAGCGATGGAAAGAATGCTAATAACGTAAGCCGTCCGAGAAAGATGCGCATGGTACCTGCAGCAGCAATATAAATGCTGTGTTGCGATGCGTCCGTCACGGCAAAGTAATCTTGATCGAGTTCTTTGGAGAGGTTGTCGAGTCGTTTGACACGGTCTTCAATTGTGTCTGTGGAACTCGCTGACATCATTTGTTGAGCGGTCCGCGTGATTTTCGAGCAAAGCCGCAGAAGGGTGATGCTAGTCACACCCTCGAGCTGTCGTGGCGTTTGAATCATAGATGGCGAGATATCAGTCTCGTTGGTGTTGACTGGCAACTGCGTACTGTGACTGCCTTCTGATATACCTAACTCTGTGCCTTGGTCTTCAGTCGCCCGGAGATCGAGCGCGCAAAGGTTCCACCACAGCCTACGTTGCATCTCAGCTTGAAATGGTGTCAGATCTTTTCCAGATGAGCCATCTTCGTGGTATCTAAGGAAACGAGCCATTCTGATCAAGATCCCTGTCATCATAAACACATATCTTGGAGGGTCGTCTTGCCGGGCGAGGGTCATGAATATAGTGACAGCCTCAACGAGGTCATATGATGGGTTGTTCAAGAAGTCTGCTCGTACAAGAGAGCTTTCTAACCCGATACGATATCTTGTCAGAAGCTCATTCTGGGATAGACCCAGACTGGTCTGTACTTCTTGTTCGTCCATCGAACAGACAGCCGCGAAGAAGACAGCAAACATCAAAGCATGGTTGGAAGATGGTGTACTTTGCGTGAACCCTGTCCGATGCTGTTGAAGAAGTGATCTCAATGATGTTAGATGCGGGATACCCACGATTGAATGTATCCTCTCCGCATAGATTTCCAGCAGAAAGGGTAGCTGGGATGGCAGAGGTAGAAGACTCGCCGTATCATGAACCTTGTCATTCTTCGTGTGCCTTAGCAAAAATGCAGGCGTATAGCACGCGGTTTGTGAGCGATTTATCATCTCAGAGCTTGAAGATGACGACGCAGTTGACGTCTGCGCGTCGGTCATGTTATGATCATGCTCCGTACTTGTGTAGTCGATCACAAGTTCCTTCAGGCTCTTCAATTCGTCATCGATGTGAGACCAGAACCGAATGCTCAGGTTTTGACCTAGATCAGACGACTGTGCACTATGTTGATTGGACTGCCTAGGCAACACAGCAAGAGTTGGGGAATTTCTCAAATGTAGAGATTCCACTGATGGATCTGATCTGGCGTGTACCAGCTGGCCTTCCAAAGTGTGTACTAGAGCTTCCATCGCATCCAGTCTGCTAAGAATCTTGCTAACGCCTGATTCGGTCGACCTACGTTGTGTAGGGAGATGAACAACATTGCTTGATGATTGAGGTGGGTTATGAGCCGGACTTCGAGCTGCTGGAGCCCATCGTGGTCGCCGGCTCACCGCTGGTGGTATACATTGTATAGCAGCGCGTTGGCATCTATCGCATGGGGTTTGTTTATCACATCGGACTTTCTTTTGTGCGCAGGCGATGCAACTCCGCTGATTTCTGACTTTGGCGTTTTGCATAGGATCGATATAGACAGCTCAAGTGAGTTATGGGCGGAGCGTACTGATTCACCGGTGGCGTATAGATTACGGTTAGCTCGGTGTGGGATATAGTGTATTACTCAGGTAGAGATCATGATGTAATTTATAAAATAGCCTCTAGAATCTAGTAAGATATATCTAGACCCATCTATCTACATCGTTCTAGTTAAGATCACTATAGTGTCTAAAAATTGGTAGCTTAACGAATTCTTCCAATGAAGACTATAGGTAGTCTAGCAAATGTAATGGCAGTAATTAAACATTCTCTTCTTGTAGGTAAGATTTCAGAGTCCTGTCATGTGATACACGTTTGAGTCTAGCCTCATTTAGTCCCGACTGATCCATCCGGGCGATCTCTTATACCCTTCGTTCCCGATGCAGGTGTCTCATCATGTGATGGCCAAGACAAGGCGAACCCGAAGTCCATGATGATAAGTATCCAATAAATACTTTAGGAAAATGCACGTATAGAATTATGCGATTCTAAGTAAACAAAGGAGGTACAATGCATAGGCAAGGCTAAGAATCGCGCTAAGAAAATTGTAGGCGAATCACGTTTTCTAGTGGGAATGAGACAACAGAGAGACGACGAATGACATAACCCCACGCGTTCTTTTCAGTCGGAGACTTGTCTAGACTCCTGCACAACACAACACATGTCTTGATTTTCTGGTAAAGTCATGCGAGGGCTTGCGTGGACTGCATGTAGGGCTCGTAGGGCACGCTGCATTACATGTACACACCATGATAAATCATTGCCGGGGAAAAGTGGTCATCGTGGTATCCCTGGCCGCTGTAGAGGTAGTGACTGTACCAGAAGCAGGCCCGTACTGTGCGCATCCAAATATGCTCTTGAGGCCATATACGGGCGACCTCGACACGAGGCACCTAGATGTATCTTATCCGAGCTAGCACGTTTCCGAAAGAAAGATACGGGTCCGAGCAACGTCAAGTTAATACCCGCGGCACGTCAACGACAATGAATACGATATCAGAAGAGCTATATAGAAGGATCGCACCGGACGACGTGCAGTGGTCAGAAAAGGCTGCCAAGCTTGCGGTATTTATTTTGTATGTCATCAAAAGAGAGGGTATGGAGAAAGGAGAGGAACCTCATGAAAGGTCACTGATAGAGAAGGATGCACATACGGTGCTTCGAGAGATTTAGCGCAAAAACATTGCGGCACTCGATGGATAAGGCGACGATCTGACGGTGAGCGCGTAAAATGCCAATAGATTCAATGCAGAATGTGTTGTCCTAGCCAGCTGGTTGCAAGTATTTATTAGATCCAGCATAGACTTTGCTGGCCCCTGATATTTACATCCTTCGTCTTGTCGTCCTTTGAAGTCCTTTACTTCAATTGGCATAGACATTGTTCACGTCCTATTCACCTGCGCGTGTTGGTCAATTAGAAAATTTCTTCACCACTAGTCCAAACGTCAAAACGAATCACGTTGTAAGCTTCTAGTCTCAGACCAAAGCGAGCCGTCGTACTCTTCTGCATACCATCATCAAGGAAGAGCTACGCAGCGATTTTCAACTGAATCGATCACCATGTCTCCGGATAGCAAAGTCAGCCACTGCCTAACTATCATCGTTTAGTTCAATGTCACTAATGCAGCACGCAGTCGCCACTTTCCTCAATGCTGAACATGCTTCACACAATCTGGCTTTTCACAGCAAACGACATCAAGTCCATCGTCCTGCCCGAAACCGCATTCGGCATATTTACCGCGCTCTCCGGGCCTCTCCTCACATCTAACCCCTCCGTACACGTCAACGACGTCCTGTCCCGGCTCCCGCAAGTTCTCCTCTGGAACTGGGCCAATCTCCTTCTCTTTGACGTGGCCAACCAGCGCCTTCCAGCTTCAGTCGTTGAGGATGCAGTCAATAAAGCGTGGCGCCCGCTTCCGTCTGGCCGTATCTCTGAACTCGCAGCACGTAGACTATTGTTAGGCATTCTCCCGGCTACTTTCATCGTCAGTTGGTTCCTGGGTGGTATGCATGAGACAGTCGCCATGATGGCACTAACATGGATGTACAACGACCTGGCCGGTTCCGACGAGCTGTATATTATCCGCAATGCGATCAACGCCCTCGGTTTCATGTGCTACAGCTCCGGTTCAGCTGCTGTAGCGGTGGGTCATGGCGAACACGATCTGAACAGTCGTGCGTACCAGTGGATCGCTCTTGTTGGCGCTGTTGTCTTCTCTACGCTATCGATGCAGGACATGCCTGATATTCCGGGCGATCGTACGAAAGGGAGGAAGACACTGCCACTCGTTCACCCGGAGATAGTTGCGAGGTGGGCGATCGGTGTCCCGGTATTCATCTGGTCGGTTTACCTTTCTGTGTACTGGGAGCTGCATGTCGATCAACAGATCATTTTTGGTGCTGTAGTGGCTGTGGGTGCTGTGCTAGCTGCGAGGGTGATCTTTATGAGGGGTATTCAGGCTGATAAGGGGAGCTGGAAGATGTGGTGTGCCTGGACTGGCTTCTTGTATGCACTGCCCATGATCAAGAATTGTGGGCATCTAGTGTGGTGAGACTGGTGACTAAGTCTTCACAACTAAGCACATTTATGTAAACTTTACGTGCACCAGAGTCAGCTTCATCTGACTGGACGGAGCATCGAGGTGTGGACGTTGGAGGCTCCCAAGATCTTGTTGGCCCAATCTGCGTCATCTCGCTCATCCAAAGTAAACGAGCGTTATCAATCGCCATGTCGGTTTCCTGCTTTCGAACCTACAATTGATAATATACCCTATCGGTATCTGATAAGTTCGTTTCAAATTCTGCTGATTCATGACGTTTTTTATATGTGAATCAAATAATTATCTCCAGGGCTTCAAGAAATTCACAAAGAAAACTGAAGACTTCCTGAAGCGCAGCGGCAAATAATCTGTTTTGATCTCACTGACATGCTTAACATGTACAGATGTACCCCCCCATCTTGCCAGCCATTGGCAATCGAAGGTCGTCAATCGTGAGTGACCGTCTAGGACTTATATCTGACTTCGTTCGGAATAGTGAGAAGCATCGGCATCCGCACGGCAATCAGCCCCGAGGGATAAATCTGCTTCGCATCGGATTCATATACCACACCGCAGTTTTCCCTTGACCGTGTCCGATTTGGATCTAAATGCATACAGGCATTTACAGTCTTCGACATGCCATCCTATCGCCTCGTCTAACAATTGAGCTTGACATTGTGCGACTGTTTACCCTGCTGTATCCGACTTTGGGCATCCCAATAAATCACCAAAGGAGGCCGAAGGTGATGAGGATCAACCAAAACGGTATCGGTGCGGTAAATATTGTGAGAAATTCAAACCGACAGCTATCGTCTAGTCGAATCCGGATTCCTTGAACGCGCATCTACCCTTGCATCCTCGTCTGGGAGCTCAAAACTTGTGTCTTAGCAAGACGTGCATCGTATATCAGATTACCAGCGTCTCTGAAACAGAACGGCTCTGGGACAAATAGACCGCTGAACAAAACCTGATCTGCCTTCCATGCGAACAGTGCCTCGTCAATCATGAAGGCTTCCTACGGGGTAGACTTCTTAGGATCAAATCACGACACTGGATTGCATAAGTATATAAAGAATTGCTGGAGAAAATAAACCAATTGAATCAATACTGTAATTGATCAGTTTAACGAGTCGAGGGTGCCTATAAATCAAAGCTGGCCGGGTTCTCCCCATAACTCTTCTCTCCTCGAAAAGTCTCTCCACAAAAATGATTCTTTATCTGAAGATTATTTCTCCTTAGAGAGGATTCTCTATGAAGCCTTTCTCTCCTCGGTTGTTCTCTTTACGGAGAGAATCTCTCCTTGAAGAATCTCTCCGCAGAGCTCTTCTCTCCACGAAGAATCTCTCCACGGACCGTCTCCCTCCTTAGTGATCATCATTCTCGATATCCGCGTATAGAAACGCTGTCCTAGCCCGAATCCTCCAATCCACATTTAAGCATAGCGAGTCTCATTTGGGTGTTGTCTAAGCCCGCATTTCGGCGCTTGATCGGGTCTTACAGTTCAACTCTAGGAGCGTGACCCCTAACCACCTTCTTCTCGCTTTATATGTCATTTACAGTACGTGAGCGAAATTTCAAGAGTTGTAGGTGTTAGGGGCCCAAAATCAGCCCCTCTGAGCGGTCTGGCATGGGACCACTTTTCCGCCGGACCCGAGATCAGGCTTAACATCAAGTCAAGATATATAGAGATGATATAACTAATGACCCCTTCTCTTTTCAGACTTTTCCGGTATTCAGTTCAACGACAAGCACAAATCAGGAAATGGAGGTGCGCGGTGTGGCTGAGGTCGCCAAGCTTCAACCTCTGCCCGCGCGCGCCGCGATCTCTGTCTGCCCATAACTACGCGCTTCCTCCTTCTGCTGGAAAATCTTCTGTCCAACTCTTCTCCTCGCCCTCTATAAGCGCCAGTACTGAAAGCGGTTATTCGGCGTCAAAGTAAGTGTTGGTGCAGGCTACGTTGGTAGCTACGATCAGAAATGTGAGTTTGCTTCGCTCTCGCGGTCTCATTCTTTTTTTCTCTCCAGATCCTACTGGAACTAAACACTGTCAACGCGAGCGACCCGGATGGAGTCGACAATGTCTCAGTAAGTATATTCGAAACGTTTAGCAGTCAATCTCCACTAATAGCTGTCAGCTATCCATATCTCCCGGAGGAAACTCTACCTGTTCAAATCGATGATCATCCCTCTGTAAGCCTTGACGTAACCATCATCAAGGCGTTTGAGCCTTTCACTCTTTCGTGCGCTCTACTCGTTCGACTCAACTGGCCTACGTTGCGAGGGGAGTATGTCTTAAAACTATTCGATCGACGCTATGCTACACAACTTCGACGAGACAATCAAGCCAGCGCTTGGACTGCCGATGTCGAAGTAGCATATCACACCCTTGTGGAGAGCAGCGACATGGCTTCTCTTTTCGCGCTCTACGCTCAAAAAGAGACCGACTACGAGTGGACCCCAAAGGCGGAGGCGGGTTGGGATTCGGCGCATCGTGAAGCCTATCTTCAATTCTGCTGCCGAAAACATTTCTCGACGGAAACCCTGGTGTACGATCAGCTCCGCGACCTTCAAGGCGAATGCATTCCCCATCTTGCAGCCCGAATCCTGGTCAAATCCCCATCAAGCTCCGGCCCCACCCGTGAATATCTCGACTGCCCAGGTATCTTGTTGGAGTACGTCCAAGGCTTCAGCCTAACCGATCTCGACAAGTTTGCACCCAAAGCCGCCTGGCAACAGATATGTGACGAAGCGATTCGGATTATCAACCTGATTGGCGGGAGAGGTATCCGCAATGAAGATGTCAAGACGAGGAGCTTTATCGTACGTCATCATCCATCGACGAATTATCAGCAGACGACCCGGCCAAACGTTGTCATGATAGACTTCGGGTCCTGCGTCCTACGGACAAAGGATCAAGATGATCGCGATTGGAGAGAGTGGAAAGCGATGCAAGACGAAGAAGGTGCAATTGGCATGGTCATGGAGAGGAAGCTCAATGGAGGCTTCACTTATGTACGAACTGCGGAGTCTGAGAGATTGATGGACGAGTTCATGAGCGAATAGCAAATTTTGCAAGAATAGCCAACAAGTGAGAAGGTCGAAGCTGCCCTGTGGGCCATTTTCGATTAATCGCCGGTATCGACGGAGGTACTTGCTGGCTTTCTCTTCTAGATATGATCTTTTGAGGCCCAAAGCTGAGGTTACTGAGGTAAACGGTAAGAAAATATCAAAATACGTTCGTATTGAAAGCTATTTACGTTCTGCCGCCATTTTCGGCGGCATATGCCACCCCTTTCGTAGGGCGTTGTCGTCGGTGGTGAGTCTTATGATACATACTGTGTCAGCCTAGATGTGGGTTCAAGGGAATCCGATACGTTGACTCTCATATCGTACATTTCGACGGGCCACTGCAATCTTGTAGATAGCTGCTGTGCGCTCGTGTAGGCTTGCGGCGTTGAATCCAAGGTTCAACGGTATCGAATTACGGTCAGTAACGTTCTAAATATAATCCAGGGACAGAAGCGTAAGTTCTAAAATTAAGCTCTTCTCCAAACCATCGGTAAGATAGGATGGCATATGTAGCCTTCGCGCGTGGTGGTCGCGAGTTGGGGTACCAGAGCTGGTTTTCCGCGTCCGCGAGGTTGATGTCTACAAAGTCGGGCTCTATTTCGAAGGTGCTGCAGTTGAGTAATCGGATACTCACCTGATTGATAAAGAGAAATAAGGTTGAACTATTAATTCATCAAGTTATGGAACTTATTACATATATATATATATAAGAGAGAGAGAGAGAGAGAGAAAGCGACTGTATACAACGCGTGTCAAAGGGAGACGAAAGTCTCCAAGACGAGGAAAAAGGAATCATGGCAAGACGTGGATCGCGTTTCAGCCCCTATCGAACTTGACCGTGTCAAGCAATTGTGCATAACACAGACGCCGGGGTCGATTTGGACGTTTGACTGTTGGCAGTCGGCAGAGTAAGCGCAATGTAAATAGTCGACTATCCAGAAGCATAGCAGAGCCCAAGTCTTATGGTTCATTCCCGACTCAGAAGCGGCACAACATTGGGCCGGGTACAATCCATGCTACGGAGCATTGACTTCGGAAACAGTCAGGCGGACTTGTTCGGCCGAACTGTTCAGCCTCAAGTCCTCGGTCCCGAAACTTCATTCGGCGATAAAATGGGTTTAGGAAGAAGCGTAATCCTCCGACCGTGCAGCGCCACATGCACTTGGCACCTGGAATTTGTCCCTGACTTATGCGTCTATGCTAAGCTGTTATAGTGACAGTGGCCGAGGCGGACAAAGGTCAAGCCGCTCATAGTATTATTATATAAGATTGAGATATGGCAATTTAGTAGACTTCAATTCTATATCTTATCGACAGTACAGACTCCGAGCTGTGTACCTTGTTTATCAATCATTAACACTCAATATCAAAGCATCAGCTTAACAAAGCAACGAAGCAAGGCAACATACAAAGCACCACGTCCATAACATCGAGATCACACACTCAAACGACAAATCGCAATGGTTTCAAGCAAGCGCACAGTCCTAATCACCGGATGCTCTGATGGCGGACTAGGTCGCTTCCTCGCCCTCGCATTTCAGGAAGCTGGCTGGCGAGTCATCGCCTCTGCGCGTACTGTCTCCAAGACCAAAGCAGTTGCCGAAGCAGGCATCGAGGTCGTCCAGCTCGATACACTATCCGCCGAGTCGATATCTGCTGCCGTCATCGAAGTCTCCAACCTCACAGGAGGCAGCTTAGACATGGTCCTTAACAACGCTGGCGGCGGCTACACGGCCCCAGTCCTCGATATCCAATGGGAACAAGCCCGCGACTTGTTCGAGCTGAACTTCTACTCATTGATCTCCGTAACGAGAGCATTCCTACCCCTGTTGCGCGCCAGCAAGAGCGGCGGAATCGTCGTTAATAACACGTCCGGCGCGTCGCTTTGGGTCGGCGCAATGCCGTTCGCTGGTGCATATAATGCTTCCAAAGGCGCTGCGACACAACTGACTGAAACAATGCGCCTCGAGCTTGCACCATTTGGCATCCGCGTCATCAATCTGCTTACTGGTGGCGTGAGGACTACCTTTTATGATAATGCGAAAAATCCATCACTACCAGCGGATAGTATCTTCAATGTTGCCAAAGATCGGGTAGAGCGTGCGATGGGTGGGAAAGAAATCATGGAAAAGAACTTAGAGCCAATGGGCTACGCGCGGAAAGTCGTTGCGAAGCTGAGCGTGTCAAATCCGTCGCATTGGGTGTGGGCTGGAAAGAATAGTACTCTGGCGTGGTTGGCGACATTTTTGCCTATCGGAGCTGGTGATTCTATGATCAAGAAGATGACTGGGCTTGATGTTGTCGAGACGACTTTAAAAGAGGCCAAAAAGACGAGTTAGAGGTAATGGAAATAGGGGGTCTATAGCAATCAGCAATCTCGTATTTCAGGAAAGCTCTGATGCAGCTCAACTTTTTGAACATCATATATCTTCCCGCTCGGCTGCGACCAGAAGCCACCCATGGTGGCTTGTATGATAGGATGCTTGCACTCGCCTTCCATACGTCGCGCGCATCTGCGACCTTCATATTGCTGCGTATGTGCATTACGTGATGCACTTGTCAGACTGAAGTTCAGATCAGAAATACCGTAGTGGCTTACCACCTAGCATCTATTGCAATCCCATCTGTCCAAAACTGACTCATTATATTGTAGCGTAAATCGATCAAAAGAGTCTTGAGATTCATGTCAATTGAGAGTCACTAGCAACACTTCTTCCTCGTATCCGAGCTAAGCCACGACCACATCACCAATCTTGTTCACTACTCTCAGGGGCTTCTCCCTACCAGTCACCACCGCAGACCTCACAATTCCCTCGTTGTCCCAGTCAAAATCAACTTGTCCGCCCCCTCTCAACCTGAGCCCCTTCACCGACCCACCAACCCACGAAACAGGTATCGCAGGCCCAAGCACTACCGTCCGAACCCCAAGTTCCCCGTGCCTTTGCGGTAAATCAACCATAAGCATACTCAACACTGCCCCACCCAGCCCATAGTTCGCATCGATCTGGAAGGGCGGATATCTCCCCGAATACATACTCAAACCGTTCGGCGCAAAGTTCTGCTCAATCGCATATTTCAACTCGTAGTATGCGCGCTCTGTATTATTCAGTCGTCCCCAACAAGCCGAGCGCCATACTTTTGCCCAGGCGGCATTTCCGTCAGCGGCATTGCCGTTGCCGCGGCTGTATAGTTTGGTAGTAACGGCTTCTTGGAGGGTGCTGTTGGTGTAGGCGTTCTCGTACGAGGATATGGAGTAGCCGGGATACCAGCCGACGAGATCGCTGAGATGGCGGTGCGTATCATTCGGGAAGTCGTAGCCGTATGAGTCCGGGAGTTTCCATTCTTTGATTTGGTTAAAGGAGCCGATGTGGATGCCTTTGTCTAGTTTCTCGAGTGTTCTGCTTACGTTAGTGATGAAAGACGTGTCAGTGTCTCCAATCAAGGCATTGCTGGATAGAATGGATTCGAAGACTTGATAGATGAGCTGCTGATAGTGAGCACACCCGAAAGTCGTAGGACCATGCTCGGCGCTATTGCATGGTGCGACGACGATAGTATTGTCGTTCGTGTATTTGTCTTTCATCAACTGGGAAAGCCAGAATTGGGCTACACCCTTCAGTAGAGGATAGCCTTGATCACGCAGCCAACTAATATCCGAAGAGTACTCGAAGTTGTCCCATACGTGCTGCATCATCCATGCGGCTGCTATGGGATCTGAACGATTCATTAGTACCAATGTTATGTAGATCATAAAATATAGGATGGTGTTACAATTCGCCCACTGGGCATCACTCTTCATGCCTGTATGCCCGAAGATGTTCATCTCATCATGCACAACCCATCCCGGTGCACCATACAGCAGTTTGGCGGTTTGAGTACCGCGAGGTACCCAATTCTGCTCCATGTAGTTCCACAACGCAGCTTGCAGCTCACCAAGACCGGTTTGATCTGCGTTCCAATGATTCATTTGGAGATTGATGTTTGAGTGGTAATCACCAGACCACGCGGCGCCAAGCTCCTCACTCCATCGTCCTTGTAGATTTGGTGGCAACGAGTTCTCACGTGAGGCACTGATGAAGAGATGACGAGAGAAGTCGAAGAGCAGACTTTCGAGGAATGGATCGCCAGTAGTATTCGACGAGCTGTATCGTTCGAAAAGTTCGGACGTCTCCAATGCGGCAGATTCCAAAGGGTCAGGTAGATCGAGCACGAATCTCCCAGCTAGGTTCTGGTAGTCACCTATATGTGCTTCAAGAAGTGTTGCGGCAGTTTTACGTGCGGCAGTATCTGTAAGTCTCCTAACTGAATAACCTGGGTTGGCCCCCCTGAAACTATAACCAAACACTGATGTGCCCTTCTCTTGATCAAAATCAGTGTCAGCCCCAACAACAAATGTCGCCTGCTTTGAACCGATGCTAGGATGTAATGTTAAGTACCCAGTATCCGGGTCACAAGATGAATTAGCATCGCCAATCGCACGAGCAATCGCATCGTATCGCATACCAAGAGGAGGCCCGATCTGGGTGACGCCTCGCATGCGAACATATGCATTACCACAACTCTGCTTGTTCAGTGCTGAATCCACTTTCTGGTTTTCGAGCCAGACTGTGATACTAGGTAGATCATGGTCAGACGTTACATCATATACACAAACCTGGTCAGGGAACGAGCAATACGCAGTCGTACTAAACGACGCCCCATCAGCCAGGAAAGTAGTTGCATGTAATCCATTCTTTAGATCCAATTGTCGATGGTAAGAAGATGTCGCATCTGATACACCGGCAATCTCGATGGAAAAATTACCAAGAACGCGGTATGAGCCATACATCTCGTTGGAGCCGAGCAGTTGTGACACATCTGGAAGACATTAGAAGTAAGATCAGTCTAGACAAGGCACAGACTCGCTTCCGGTCCCGTTCTGGAAGATCCAATCGCGAATGCCATCAAGAGAGCTAGAGACCGGACTACTCGGGTTTCCACCTCTGTAGCTCGAATTTTCGAATGGGCCACCAGACCAGAGGCTGTCGATATTAAGCACCAACTTCTCTGCACCAGCTGGACCGAATGCCATAGCTGTGTACGGTGTCAGCCTCAATTACCGTTCCTGGGTAGAGAACTCTGACCCCCGAGAACTCCATTTCCAACTGGGTACGCGGTTCTGATGATGTCCTCTGAAGATGCGGGCGAATAGGACCATAAAGTCTTGGCTTCACACCTGATGACAAAATTTATCAGGAAGAACGCAATATACCTTGGGAGCAGCATTGCGGGATCTGCTGTCGTTGAGGAAGGATGGTATTCAAAGCACTATTGCTCATCGTTATATTTTTATTCAGCCGAAGTGTTGAGGACGCCTCTAGAAGTCGCATATGCAGTGTCACAGTTCTTGCCGATCTTCTAGATTGCAGTGCGGGGGATGCAATAGGTCTCCTTTGCCAGGTTGGGACTTGGGATCGTTACCTGGAGTCAGTATGTAACTAATATGAGGGACTAGTGGGGGGATTTCTCCACCTATCGCATCCGGTAATGCAACAGATGTTATGTAGGAGGCCAAACGGTCCGACCCGAAGCTTGTTTCGGGCAGAATTGATCAGTCTAGTGCGATCATTGGGGCTTCCGGTACATAAACGTGCAGTGTTGACACATTCTATCCCTGGCTCTCTCGTACTTTTAAAGTAGAATCTCCCTGGACAACTTCATCGAGCAGGAGCGATCATCGAGTTAGGAGTGATGGAAGTTCGGTCGGAGTGGACGACTGGAGAGGACGCCAGGAACCACCTAACTGTCCACCAGCCGGCTGCAGCACTTTAATATTGTATGCTATTAATCTCAATGTACGACGCTGTGATACTTTCGTATCGACTACTTCGTGCTGCTTCGTAGCGAAGGCTTCTTGGAGACATATCAAACAAAATAATTAGCATGCTTGACCTTTCACTCAACCCAGCCATCTCCTGCACATAGCATCCAGTCCAATGAAACGAGCTCCAGACCTTTACTCTTCACGAAGTCTGCGACTCTGAAGGATCGCCGCTGTACGAATTCTTCACCACCAACATCGTTCGTGGTTAGATCATATCCTCTGGGTTCACGAAAAAGTAGGAAGAGATATCGATGTGGCCTCGAATCGTCCTTGGGCCCCGGAGCGAGATATGGTGTCACAGCAGACTTTGACTCAGTCGTCGCTCCACCCTTGGACGGCGACAAGCCCGTCAATATCCAATGTCTCCAGTATGCGAATTTCGGGTCATCCGGTGTTGGCGCATCTGGATCTATAAGCAGCAGTGTGTAACTTGCGGATTCTAACTCTGTCTATGATGGAATAAGTCATAACCGACAATTGAAGATTTGGTTATCTTACATCTGTTTGGATCGTGATCGTAGGCTCAATCTTGCATTCACTTGCACGGAAGAACTTGCCAGCAAAAACGTCTTTAGTCCCATAAGTGACTGTTAATTTTGCTACAGGGACAAAATCATCGGGTATCAGTGGTGAGGATCCTGGTACGAGGCCTGCTTGTGACAAAGACGACAATAATTGCAGACCGTAGCTTTGCAAAGACATGTCGCCCTCCAAGATCTAAAGTCAACGATGAATACGGGGCTGCGAATGCGCAAAATGGCAGTTTTGAAGCAATGTCGAGACCAATGATTGCGAAGAGCAAGACAAGATAGCCATTTTGATGCTTTCTGTTGTCCTAGGTGGACATGGATGAGTGGTGGAAGAATTCACTAGCGCCAAGATACTGAAACTGTTTGATCTTGAGGCTCGCGGACTTTTCGCCCGAGCGCGCTATAGCAACACTAGTCTCTAAATATCGTGACAGGTACAGATCTCTGAAGGGCTTGAACATACCTCATCATTCGAACGATTTCAAAACCACGCATAATTGATAAGCTGACATATAAAGTGTGGAGAATCATGAAGGCTGCTATTCTCAGAAACGTACGACCCCCGTTGCAAGACGCCGTCTTCCGTATTATCACGTGACCAGTACCTTCTACCAACTGGCGACAATAAACAGAATGTGCATGAAGAAGAAAAAGGAAAACAGCAAGGATGAAGTTATCCTGTTCGCATATATACCACAGTAGATATGTTGCTGACTCGGATTCATGGCATTGCCATCATCTCTTCAAACCTCGATGTTAGCGATCCTCCGCCTAATCCAATGCATGTCGCGTACCGAATTCAATGGCGTGACCCTATACGTTACATTGACTACTCCTCCATGCAAAGTATCGCAAGCCGTGGATAGTGATTCTTCAACACGTCACTCGGCTCGACGACCGCCACCGGACTGCGTAGGAGGCGCGGAGCAAGCAGGGATATACAATCTCTCCAGCCTTTCTTTTTCCCGTGTTCTCAAACATCACGATAATCAGAGACTCGAACATTTAATCATCTACGCTTTCGCCACTAACACAGAGCAGCAACCTTGCAGACGCATGTTCTAGAGGCACCGCAAGAATTGACTGCTCAGACTTAAGTGCTATTCGGTGATCACATTGCACGATGGCTACAGATGGTCGTGTCGGCGATGCGAAGCCTATAATCAATATCGATATGGATAAGGCATCCAAGGAACAGAACCTCAATGAAGATGTCGAATCAGGGACTTCCGTGCGCATATTCACCTCAAAGATCTAGACTTGTCTTTCTAACATACTCTCAGCCTGCACCGGGCTTCGACCTTGATGCCATATACACCTCAACGGCCGCCGACCGTGCGCTCATCCGTAAACAGGACATTCGCATCATCCCTCTCTGCGCATTCATCTATCTCCTATGTTACCTCGACCGCTCCAACATCGGTAACGCCAAAGTTCTGAACGCAAACACACACAATGACCTACTCAGCGAAACGCGCATGACAAACTACCAATACACTATTGCCCTCATGGTCTTCCTCGTTGCATACGCCATCTTCGAAGTGCCATCTAATTACCTCCTCAAGCGTATCTCACCGTCCCGCTGGATCGCATTTCTGATGTTCTCGTGGGGAGCCATAACTATCGGACTCGGTGGTGTGCATAGCTACGGCGCTGTAACGGCAGTGCGGTTCTTACTCGGTGTTTTCGAAGCCGGGCTCTTTCCTGGACTGATTTATTATCTCACTTTCTGGTATCGTACGGATGAGCGGAGTGTGCGAGTAGCACTCATTCTAGCTAGCGCGACGCTTGCAGGTGCATTTGGTGGTGCTATTGCGTTTGGCATTGGCCACATGAACGGTGTGCACGGGCTGTCTGCGTGGCGCTGGCTTTTCATTCTGGAGGGCATTCCAAGTTGCCTTTCGGCAGTCGTAGTTCTGTTCATCTTACCGGACTATCCTGAGACGGTAAAGTGGCTTTCGGACGATGAGCGCAATCTAGCGCTTGCTAGGCTCAAGTTTGAGGGTGCGAAAGGCGATGTTGCAGTTACGTGGGCAGACGTGAAATCAACACTGACCGAGTGGAGGTTGTATATTCATTATGCAATCTACTTCTGCATCTCTCTCCCGTTCAGTTCACTGTCGCTATTTACACCGAGCATCACGGCTGGACTGGGATACACGGGACTCACTGCGCAGCTTTTCACTGTGCCACCATACGCTGTCGCATATGTCATCACGATTGTTATCGCATACTCGTCTGATCATTTCAACAGGCGTGGGCTACACTCAGCCATTTTGGCCCTCATTGGAGCAGCTGGCTTCATCGGATCCGCAACGCTACCCCCTGATTCTTACAAGTCGCGTTACGGCTGCCTCATTGTCGCTGCATCGGGATCTTTCGCATGTATACCACCGCTACTTGGCTGGCTGTCAAGCAACCTTCACAGCACAGCAGCTATCGGTCTCGCTGTCGCATTGAACATTAGTTTCGGCGCACCTGGCCAAATCGCTGGCGTATGGATATACAAGGCCGATGAGCAGAAAATTGGGTATCCAACTGGTCACTGGGCAAATGCTGGCGTACTTCTTGTCGTTGTCGTTGGGTGTTTGGGGTTGTGGGCCTACTACGCATGGCTGAACAAACGAATCGTGAAAGGCATCATCACAGGCCCGAAGCGTTTATACAAGCTGTGAGTTGAAGCGAGGATTATGTTTGTGCATCATGCGCGAATGTCTTATAGGACGCACGTGGTTGTATCAAAGATGGTGTAGCACTGGAGATATTTGGCGTTGGTTCCTCTATAGTCTCTTGTTCTATCGAAAGATAGGACTACATTTCCCGGGCAGTCGTAGGTAGTGACTTCTGAGATCACCGCGACAGAAGAGACATAATCATACCTTTCCCCAAGTGAAAGATTCCTCTTCTTTGTCGGTCCATTTATCCAAAGTAGCATGTCCGGAGTAAGTCCGTCCACAGAGAGTCATTACAACGTGACAGTGAACATAGACTCTACCAAGACAACACATGAATAGGCCAATATATAACTCTAGAGAATCAAAGCACGTAGGATACAGATGGCCAGCTATATATGAGCTGCCCTCAGCACTCGCTAGTATGTCAACAGTGGCGACCAATCAAGAGCTCGTACTTCAACAGAGAAGGAGAATCCTATCAGCCTTCGATCCACAAGACATGCAAGTCACCAATTGACAATCTGCTCACTAGAAGAGCTTGTGATACCGTTGTTAAGTATGAATAAATTTATCACTTCACTGCAAGGAGTCAATATCTACTTGCGGTATCTAGGAGTCATGTTCTAGCAACTGCGGTGTCCCATTGTGTCAAGATATGACTCCTATTCCGCAGACCATTTCCTCAAGGCACTATTAAATATATCCGTTTAAAGTCAGTCTACATCAACTCCTCTCAAATATCACAAAATCTCCTTCAATGAGACTTGTACAACAACGTTTCTCTTCAGCGAACCAGAATATACCGATTCTATAGCTCCGCTCTCAGTAACGCCCAAAAATGTTCACTCAAAGCGACCACACCCTCGCAGCGGCTTACGCCTCTCTCATACTGGCCGATGAAAACATCGAAATCACCCCCGACAAACTACAGACAATTCTCAAAGCCGCCGGTATAGACATTGAGCCGATTTGGTCCATGATTATGGCGAAGGCACTTTACGGAAAGAACGTCAAGGAGATTGTAACTACGCTTGGTGTGAAAGATCCGGACAACGGTGGTACTGCTGGTGCTATGAAGGATACAGCAGAAGTCATAGGAGAGAAGAACGAAGGCGATGAGGGAGTGGATTGTGCGGGTAGAATCAATGAGTCAGATGATGAGGAGGGGATGTTTGATTTATTTGGATGAAAGGATGTGTAGGTAGGTTGTTGGGGAGGAAAGAGGCTGTGTATGCCCGGATCAAGGGGTATGAGTCATTGCGTCCATATAGAGCGGTATCAGGATAGATCCACCTCAATTGATACATGTTCCAGCCGGGTCTCAGTCATTACTTATCATTGAGCTGCAGATATCGCTAGAATGCTCCGCGTGCGGTGAATATTCGTCGTGGTCAGTCGTTCTTGTTTTACCGCAGTATTGGCGCTGGTTTCGGCTCTTTAGTCGCATCACAATACACTACTGTTGAGGGTAATAGATAACGCACTTAAAAATATACATTGTACATCATCAATGTCGACCTGGTACAGATATATATTTTCCTTTCTCCTTCCTTCCTTCGAAAAGTTTTGGATTTCCCTGCGCGAATCCTTCCGTTCTATCAAAGTTCTGATTCTCTCTCCTCAAATATAACCTTCATACAAGACTTTTGAATGCACATAGCCCACAGAAAACACTCAAAGTAATTCCAGCGGTCAAGCATCTCGCTTGGTCGCTCTCCGGATACAAGTAGTTTTTAAACAGGTGTGTAATATTAGCAAGCGCATTAGCAATCGCGAGGGCTACCTTCCGTTTACTCTTCGGCCGCGACATCGTGCTGCTCACACACAACGTCACGTTGAGCGCTGAATATATACCTAGCATCATAAGAAACATCGCCGCATAATGCCCCGCCGTAACGATGAGTGTGATGCAAAGAATGTTGCCCAGGCAAGATATGGAGAGCAGGATGATGATGTTAAAGCGCGCCCCACAGTGCTGCCCGCGTGATTGAGTTCTCGAGTGATCCAAAAGACGCGAGTGCGAATGGACATGCGGTAAGGAGAAGTGTGACGCCGTTGTTGAATTCTAGTGTTTCGACAATCGATGGGAAGAAATAAGTATACCCCATACCAACAAGCAGAAACATTTGAATGAGACAGGCAACATACAGCAGCAGACCATCACATGTGAGCTTCTCAAGTTTGCATCTATCACAAGGCCTATAGACGTTGTGTCTGCATTTTCTTTTCCGGGCGATTGTTCTTGGGACCATTCATTATGCGTATGCGTATCGAGAGTGCGCGATGAGGATCCAGAAACTCTGATTCTGCTCTCTCAAAGACGCTTCATGAACTTCGGACGTTTTAGTCATATCAGGTATGACATGTAACGCCCGTGGAGCTACCTTCTATCTATCCTAATCTAATAGGGAGGAGAGCAATTGAATGACCACATATATTGAGTCGGAACTTGAGCAACAGCCTGCCGCCGTTGACGTGAGGTGTCCATGGAATCTTGTCTGATCTTCCCATGTGTAGTTCTATGGAAAGACTTTCAGCGGCATCCATTGATCCCGGCCGAACCACATTTCCCCGCGCAGGGCTCTAGGGCTTCAGGTGTACGGCATGTTTAGCTTGTAGCTCTACAGTTCGTAGATAGGCAGAGTAGAATTGACATAGGAATTTTATTCGAAGATGGGAGTATACTCGTGATATCATGTGTGGATGCGGAAAAATAACGCCATAATTTAGCTTCGGAGTGAGTAATCTATCTACCTGCTCCATATCGGCGCGTTATTATTTTCATCTTCATTTCCTCATCCAAGCACATCGCCGTTGAGCACTCTTCAAAATATCATGTCCATCATGATGTATAGAGCCTGCTCAATGTCTTGTGGACCTACAAGACTTCTGGCCCAGTTCGCTTTGTCACCCTCTGCGTCATCTACGCTTTTTAGTTCTTAGTCCTTGGTATCCCAGATTCTCAACGGCAAATAAGGCTCATTAGGAAACTGTGCTCCTTGCAGAGATTGCACAGGTCTGACTGCAGAGAGAACAATATGTCTCTACTGATGTCACAGCCGGCATGAAGCGGGCTGTCTTCAGTCGATCAAATCGTCCGCGACAAGAAACACGGCATCTAGAATGCGAATGAGGCCATGCCACTCATGCTCCGATCTGCACGCACCATCGGTGCGCTGCCTGTACTCGATCAGGCAGCCAGCTGGCTCCCCATGTTTACGGTCGCGCAAGGTGTTATTGAGCTCGCCTTTCTGCCTGAAGTTAAAATCGCTATCGACATTGTATTCAATATCGTTAATCCGACAACTTTTCACTGGACTATAGATTTACTTCCTGCCCTTCGGCAGGCTGGTGGAATTATTCGCATCGAAGTATAATCGCGGTGATCAGGGACCAGAGCTGCACTATACAACGGATCTTGCGGCGTCATATTCACCGGCGTTGCACACGGCTGAAAAGTTGAATTAGCCGCCGATGAGGAAGATTCTAGATTACTGGGACTCTACATGCTGGTAGCTAAGGATCATTAGCGGTAAACATCTGTTAGCAGACAACCGCTACATGCTCGTATAGAGCTCGTCGAATCGGTGCCTCATCTATCGATGCATCCTTTGCAAGCATCCCAGGAAGAATCTGTGCTAGCGGCTACATTCTAGAATATTTATAAAACCCAACCCCCGTTCATCAGCGTGTCGACGGAAGCATATGAGGCTATGCCACGTCCCATGCATACTTTGCTATCAGATATTTTCTCGAAGACCGCACAAATTGCCTCTCATGGTTTCATGCTGGGTTTCGGTAAGACCTTCCGCTAGATCACCGCAAGTCTAGCTAGCTGGAAGACATCCTTGCAGTCTCACCGGTACGAGATGCTAGGATGATCTGCACCTAGTTACTCGGTGTGGGTTTGTATATGTAGGTCGATATTACATCCATGAGCAGCTGCGGGGTCGGACACCTTCCGCATTCAGCAGTGATGTGTATAAGCGACCTATCGTAAAACTTAGAGACTGCTTACTCGGAGGGCAGAAGGATAAATCTGCCATGTCAGAGGACTGCGCATTTGAGGGCTTCTAGTGCTGTTTGTACCGCTGCCGACCATTGGTACTACCACCCATGTCAGCCTGACATCAAATATGCAGTCGTACGGCGCAGACGACGCAGCTAGCACGATTATATGAGACTTATATTGCACTGCATAAACATATCCTCGGCTTCTTGTTAAAAAGAGACTATTGGCTCAGCACTATGATCTACAAGTGTATCTTTGTTCAGGGAGCAGTTCTCGTTTAACCAGCAGGCTGATATATGCTATAAATAGATTCGGAAAGATGGGACTACGACGAGGCTGCCAAATGGCAACGACCCAAGTAGAAGTCGTCTCGTCGTGCATGAGAGAATTTCAAGGAATACACAATATCAGTCGTTGGGGGAGTCAGAAGACGAACATAATGATATCGTGCCAACAATTTACCACATAAGCATGATCAGACTGCACGGTTCACAAGTTCACACCATGAGCTGGAGAAAGTTTACTTTATTGTAACTCGAGACCCTAAATTCTATTTCTATATGATCGCTGTCTGCATCTCTGCTCTTGCGTTCACTCATACTAACTAATAGGACCGAATTTTTTTTAAATTGCATTCACAAGTCATAGAGTCTCCGCACCCACTCTTCGAAGTCCTCGCACTCTTACTTCAGATCTCCCAGAAGAATCGTGAAAGTCATGGCTTATCAATCACTCCAAGGACCACACTTGGATGAAGACTCAATCTTCCAAGAAGACATAGCCCAGGTCAATGATCCCAGGGACGAAATCATTGGCTCTAGAGACCATTCCGACTCCAGAGATCACTTAGTCTCAGAGCCACTGAGTCTCCACAAATCAAATAAGACGCCTCTTGTACAAGCCAAAGAAGACAGCCGTCACCACTGGAGCAACTCCACTAGCACGACAGTCGATAAACCTGAGTCTGGCAGTCTCAGATCATGGAACAAGGTGCCTCGTCTCAGAAAGTCTGATACCTGGACTCTTGAGATCATTTCGTTGACCTTTGGGCTCGGAGCAGTTGCAGCTATTATTGGAGTCATGTCGAGGTTCAATGGGCGCGCTCTTCCAGAATGGCCATATTACATTACGCTCAATGCACTCATTGCGCTGCTGGCTACTATTGCCAATGCCACGCTATCCGTCAGTTTGAGTAGTGGTATCTCGCAGTCCAAGTGGATACGCTTCAAGACAAGTGACGCGCCCCTTTCTGATATGGAGGTATTTGATGATGCGAGCCGAGGGACATGGGGCTCGATTGTCATGCTTACGACTGGAAGAGGAGGGTAAGTCATGTTTGCGCATATTGTAACCTTTTCTAAACGATACCAGACTTCTCGGATCTTTTGGTGCTGTTATTGCTATCCTTGGCCTTGCTCTTGGCCCCTTTGCACAGCAAGTGGCGGCGTATAGAACAAGATGGGTAGAAAGTGACGTCGGTGCTGAAATTCCTCGTGCGCTCAACTTCACTCCAGCACTCATGGGCAACACAAGTACAAGTAAGTCCCCTACCGATGTAGCATGAGTACCACTGACATGTACTCAGCTGGCTTCGTCCCAATCTTGCCGCTCAAAGCGGCCGTGTACAACGGTCTCTTCGCCGAGAACAATCGCCCTGTTGCATCTCTCCCTTTCAATTGTCAAAGCGGAAACTGCATCTGGGAGCCCTATGAGTCTCTCGCAGTGTGTCACGAATGTGTGGATATCAGTTCACTCATGACCCGATACTGCCCACCTGAATTCGGTCCTACGCAGAACATCTCTCAGTGCGGATGGCAGATACCACAGGGCGGACAGCTAAACACCAGTTCTGACGTTTTCAGCATGACTTCTTTCATACCATCGGCCTACGGTGACATGCCTCACTCCACACTAATCCGAATCATATTCATGGGCACCGAGTACCAAGACACCCCAGAGCAGCTCAACCCTTGGGCAAAACAATGCACACTCCAGACATGTGTCAACACACTACATTCAACCGTCACAAACGGCACGCTCTCCGAGAACACGTCAGACTCGGTCCTTAACCACACCGTACTCGACATATCCTCACCTTCAGAGACATCAGACTACGGCGTCTACATAAAAGGCACATTCCCCACTGAGCCCCCATTCCTGCTCAGCATGGGCGCCCTACTAAGTATCCGAGGCTGGTTCAGCGCCATCTTCGCCAACGGCTCCGCAACACGCACAACGTCCGACTTCACCCGTAGCATCACCGACCCCGACCGCGCCGTCGTCGTCAATCTCACTGTGGGCATCTCGTCTGGAGAAACGTTTTTCGACAGCGACATCGTGACTGCATTCTACTGGAACTACTACGAGTACGCCGACGGGCTGAACATGCTGATGAGCGACCTTGCTGTTTCAATGACGACTGCGTTTCGCGGCTTCAACGGTGCGGTTCCTGTACAAGGCAAGGCGCTGAGCGCGGAGTCGTACGTGCATGTGCGATGGGGCTTTGTGGTCCTACCGGTAGCGGTGGTGTTTTTGACAGTTGCGTTTCTGGTTGCTGCGATGTTGAGCACGAGGGCGACGAAGACAACGTTGTGGAAGAGTAGTGCATTGGCCGTGTTGCTGCATGGGCTAGATCAGGAGACGCGGGAGAAATTCGTGCTGGGGGATGGACTGCACAAGCATAAAAGGCAGGCGAAGAATGTTAGAGTTAGGTTAGATGTGAATAGCGAGAAGGAGGTGCTGTTGAGGGGGTGTGGGACGAAATGTTAATTAGAGGAAGGGTCGATATTGAACAGGCTCCATGCCACTGCGTCCTAGGTCACCGAATGCGTCATGCAATCTCCATATAACAATTAAAAGTAAATCTATACCACAGCAGCATGTTGAAGACCGACCTTGAATCCATCACATCAGGAATAAGTATTTCAATCCCAAAGGAAACCAACAATCTTCATCCACCCTTTCTTTGGCGGTTCAGGTAGCTCTGGCCGCCTGTCGATCTCGCTCAGAGCCTCTCGTAAAGGTATATCCTCTAAATTGACAAACTTGGTCTTCTTGATGATCTTCCACAGCAAGAATGCTGTCAGGACAAGGGGAATATCTAGGTAGCTGGACACGAATCCGGCGGTCGACCAGTGGCCCTTCGTGAACGTCGAGAATCCTGATGTGAACAAGATTAGAACGCACATGAAGAGTGCCACAGGCGTAGAGTATCTCGTCCATGAATTGTGCCATGGTAACAGTGAGTATGGGATTTCTTGCTTCTTCATTGCAAGGATCAAACGGTAGTGGTTGAGCAGAATCGACGACCAACTGATCAGGACACCGCAGGCAGTCAGATCAACGAACCAGTAGAATACTGTCAGTGCCCCGTCTGAAAGACTCATGAATGCTAGGAACATGAACACAGTCTGGACTATGACGCAGACGTATGGAACGCCCCATGGGGTCGTTCGCAGGAGAACGCTTGGTGCTTGTTTCTTCAAGGCCAAAGCATAGAGCACACGAGTCCCGGAAAGCAGAGCCTGATTCGAAGAGCTCCATGCTGACGTGATCACGATGGCGTTGACGACTGATGGAATGGCCTTGATTCCCGCCGCGGACGCAGCAATGACAAATGGGGACTGCGCAGCTGTACCAGATTGATCGTCCAATCTTGGATCATTGCTTGCGACCAACATGCCCACAACAATAACAGCCAGGATGTAGAACGTTGCAACACGGAAGAAGACACGCTTGCATGCTCTGGGGATCGCTTGTCGCGGATTCTTCGTTTCTGCCGCTGCCATTGCCACGGACTCTGTCCCAGCGAAAGAAAACACGGCAGAGCTCATGCACGCCCAGTACCCGAGGAACTTCCCCCAGGAGCCACTGGCGATGTGCTCAACGAACGGACCAGGCGTTTTCCAGTAATGAAAGCCTAGTCGAGGGGCACCCGGGACGCCACCCAGGGAGATGACAAGCCCAAGGATGATCAAGAAGATGATGAAGAAGATCTTAAGGAGAGCGAACCAGAATTCGACTTCGCCTGTCGGTTGTTAGAATACTCATGTCATGTTCAAGTTATGAAGACAGGGGCGTACCGTAGACTCTAATAAAGGCTATTCCAACAGCGAACGTCAAAACAATCACTGTAATTATCCAGACTGAGGAGTTCACATCTGTCCAGTACTGGAATAATACACAGATGGCAGATATCTCCGCTGGGATACTCAGCCAATTCCCATAGACAATGTTCCATCCGATCGCGAATCCCATCGCCGGATCAACGAAGAATTCAGCATGCCGCACAAATGAACCTGTGACTGGCAGTAAAGCCGTCACCTCTCCGAGTGCGAATTGAACAGCACAGACTATCAATCCGATTGTAGCATAACCGAAAAGCGCGCCAGCTGGCCCACCTGTTTGTATAGATGATCCAAGACCAAGGAAGAGTCCGGTCCCGATAGCGCCAGCGAGCGCGATTAGTGATATGTGTCGCTGCTCAAGACCCCGCTTTAAGTCGCGGTCTTCGTTTGTGGTTACGAAGTCGGTGGCATGATCGCGCGATGGACCTGCTTGGATCGAGTCGCTATCATGCGACGTATCAAGCGCGCTTTTGGGCGGCAAATCCTGGGAATGATCCCCGATATCTTGGCTGGCCATGGCAACAACGGCTTGACAGAGAATGAAAACCTGGAAATGTCTGGCTGGGCATAATGAAGTTTTAAGAAAGGCTGAAAGCACTTGATCGGCGGAGAAGTGGTGATTGTGATAATTAGTTCTAGCGGCTTCGGATGGCGTGCTCGGCCGTATCTCGGAGGCCTGCCGGCGCTCGCGTGCTGTCTCCATAATAAAGATAACAAGTCACAAAAGCCACTGGTGTTACAGATTTTATCGCCAAGTCTGGATCTGGCTGTTGGGCTCCCTGAATCAGGAACAACAGTCAAACCTCCTTATTGCGATATTCTCGTTATCAGTAGCGATCGGTCTGAAGTGGCCATATTCGTATCGTTATAACGGGATTTGACTGTAGTGTTATCCTAGGAGTGTATCATCCGTTCTGCAACCCCTGAGGCTGACAAGACTCAATCATCCACAAAATCCAGGGAGAGAAGTATATACAAAGGTCTACAGTAGCATGCGCCAGTACTGAATCGAAGAATCTTGTCTGGTTGTGCTTTGTTGTCATACACAGGGCGCAGAGGTTCGGCTTTTACATCAAGTCAAGCCCTCAATAGCTTTGAAGATCGATTCATCTTCCTCACCCAGGGACTTACACTTACCATCTTCATCTCTATTCATACATCCAACGAAAGGCTTGTATTCTGGCATGCATACTGTTCCATTATCTGGCAGTTTTCCACTTTGGAAATACTCGCGAATGATGCGGCCAGTGCACGTCGACGGACTGGACTGGAAACAGTGTCCCTCGGAATCTTGTTGCACCACAATTGACGACGGAAAAAGGTGCGTAATCTCCACGGCGCTGGTGAATAGTCAGTTACATGCGGATATGGTTGTGATTTGTTGCACTTACTTGCGCAATGGACACACTGAATCATGTGTGTTACCAATCGCTAGTATAGGGTAGGATGTGTTACCACGTATCGGTCCATCGAATGTCCAAGCAGGCTTGCCTTTGTATCCGACACATGCCAGCTTGTTTCTTGCCCAGCTAGGACTTATCCATTTACTCATGGTTTTCAGATCATCTAGGTATCCTCCAAACTGTGTCTTCGTCAGACTCGAGGAGTTGTTCCAAGCACTGTCCATGCAAGCGATTGCTTGATTTGGACCAAGCATGGAGATATACGATTGGGACACACAAGCATCAGAAAATGGACCATCGTGAACGCATTGCTTAGAACGCTTCGGTATCTCTCGTCCAGTTCCCAGTATGCCTTCACGTATGATAGTCGAATTGCGAGCGTCAATTCCTGCGACGAGCCGGAACAAGTTCTCAGCATGAGAATACGACGAGTACATCCCTCCGAGAAGATGGAGATGCATATCTTTATATGTGAGTAAAGCGGGTCCGTTTTCGTCGCCTCCTGGCATTGCAATCGGGTTGGTTTTGAGGTCCATCATGACATCCTCGAACCGCCTTGCTATATCTTCCACTGAAGTGTTCATGTGCAAAGGACATCTATCAGGGCCAGCTTCGAAACAGTATCTACTGTACGTAGTGATGATCTTGTCTGAATCCACTAAATTCTTCATCCAGGCCCCGGCATAGTAGTCCGCAGCATTCATTACCCCGTCAATGACCATGCGATCAATGCGCGAAGGATGCATTGCCGCAAAAGTCTGACCTAAAGTAGTGCCGTAGCTCAGTCCCCAATATTTCATCTTCTCCAAATCTCGAGTCCATTTTAAACGCTGCATAGCGAGTTCGTAGATTTCCAGAATCTTAGGCTGTGACAATCCCAAAAGACGTCTTGCTTCAGCTTCACGCCACTCACCATGCCTCTCGACTATCAGCAGCATATCCTCCACAGTCTGCGCAGTGTTGACGTAATGAACAGCCTCGATGCCAGTAGACGGATCCTTGCGAGAACAACTCTCCCCTAAAGCCTGAGCATTCCCCCATTCCAAGCCCAGCACATTTGGAGATGACCACAATAAGCTGTAGTCTAGTAGCTGGTCAAGGTACTTGATCTCTGTAGCAGCATTGGGGAAGCACTTCAAGCGTGGGACGGTGTTATTGACACCTCTCGGATCGAACGATATGAGATCAAAGAATTTGCCATCCCTTCCAGCCGATTTGCCTGCATCAGCTATAGTCTGGAGATGCTTTCCGCTAGTCAGCAGTTGGTGAATTCCAGATTCGCCAGGGCCTCCAGGATTCGTCACAATAGCACCACCATATCTTGAGTCCGTTACAGGAACTTTGGATGGAAGTCTTATGACAGCTACTATTGCTTTCGGCTCAGAATCTCGGTTTGTCGCGTTCCAATTGAGTGGAACTTCGAGCCGTGCGCACTGGAAGCCATCAAAACAAGGGATATAGTGGAGGTACTCCCTTGGGCGAATCTTGTCCCAACTAAACCTCGCCGGCGTACGATCTGGTGTATTTGACATCCATTGTAGCGGACGGAGGAAATCCCGGCTGAGATTGCAGAGCAGAAGAACAAGACTCAATACACTTACAGCGCGTTTCAATGGCGACGTTCGCCATAAGGGCGCTTGCAACCAGGAAGGCTGTCCAGGTTGACCCGCCTCCAACTCTTTTAGCATAACAGTTGGCGTTGACGTGACGAAATGAAAACAAGGAAGTTAAGCAATCTTATCTGATTGACTTGAACCCCGAGATTGACCCAGACACGTGGTTAGACGTAAATTTCAACAGCTTACCTTGGCATCACGTGATTGACAAACTGGAACCCGAGCTCTGTCTCATCGCGAACGCTTCTGCGCAGCACCAATTGTAACAACCCATCACCTTCAGCATCATGAACTCCCTCAGAGTCGCTCGGGCTGTGTCTCGAGTACGCCCTACCGCCTTCCGCGCTCCAATCCAGCGACGAGGCTACGCTGAAGTCGCCTCGGACAAGATCAAGCTCTCCTTAGCCCTACCGCATCAGGTACGTTATGACCCATCTCTCTCACAGCTTGGACTCTTGATGTGGCATCGTACATGATTTGTTATTGGGTATGGAAGGCTAATTGGACTCTTTACAGGCTATCTTCAAGTCCCAGGATGTGTATGTTCGACCCCACACACCGACACGAAGCTCAACCTGCAATTGGACACATGCTAATAGGAGAACATTATAGTGTCCAAGTGAACATACCAGCTGAGACTGGTGAGATGGGTGTGCTCGCAAATCACGTTCCCTCGATCGAACAATTGAAGCCAGGCTTGGTCGAGGTCATCGAAGAGAGTGGAGGCAGCAAGCAATTTTTCCGTATGCTCTATACGAAAGAATACAATAAGACAAGTGAACTGACAAGATCTATAGTCTCTGGTGGATTTGCTGTCGTGCAGCCCGACTCTCAATTGAGCATCAACGCCGTTGAGGGATTCCCCCTCGAAGACTTCAGTGCCGACGTGAGTACGGAACATCATGTTCGACACGCAGAGCTGACAGTGTTGCAGGCCGTGAGGAACCAAATCAACGAGGCTCAGAAAATCGCCAGCGGTAGTGGTAGCGAACAAGATATTGCTGAGGCTAAGATTGAACTGGAGGTGAGTTCTCATCACGTACCAAATGATGAACAGCATATTAATCGCAACAGGTACTTGAGAGCCTACAGGCTGCCTTGAAATAAACATGTACATAGTTTAGCCAGTCGCACGATGTTAGTACAATCTGTACAATAGGAATGATGGTGTAGACTACCAGCAACTTCCACTCAGATTCCAAGAGCAGGTGCGAACTGTCTGTTTCGATTGCTAGTACTTCCACCTTGAGTTCCTCGCCATCCCATCTACAACGCAGCATTGAATGAGAAGTTCATTCTCACCCCTTTCTCTTTAAGTGCTCATCTTTTACCTATTGTCTTTACATTAGAACAGCTACTACACGACAGGAAACAGTCTTCACCTTCGAATCTTCGATTTCTTTTGTCCCTTACATACATCGCTCATATACGACTGCGTTCCCCTTTGGGCTCTCATGAGCTTTCCTCGCAAGACCCCTCTATCGACAAGCATTCGCGGTCGAGCAGAACCTTACACCCGGGATCGTTGGTCACAGTACAGGTCATCGCAGGACAATGACAAAAGCGCCTCAATTCTATCAGGGTTACCGAGACCCAGAGGTAGCGATACCAGTGGTCAAGTTGACCAAGATACTAAGCAAGCTGGACCAGGAAGGCGAGACAGCACAATTGCCCAGCCACAACCTCGTGTCCCAAGTTTCAACAGTTCTCGGGACAGTTCTAACACTAGGAGGAATCCTTTCATGCGGCGTAGGCAGTCGGGCATATCGCGTCGAGCGACCGGAGAAGTCGACGCTGACCGTTCGAATGATCGACGGCGTGACTCGAAAGCTATGCCGGAAACTATAGCTGATCAGTCTTCGAGACCTACTACTTTAGATCCCTCTGATCTCCTCTTACTCCCTCAACCTGATGACAAGGCCAAATCCATTCAGGGTCTGGAGCCTAGGCTGTCGAATGTTCCATCAGATGCGTCCTACAACACTGTCCGTCGTCCTTCGGATTCCTCACCACCTTATGAGAAGCTTCCATCGTCAAGCAGTGACGTAAAGCCGTTAACATGGAAGAGTTTTGACAAAGGCATCGACATTGACTCACGAGGCGCCTACGGACGTCGTGGAAGCAAGCATTTTGGATTCCCCGGAGCCAAGGCAGAGAAACCGGCTGTGCCGAATCTGCCACTTCCAACAGTCAAACGTGCTTGTGGTCACTATGAAATTGTAGATGTTGATGAAGCTCGCCGACAAGCTAGGCATTTCAGGCTCTACGGCGAATATCCTCGGGGCTCGAGCTTGCTGCATGAGCGCGGTGTTAAGGGTGGTTTCCATCCAGTTGGAATCAAGAATCGGCACAATCTCGAAGCTACATCACCCTGGGTTGTCGGTATCGGAGGTGGGAGCGATCTAGAAGGCATGGACCTCTGTAAGAACTGCAAGATAAAGCTTAGACGGGAAGATGCAGAAGCACAAGCCAAACTTCGGAGGTCACAAACTGAAGATGGCAAAATCAAGGAGGGTCAAGCTGCTCGAACCGCTCAGTCACCTACGCATGACGATGATACAACGCAGAGTCCCAAAAGATACGGTAGCGCATTCGTCAGAGGTACTGACACGCCAAAAGATGATCCAAAAGTAGATCTTAACGCACCATCCTTGACTGCCAAGCTTGACAATCTCGCTTCTCCTGAAGCTGATAACAACAGTTTCCCACGGGTTCAACCTTTTAATGCCACACGATCCGATTCTGATATCCAGGAAAACGATACTGGCTGGCGGCGCCATCGGGAGCGCTCTGATACTGATGACTCGGATCATGGTTTCAACCCCGAGCCAACTCGTGTTAACACCGACGCTCAGATGATAGCTAAGAGGGGCTTCCTACCTTACAAAGTTCTTGAAGGCGATCGCACTGTAAAGGCACGAGCAGAGTCGTGGGATGCAAAAATTGACGACGAGGACATACGGCCATTACTTCGAGAAGCTTCACAATTTGAGCCTCTCAACGATCTTCGTTTCTTTGAGAAGACTAGCACACCCTCAGCAGTGGGGAGCCCGGCAGCAGCAGAAGTTTTCGGTGATGTCCATCAAGAACTGAATGGACCAAGTATATCTATTGCTAACGATATGGGCCGTCTCTTCGATCGCATCTTGCTTGAACACCGTCATATGCTTGGATCTGTTGTCGAGAACCTAAAGTCCAGCGACAGTCGTCTGTCTTTGGGCAGTCGTCTCGCTCAGGAGCTTTCGACTGCACGAGCTGACATCTTGACGAATACTTGGCATGTCCATCTACCCCCGCAGCGTTATGATGAAGACCTGGTCGGTTCAGCAGAGCACGAGGATCGTCAAGCAGCGCGGGCCCTCAATGATTACACGCAGAGCTCTATTACAGACATACTGAGAATCATCGACTCTGCTGCAAGTGATCTAGGCGTCGACCTCCACAATGCGTCCCCGGTGTTAAAGGCTCACCAGCATGCTCCACCTCTATCTTCTGCCGATGGAGCTGGCGATATGATGTCATTCGTTGATGGTCCTAGTGAGACGATATCGTCCCTCGACGGATCTAGCGATGGTGTTCGATCTCGTTTAGACTCCGCTGATCTTGCCACTGGTGACAAGACTAAATTACGCAGCTTTTGGGAGCAATGGTCCACTGGAGATCCGAATGGAGGTATACATCTAATGACCTCCGTGCCACAAGTGTCGAAGAAAAATGGCAAGGAAGAACGGACACCAACGCAGTTTGAGTCGTTTCCTGCCATTCTATCAGATTCTATCCACATCCCAACAGTGCTGTCACCAATCCTTTCCGCAGCTGAGATCTCGCGTCCCGGAAGTGTTACTCCAAAACCTTTCGAATCGGCAGAAGTCACTTCTCAGGCCATATCCGTAGGGGGTATCGGAGACTTGTTCAATGCGATTCAAGAGACGGGTTCGCAGATAGTACATGCAGTTGTTGACGCGGAAGAACGCGCAGTCGACTATCGAAAAGCGTCCTTGCCGCCGACAGAGGCCAGAATCGGTAACGATGTAGAACCTGGCAATCGGCCATCATCAACGCCTGTCGTGAACGAGTCTCTCGATTCTATGTCGATCATTGATCCAGACAAGGCTTCTGTCGGAACTATCCATGTCCCGCTCCCACATACAATACGTCCAGTTGCTCATCGCTATGACGACACATTTGCTGTGAAAACCGTGCGAGATGTCGCAGAGAATACTCCAACCCCACCGCATACCCCAATACAGCCGCGTATCGAGAACGTTGTCCCTATGTCTCCTCCATCACCTGTTCACGCACACCGCTATGGCAATTCCGGCGCCGGAAATGCATACTCCAAGAGCGCATCTCAACCCATTACTACTCCACTCCTTACCCCTAAAGCAGCAAAGGCTGTAGATCCTTTTCTTTATCGCTCCGATTCCGTTCGAGGCGTGTTCTCAAGTCGACAGCTGTCCCGCAGTGAACTGAGCCTTCTCGATATACACATTCCACGCTCGCCCAAACGGCCCAGAAGTGAAGACGTGTCGGATCTCAGCAGAGTTAGTAAGACCGAAGGTCAACAGACTCGCCGCGCTTCGGTCAATGTGCCGTATTCGATGTTCATGAAGCAGCCGGCTGGGCTTGACACCCCTGGCCCAGATATGTCGACACCACCTCCGACAACATGGGATCAAGAGAGAAGATCCCTTGGGGGAACAATCGATAATACGGGAACGTCGAGTTCAGGCCTGAACTCTAATGAATTTACCATGAACACTCCGTCAAACCCTAGTAACAACTTCACCGACGCCGCGAGGTATCAAATACCTCCTCCAATTCCTGCACCCCCAGTTACCGAACGTGGAGTTGAAACCAAGTCTCGTCCTCAAGGCTTCCTCGCCCCATCTGTCCGCCGCCAAAGCACTATGAAAGACAACATCAACACAATGTACACACAACCGGCCCAGTCCATTCCTACCCCAGCGAGACGCAGGAGCTCCGGTACCTCCGCCCAACCTCCAACAGCACCTAGTCGTACCCCAACCTCAAGCACATCACCTGCCCCACAAGAAGTTTCAGCACGCCTCCTCGACTCCCCAGTTCCCACGCGACGATCGACCGTCCGCCAGAGCATCTCAAGCCTGAACGCTGTAGATCAAAGTACCGACCCAACAGACCCACAGCGCCGCCGCTCAAGTGCAGGTGTCCCGAGTACACCGGAGCGCAAGCCTACATTCAAGCCCGCTGGACCTGCGCCGAAGCAGAAGAAGGAGAAAGTCATGCACGCCGGACCATCGAGAGTGTCTACTCTCCCCAAACCAGTCCCAGCAATTGCCAAGGATAAAGACGACAACACCCCAGCTGGAGGTAGCACCGGGACCGTCAATCCAAACCCTAGATATCCAGCCGGCGGCGTCTCCACGCGCAAAGGCAGATTCGAAGCTCCCGGCCTTGGCGGGGCGAATGCGAAGGCTGATATCAGGGCCAAGGAGAAGGGCCAGTGGAGACAGAGTGGTTTGGAGGCGAAGAAGGCGATTCAGGGCCGGGCGGTGGGGGTTTTGGGGATGAAGGGTAGGTTTGAGTGAGTTGGTTGGTGGTGATGGTGGTGGTGATTGTGATGGGTGGAAAGGAGAATGGAAGTGAGCCCCTGAGATGTGTTGTTAGTCTGTTTTGTCGTCGTCGTTCTGTTTGCCCCCTTTTGATCGCTCGAGAAATCCTAGATCCTAGATGATGATGGAGATGGAGAGAAGTAGAAGAAGAAGGAGACGCGAAGCACCACCTAGATAGCGTTTGTCTTTCTAGCTTCATTAAAATGAGACTTTTCGATCGATATGCTGCTGGTCCTGGGCTGGTCTGTTTGAAGCACGGCTGGGCTCTGTTCTGAATGTACTGCTCATGATGATGAAGCTCTATGCCCATGTCCCTCGAAATGACTAACTATCTGACTAACTATCTAAGTATATGATGATATGGTGGTATGGTGCTATATCGTGGCAGAGACATGTTATAACATGTCCTGGAACAGCTCGCTTGGTGTTACTACTTGTTTGTAGTTATAGAGCGTGCTACTACTCCACTCCTAAATAACTAACCAACTAGAACCGACCTATTTTTTGGGTTGTGAATTATGGGTATGTTATAGATAGATAGATAGATAGATGGATAGATAGATGGATAGATAGATGGATAGATAGATGGAAAGCATTGTGATCGGTCATCCATAGATACTCCCCTACGCAGACTATACACAGAGGTATATACGGCGCAGAGCATATGGCAGCACCAGTCACGTCAGTCAGTCAATCAATCAAGCAATCACACCGCCTCCCTGGCCCAAGATCTCATCTCAAACACATCTCATATTGCACCACGCACCACGCACCATACAAAATAGGTGACTAAAATCTATTATTCCCACCTAAAAACAGTGGTAATTCTCCCTCTACTTCTTTTTCCTTTCATCTCTCTTACTTATAAGATTTATAAAACACAAGCCTATTAATCGCTCACAGCACCACTTTCCCCCATCCTCGCCAGCCTGTCACTTTCTTCCACCCTTTCTTCTTCTTCTTGTTCTTGTTCTTGTTCTTGTTGTTCGGGTCCACCAGCAACAACACCACCTTGTTTCGTATCATGGTCTGCGGGCGAGGGCGAAGCGACGATGCCGGCTGGTGGGGCAGGATGGCCAAAGGGGGCGCCGTCTTCTTCGGCGTCGAGTTGCATGAGGTATGTTTCCCAGATTTCGATGAGCTGTGAGGGGGAGGGAATGTTAGCAGGGTGATTCTTGAGTGTGTGATAGAATATATCAAAGGAGGAGAGAAGTATTATTGAACAGGGGGGAGGGAAGGGGGGATAAATCATCACAAGACTCACCTCCTTCTGCGCCTCTACAGCACTCTCCAGATACGTCTCCACGCCACTCTTAAAGTCCTCGACTTTCTCGCGCTCAAACTTCTCGAGCTCGGCGCGCATCAAGCGGCCCATGTCCTCGAATAGCAGATGTGCCTGGTGCACGCGACGCTCTGCATCCATGACGTCTGCCTGCAGCTGCGAGATGCGGTCTTGCTGGCTGCGGCCTTGGCGAAGCAGTTTCTCTTGTGTCGTCTTGCGCTTTTCGAGCTCGGAATTCGCAGAGTGCCAGGCGTGAAAGCTCTTCTGGCGCTGTACGAATGCTTGCTTCACGGAACCAATGAGTCGAATATATTCGTCGATGACGATGCCGAGGGTAAGGACGTCTTGTTGTGCTTGTCGGTCGTACAGTTCGCGGATTCGCAGCTGGATATCAGATAGACCGTCGAGCGGACCCGAGAGCGAGGGCGAGAGCTCCACGGAGGCGAGGGAGTGTAAGCTGGCGGAAAAGTCTCCGCAAGCCTCTGCGAGACCCTTGCGCTGGGCGACGACGGTATCGGTGGCTTTCAGAAGTGCTTTGAGCTGTGTCTCAAGGGCGTCGAGATAGATGCGGCGATGGTCGAACCAGTCGTCGTGCTCGATGAATTTACCGGAGCTGGAGCCTAGCCCAATGGAGCCAAACATTCCTTTGCTCTCCGTAGGCAGAGGCTCCTTGCGCTCACGATTCTTGATATCAACGTTGAAGGCGTCACTTTCGAGGAACAGCTTCAGGTCGGAGTCATGTTGGAGCATAGGATGCTGGGCGGTCTTGTTGAGCATACGTTCCAACGCCGCTCTGCGAGACTCCACAAAGTCTGTGTCAAAGCGACCAACTGCTTGCTTCTCCGGTGGAGGAGGTATTATCACACCCGGGCTATTATTGTGTAATTGATTGTAAAGCCAAAGGAAATCTCGATAACGGCGTGACACAGAGAACTCGGATTGGCGGTATGCTTTCGACGTAGTCTAGACACCCTAATCAGTCAAAGGTCAAAGTAATCACAGACAGGCAACTCTTACCTGCGTGCGAACCTGATACTCCGTGTGAGAGCTTGTAAGATCGCCGACCTTATGCGGGTCTCCAACACTGATATGAAAACTCGGCTTCGCAGCCTGTTCCACGCTCACGCTCGGCTGGCTCTGTCTGTTGCGCTGGTCATTGCTAGCAGGCTGGACAGGCGGCGGCACTCGCGGTCCCTGATGTTGCGAGTATGGGTCATCCTCATCATCTTCCAAATTCACAGAGTCCATCATGCCCGCCAGAGACGGCTGCGATGCAGACGGCGAGGTAGGTTGTCGCTGTGTCCGCACCGGCGCGAGCTGCTCTTTGCGAGGCGGAGCAGGAGGCTCATCTTGAAGTGTCGAATTACCAAGTATGTCTGATGAGGCTCCTAGGGGGCCTAGAGGATCGTCTACAGCTTCGAGTTTGGTGGATTGGCCGCCATAGCGCTTGATACGAGAGCCTCTGGCGCCGCCGGTTCGTGGTGCGGGAGAGGAGGCTGCTAGAGTGTCGGATTTAGACTGGTCTTCCTCTACGATGTTGACATCAGCATCTTTTACGCCAGTATATAGCCTGTCAGTCTATGTACCTGGGACAGTAGAAGACTCAATGTTGTCCTTGACTTTCGGTATGTTCTGGCTGGAGTTTGAGCGGGACGCTGACGGTACATCTGTATTGCGCAATTAGGATTGGACTTTATTCGCTGCAAAGAAGAGCAAGAAAGGAAGGTTGGACATACCACCCCATGGAGAGCTGCCTTCATCCCCGAGGTCCATTATGTTCATAGGCTGGATGTTATGGTGGATAGAGCGTAAGGTCTCAAGACTAGAGCTCCGCGTGGTGGTTGCACCCGGGTGCAGTCTACCGCTCATAGGACTTGGCGGGGCGGAATGGCGGGGCGGAGTGCCAAGCTAAGCCTCCCTAATTAACAGAGATCTTTGATACCACAGGTTCGAAAAGTCTAGAAAAGAGGGTAACTGTATCCAAATTGGATATGATGGAAGTGCAAACAGTCGCAGAAAAAAATCTAGTCTCGTGCTCTTTTGGACATAGAGACTAGTTAGACACGAGGCGACCGCATTGACGGTACGTTCTATTCCTTACAAGACCGCCTACCAAGCTAGTTCCCGTCCAATGAACGTCAGGAGACACGGCATTGTTTACTTTACTCACAAAATAACATATATTTAGAAATATCTGCTACGCTGTTTTAATATTGGCATGACGAGAACCGGGCTGTCCTTGGCCACAAGCATTGGTGTCATGCCGCTAAAGTTTAGATACGCAAAACGCCCGGGGTTAACTAAAAAAACCGATTCCTTCCGATACTAGAGGCTCTTCCTACACTATAAATAGCAAGGGAAAGGGGGTTGATCTTGTAGGATAGTAGGATCTTGTGGTACCACAGAGAAAGCCATGTTCTATGCCCCTGAGAGGTCGCCTTTTCAGCCAATGGAAAGTGGGGTCGTCGTCGAATTCAACATGAGCAGTATGGCATGGCAGTCGAAATCAAATATCCCAGCTTAGGGGCTCTCGGTGCTCATCACTGGCGGAGAAGTTTGAGAGAAAGTACGGTAGTAGAACATTTGTGGAAATGAAGGGAAACATAGTTCCGGTAGACTATTCGGTGCGTATCACACATCCAGACCAAGAACAGCTCAAATGAACAGTGATGTTGGAACATAAGGAGAGCAAAATGAAGGAAGGAACTGCCTGGAAACCTGCTACAGGAACATAAAGACGTGATATGGATCCGTATCCGCTGATTCGATTTCGAAGTATACTCATGAAGTGCAACATTCGAAAGGTGAATGTCTAATAAAGCTTTCGCCCGCTTGTCTTGGACCGAAGTAATCACATAGCCGCCAGCCGTATTGTCTTAATTTCATCCTTCCGATACCATGGAGTCGACCGTCGGCTGCCCGCTGCGTGCGATTCATGTCATTATAGCTGTTGTATGGAGGCTGCATTCCTACGCTCTTTCCACTCTTATCATGCCACCTTCCGCAGAAAGTAACACGGATCGTGTATCGAACAAAGGACCATACCGCGGTCCCTTGTTATGAGAACAAATAACTCTTCTGCCAAGGTTTATGAGCTTGGATCAAATCGAGGCGCCGGTTCGAATCGTTGGTAGGGACGCTGGTACATGGGCGGTAACAAGTATGATTGGAGCCCGTTCGGAGAGTCGGACCGGGTCGATTAGGTTGCGAGTAATTCGTAAAGTGTCTATCTGCGACCGAACCTGCTGCACGGAATATTCGTCATAATTTTCATTATAATGTGGTTGATCACTTCTTCTGTTTGCGAGGGGGAGTGACGGGTCGATCGGCACCCTTGCCACTGTAGACGTACTTTTGTTTCTTTTCGGCAGGTTTGAGAATCTGGTTTATATTGTCAGGACTTCGTTGGTCGCTACAAGGAGTCAATAATGCATACCTGAAATGAGCATAACAGGCTTTCGTCCACGCTCATCATCGCGCCCGCATTATCGAATTCGCCACAGTAATTTGGCGCACTGAACAGTGTGACCAGTTGTCGTTTCGAGAAGAACTCGTAGCCATCCTCAACAACTTGATGCGCACGACAGATAAGATCCATGTCATGCTTCTGTAGGAACCGAGAAACCACGTCTGGCCCGAATGTGAAGGACACGCCACGATCGTTTTCTGACCAGCCAGTGATGTCTTTGTCGGGGTCAGACCATAAAAGATCGCAAAGAAGGCCACAGTCGGGGATCTATGATATGTCAGTGATTTGAAGCTTGAAGTGACGGGGGTTCGATAATTTATGCGATCTAGGTCTCGACTTACATCAGTGGGTCGCATCACTCGGCGAATCTGCTCCATAGAGTTGAGGTCTGGACTGAGACCACCGTGCATGGTGAAGATCTTTTCGTCAATAATAGCGGCAATCGGTAAGCAATTGAAGCAGTCTGTGAACGTCTTCCACAGCTTGATGTTATACCGTCTCTTGCATTCGTCATAGAATCCATAGATTCGATTGATCGACGCACATTCGTGGTTGCCACGCAGGATGAAGAAATTTTCCGGGTATTTGATCTTGTAGGCGAGGAGTAGGCAGATTGTCTCGAGTGACTGCTTGCCACGATCTACGTAGTCGCCGAGAAAGAGGTAGTTGGCCTCTGGTGGAAAGCCACCGTACTCGAACAGACGCAGCAGATCATAATATTGACCGTGAATATCGCCGCAAATCTGACAAATGTTAGCATGATGCAAGACAGAGATGGAAGATATTGTGAGCGGCGCGCAACGATATCAAACATGCCTACCTTGATAGGTGCCTCCAGCTCAAGCAGGATGGGTTGGGAGATGAAGATCTCGCGAGCCTTGGTGCAGAGAAAACGAATCTCAGTCTCCAGCAGCTGCACTTGTTTTCCAGGTCTGCTACCTCTTACTTCCAACAGCCTATCTATGATGGAGTCCAAGTCCACCTCATTCTCCGCCATTGCTGGCCGTTACAAGCGAACACGAAAAGTAGGTTGTTATATGAAGACGCTTTCTCAATCTGTTCTAGACGCGATGCCCACCGTGGTATGTGTATCCGTGAAGGGTGTATGACCGAGTCTGTACGCTGCTTTGGTCAGTGTCTGTAGTTGAAAATTTGATGACGCGGAGGGCAGTGAGGGCGAGTCGTGGTGTTGAGCAATGAACGAGTGAAGTGCTTACGTTGAGTGATGGGAGGAGCGTCGAGGCTCACGTCCAAGCGAAGTATCTTCTGCTTGCGAAGTTGTGTGGTGATCTACACGAATCTTCAATTGTAGTTTGGAGGCTCAGAAGCCTGGGAAAGAACAGGTGCCTTAGGCCGACGGGAGAATCACGCGACAGCGAATAGGGCGACGTGAGTCAAGTCTCGAATAGGAAAGCTTGTCCGCGACGATTGAGACGAAAGCGAAGGAGATGGCTTGAGTGAGCGAAAAGAGATGTGGGCGTGGGGTTGTTGTGAACGCGATGCCTCCGAAGAGTTGGCGGTTTGGGCAAAGTAGGCAGGCGGAGCTTTTTTCACCGCTAAAACGCGAATAGGAGTGGTTGAGCAGGAGAGAGGAGGCGTCTGGGACGTCGGCAACAAGAGTGCAGAAAGGCGTTAAAGTGGCGAGGGATTGGGGCAACGTGCGAAAAGAGTTGCAGAGAGATGATGGTGGAGAGAAGATTGCTGGGAGCGCGGTGATGTTGAGTTTGCAGACGGCGTGCTAGAGCGTCAGCCAGAGAGACAGAGAGACTGGAAGAGAGAGAGAGAGAGCGCGGGAATGTTTGAAGAGAGCGCGAGCCCAGTAGGTCTCAGTTGGTTGGTTCTTGGTCCCCTCACAGGCTCACAGACAGGTCGCCCACCCCCCCAAAGACGGGCGCCCGATGGCTGCTAGGCTGGGTCCCGGACTCGTTGAAAGGGACGTAAATCTAAATAATACTAATCGCGCCAATCGTTCCCCTTCCTCCTCCCCATCCCGCCCAGGTTTTTTTCTACTTTGCGGGCAGCAGCCAGACTATTATAGTGAGAGGAGTAAACTTTGATGCAACTATTGGACTGCTCGATTTATTCCATACGTGTGTGTGTTTGGGCAGTACGTCACTATATTCTGCCGACTGTGGCGTGGGCGACAGGTAGCTAACAATGACCAGCTACCGACAGGCTACTTACTACAGTACATCCGTTTAACCATAAAGAAGAGATATAATAATTAATGATCCACACAAGCAAGCTGCACGTCGGCACCCAGCGGCGACTTGTAATGCCTCCTTGTTGCCGTACGTAACTATATGATAGAGTGTGTGAGGCTGTTGTTAGCCAAGTGGGCCAGCAGCGGCCAGCTAAGAGATACCTGGGCAGCGGGGGGGGCTCTTCAGGAGGGGCTTGCAGATTTCCGCCCGCTGCTGACCTGCGAAAGTGGCCTGGCGAAGCGCCCAGTGAGTGCAAGCAGCGTATCATCATTCCAATTGCGCAACATTTAAAAACAATAAATACCTGTAACCAGCATGGAAGAGACAGATGGCAAAAAGTCTCACTGGCTCCCCAGCCTTGTCTCGCCTCGCCACGGCTTACTGGCTGCTGCTGCTGCTCCAGGTTCCTTTCGGTGCGGGACCACTGGGCGGTGCCAAGTTCCCGCCGCTTGCTGTGCCACGCTGCTATAAGAATCTACTACTCCCCCAGATTATTCGCTCGGCATCGCAATATAATTCTAAGATTTTAGTTGCGGTTGTGGTGTCCGCTACCGTTCATGTGGCGGAGTCTTTTGTTTTGTACAAAGCTGACTTAACTACGACTCGTACGGCGTGGGCATCTTACAGTGGATGGTTGCCCCCGGCATGGGCCTCTCTTGAGGCTGCCAGAAGCCCCTGAGCCAGTCGCAAGCTCGACGTCAACTGTGGAGACGTCCCGAGCAGCCAACAAGCACAACACGCGTTCAGCACATTCAGCATAACAATTTTCTGCACCTCATCACTTCATGCATACGTCAGGAAAATCGACGGCCACTGCCGTCATTGCTCGCATTCATTAGGGTATCAAATGACCCGCAACCTCGCATGCCTTTAACCCAAATTTTAGACTCAAAATCTGATCCACCCACCAATACCCCGGCTTCTATCGCATGCTGGTAGCTTGAAAGAAGAAGAATGAGACAAGGTCCACACATTCCACCATGATGTAAAGAAATATCTCTAGAATGGCATATAGTCAGAGAGAAGGGAAGTAAGTGTAATGCAACCTCCAGCCTTACTGATACAGATCTTGTGCATGAGAAACGAAGTTTTCGCAAGAGAAACATTATGCAGGGTGATATGTTGATGTAGTTCGGAAAATGCAAAAAAAGGACATGCGCGATTCGGTCGTAGCGCCAAACGCCTGGTAATGAATATGGTATACGGAAGGAAATCTGAAGCATCTGCTTTCAGTCGACGGGACTCATGCAAAACGGCCGTACTCAAGTCGTCATCGTAAATTCCAATACTCGAACAAGCATGCCTCAGTGAGGTTACCATTCGCGGTAGAGAAGCTCAACCAAGAGTTCTACCGCTGGAAACAATGTTTTGGCTAGGTGTTCGTGTCGGTCCGGCCGATGCTCGAAGCACCACAGATGGGCTTAGATCACCTCCAGAGTATTTCGCTTGTTGAGGTTTGGCATCCCAGGACTCGTCTCCAAGCGCGCTCAGCCAGTTGTTTCCAAAGTCTTGCTTGAGCGCCTCTATCTTTTTTCTATAGAGGTCATTGCTAACATCGAACTCTGGGGGCGATTTGACTGGCTGCTCTGCAATCTCATCGACGGGAGGAGGTACAAATACTGTAGTCAGTGGTGGTAATTGTGTGCTCGCTGTTTGAGGCTCCGACTTGTGTCGAGTTGGTGTCGAACGCAACGTCCCGCCATAATCTTCCCGTGTTACAGATGGTCGACTTGGCAAAGGACTTGTTTGAGTGATGGTGGATAGCTCGGAATGAGACTGTTGGAGGCTGTCATTCCGAGACAGTTCAACGATCCTTCGCTTGGGCCCCTTTCGTTTCTTCTGTGATCCGTAAGTGAGATCGCTTCTGGTTCGTTGATGGCTTGATGTTGAGCGAGACGATTGCACGGGGTCCGGCGGTGGCCTCGTTTGCGCCGGCTCCGGCTTTGGCTTGGGCGCTGGCCTGTTCTCATCTTCTGGAGGTGGCCTCACGACGGGGACGGACACCGGTTCGGGTGCGCGATCTACCAGCTGCTTGCGCTCACTGTAGCCAGGCCCTTGTGAATCAATCGTGATGTCCTCGGAATAGCCAGGTGTGTTGCGGAAAAGGTTGAAGATGGTGACTCTGTGATTTCCGTGTGTCTTTGTGAATGGGTTTTTGTGCACGTAAAGCTCACGCATGTTCGGACAGCTTGTCAACCGGGCAACTTCTGTCGGATCTGTGAGCTTGTTGTCACGAATGTCTAATCGTTCAAGGGAGAGCAGCCTTTCGATTCCTGCTAGTGAGCCCAAACGATTTCCGCGCAGATTCAGAGTTGTGATAGCTGGCAGCGGACTCTTGCCCAAGGAGTGCAGCGACTCGATCATACAATTAGACAAGTTCAGCGCTCGAAGCGAGACAAGAGAAGCCAGGCTGTCTGGAATTTCCGTGAACAGATTGGATGACAAGTCAAGCGACTGTAATGTGTTCATCACTGGTGTCAAGCTTGTCGCGAAGATGGCAGTGAGACCATTGTCGGCCAGACTGAGATGACGAAGAAATCGCCACTTGGTCGATGGCAAATACCCCATAGTCAGGAGATTGGACATACTACCTCTCGGGGTTTCAGAATGGAGACTTGAGGCTGAACTACCTGATGATCTGCGGATATTGGGTGTACTGGCTCTGCCATAAGTATCTGTGTCGTGTCTAGAGCTTTTTGGACGGGCTGGTGGAGAAACACTTCGTCTTCTCTGACGAGTGGAGGTGCCTCGTTTCATGGGAGAATTTTGTGGACTGGGCCCAGGCACATGTTTGGGGGAAGAGAGATCTGGGGATGACTCTGTCGATCCAGACCTCGCTATATCTATATATCTCGGACCAGGACTGGCTGCAGGCCAAGGCTGTGCAGGAGATTGGGGTATTTTAGCTGATCGTTTCCGACGCTTATCGATGTCGTCTAGGACAATATGTATCAGAAGATCTGCAGGATCCTCGATACCAGCACGTTTGAGAGTCAGACTTTTCAGCTGTTCAGCGAGTCTATCCCAACCATAGAACTGGCGGAAGTCCACATCGCATATCTCAAGCGCACTCATGGTCTTGAACACATGAAGGGGAACAGCACTATCAAATGGAAACTCTTCATATCCAGCAATCAAGCGGGCTTTATGGTCCGGAGCCAATCGTAAGCATGGTATTTTGGTAAAGGCAGAATAAAGGTATTTCAGGTCTTCCTTTTCAACGGCCTTTTGCTTTTCAGATCTCGCTTCGGCAGTGGGACCAATTCCAAGAGTAGACCATAGAGCAGACATGCCTGACATGACACTTCGCATGCTGGATACAGAGTGGATGGAATCTCGGTCAGAATTGCGACTCTTCTTGCGCTGGGCCTGGCTCAAGAAAGACACGTAGTTTGCAGGGGACGCCTCGGTGTGAATGTTCTCGAGACGAACATTCATAGGTCCCACTGCAACGCCAAGCTCTTCATATCTTGATAGCAGGTAGAAGAGATGATGGGGTGTCAAAGTCAGCTTAGCTGGTTTTATTACTTGTGAGCCGAAGTATGGAAGAGGAAAGCCAGACACAAAACCACCGGAGGAGGCTGATGGAGGAGGGGAGCTTGGAGAGGCGCTACCTCCGGAAGCTTGTGTAACATTTCGAGGATTCTGGCGTTGCAGCAAAAGAGCATTTGCAAGGGCCTTTTCGTGTGTACGTACGAAGTATGCAAGGTTCTGCAGCGGATGAGGGTTAGTTGGATTGCCATGGAAGAACGCTGAATCCCAATTTACATCACACAGGATCGTACCTTTATGAATATCTTTCCATCCTCAGTGTCCATTGTTTGTGAGTGATGAGCTGCGTATGCATGAGGATATGAGGTAGGCGTTACGGGAGCAGTCTAAATCGGAGGGATATGTACTTCAACGAACGGTATACGGCGAAGCGCGATCGCTGTGAATGTGGCGGGGTTGATGAGTCCCAGGATCTGCAGGGAAGTGATTGGGATATGGGCGCGCTGTGAAAAGAAGTCAGCAAATGTGATGACTCAAGTGTGATGTGAATAAAGAGGCGCGTGACTCTGCAGGAGAACTTGGAAAAGAACTGGCCAGACATGACAATAGAACAAGAGCCATGTCGTTATGGGACCGTAGAAATATTGACGTACAGAGTTCCACTGAATTTGGCCTAACGCGGGGTGGAGATAGTTCCGATCTCGAAAGGGATCAGGATGCAGATACGCAGCTCAGCGATACGGGCCACAGTACGATGACTGGACAGGGGCTGGTGATTATGCGAAAGACGCCTAGAGGTAGACGAAGAAAGGTATTGACCGGTCTTGCTCGAGGACAAGAGAGCAGCAGGCCGTTGGTATGTTGTTCGCCAAACGGGCAAAACAATCGCCCGTGGGACAAGCCTCGCACCGCTCAAGAGGCGGACAGGTGAGGCTCAAAGGAGGCACGCAAAGCAGCGGCCGTGGGTAGGAGGAGGAGGAGGAGGAGGATGATGAACGAGCAGGCGTTTCAGCCAGCTGAACGTATGTAGGGAGCTTCTTAGAAGAAGAGGACGAGGATGCGGCAGAGAGAGAGGGAGAGAGTATGTGAGAGAGAGCATGCATGGCACAGTAGCGGTTTATGGGTAGCAAGTAGCACCAAATCTACAGTGTATTAGCAGCGTTCACCATCACCATCTTTTGCTTGGCCCCCCCCCCCGTTTCTGGTCCCGCCGCCGCCGAGCAAAAGGGCCGGAGACGCGACAAAATTGAGGGTCCAAAAGGGTGTGAACGGCCTGTGCACGGGCTCGTTATGCCTGCCTATGCCTGGTATGCCTGTGCCTATTCTCCGCCCGCCTCCTGCAAACATCCACCTGCATACATAATTACATCCACCACCATATACACTCTTGTCTTATAATTAATTCACTTGTGTCCCTTCACACTGCTCATCGGTCATCGGCCGATTTTCAGGGTGCGGTGATAAGCCTCACCATCAGCATCAGCATCAGCATCACGCCCACACCTCAACTGAACGCGCCGCGAACCCCGGATTCACAGCCAGCTCGCCTCCTGATGCCTATCTCCCTCGTCACTCGAACACCATTCGACTGTTGCCCATTCGGCCTACACCAATCAGCTCTGCATGCCGGTGGTGGCTGAACCTCTGCTTAGCGGCTGACCCTGGCCGCTGCATTTCCGCTCCATCCACTCTTCAGACGACGATACAAGGCATGTCCAGATCTGAAAATCGATTTCCATCTCATGCAGACACTGCTTGCAGGCTGCGTTTGTGGATCAACTCCACTACGCGCTGACGGTCGCGATTCGTGTACGTACACATACTGTTATATATGGATCCATCAAGCTCTTGACGACGCAGCTATGGCAATCCTCCCTCTCGCACTGAGAGTCAGGATGTGCGACGAAATCTCTTGATGGCCATGGATAATACTGTCTTAGGTGTGATGTGATCGAGGCTTAGTCTTGGCCATGCAGCTGCCGGGCGAAGGTGCAGGTGCTGCATTGCGTCGTCGACTCTAGCCCATTATGGTCTGCTAGGTGCGTGAGATATTACGAATACTACTGCGAGTCGCAGACATGTCCGCTCGGGCTCTCTGGACTTCCTAAGTATGTATTTCGTTGTACCATGATCCCGGTTAGCACTGCGTACAAGAGTCTGAGAGTATGCACCTTCACCGCTCAGACAATCAGACTCGACTCTTCCGATAGGGTCGATGAACAACGATTGGAGCGCGAGCGTGGGCAGCTAATCACAACTGTGGGATGGTGGTGGTTGGTGGCAGCCATCACATGGACCCTCTCCCTCTCCCTCTGGCTCTCCTTAGACCCCCCCCCCTCGAACAAGATTCCGCTGCCTCTCACTTATCACTCTCCTACTGTCCCTCCAAGAAGTTGCTGCTGGACGGTGGTGGTGGTGGTGGACCCTGGCCCTGGTCTGACATCTGGTACCCGCCCGCGCCTACGGAAACGTCCTGCTTAACCTTCATGACCGACCGCTTACTGCATCTTCAGCTCACGTTAATACTTCTATCTGAAAATTATCCACCTGGTTGCATTGAGTGCCGTGCATCCACATTCTCTTTCATTCAGGCTCGCTGCTCACTTAACTGAACATCGTCGCCACCACCACAATTACTCGACAATTACCTCGGGATGTGTTTGACTCGAAAATGTTTTTTATTCCTTGCAGTGGTAAACGCGCGGAGCTGACTATCTGTAGGCACGCGGAGCGCCAATGTCACAGTGTCCCATCTCATTGGGCAACACATGCGCACCGGCCTTTGATATTCACTGTCTCGGCGATATCCCCAGGCCAGAAGTCATGGATGGGCACTGTATGGCAACTACTCAGATATCTATGGAGAACTTCGATCCATCAGGTGCGACATGATCTGCACAATGACATCGTTCGGCCAATTGGTGGACCCATCTACACTGCGCTCGGCGTGTCGCCTCATTCAGACAGCCCTAGCGTGTTTGATAGACACGGCATTCGCGTTCACAATCACTGCTTAGTCCACCACGCGGGCCAATCTTCTGCTGCTGCGCACAGCTGATGCCACAAATGCCGGCGCTCGTGGGATACTGGTCGAGACAAGACGAACAAGCCAAGAGCACGAGCTCGTTGCAGAAACCATTCGTGTTGCAGTCAAACCTCACGCAACAGAGACGGTCATCTCGAACAAAGAGTAAGGGGATGATGGCCGTTGTTGACCTTGGCAGTCATTCCAGATGACCTTCCAAGTTTCCATCCGCCGATTCACCCCACTTGCCTAAAGCGGACAAGGTGCGATTGCGGGCGACAACCTTGGAAGCGACGGGAGTCGGAAACGCTGCCAAGAGTAAAGGCAGGAAGGAACGAAGCGAACCTAGGTAAGGCAGCATCAGTCAGTGGCCAGTGGCGCCTTCCCAAAGCAGGCGGTATTCAGGCGGTGAGAGCCTGACGATGCGCACGGAGCATTATCACCAGCTCTTGGCAGCGCTGCCCCTCTGGTGTTGCGGGCAAGAAAAACTGCCCGGTTTGTTGTGCAATCCTGCATTGTGCATTGTGCATTATTGCATTGCACTATTCTATGCCTAGTGCATTATGCATCTCACTCCCTGTCCGCAGACAACAACAACAACAATTGCTGAATTGCCTCTCGCACAATTCTCCGATTGCTCCAAGGCTGCGACTCCTGCCCGTTGCTGGTGTGCTGCTTGCTGTTGTATCACCAACCACCCTTAGCCATTACCCCATCACTTTTGGCGGAGACCCATGGCTCGGTAAACGTGCTTCTTGCAGCATGCATCTCGCAGAAGCGCCCACCAAGCACCGTTCGCACGCGCTTATCACTTGGTTGTCGCTGTACGAAAATATCCGTGGGCTATGGAGCCAACAACACACTCCATGATACACCTCGTCGGTGTCGTCGATCTCGATGCTATGCGTCGTGCGATATGAGGCTACATGGATGGTCCATACGTACGGCGCCGTATCTGGCCGCGCTGCCATACTGGACACGTTCTAGGGCTCGCGCTAGTCATCATCGGCACTCCTGTACGACGTCGGCTTTGACATCTCATCTCCTTCATGGGCTCGATAGTTACCAGATATTTCTGGAACGTGCTCCTCTCGTGGCGCCCAATGTAGGTCCTGTCTCATACGATCCCCACATGTCGAATAGCAGACCCTGTATCCTCGACATGAGTTGGGCGCGTGATAGGCCGAATCTGTATCCTCTTGCAATACAACTATATGAATATCCGCTCTCTGTGACGATCGGCATTCCTCGTAAGGCTTCATGTCAGGCCTGTCTCCCTGTACTACACCACAAAACTTCAGGCAAGTACATCATCGAACAGCTCATCCACATACACTCAGACCATGCAACACACCCCAAACAGCATATCCCTCGCTCTCGGATCCCGCCGATCTACGCTCCCCGTACTTATTCTTACAAGGTTTCACCCCAGAAAATAAAGTCCACGACGTCAGAGAGGAAGAAAGACAGAAAGAAAGAAGGACCCACGATGACATCACATTATCACAGACCCCCTTACAAACATCCTTGCACCGCGACTTGACTCATTTAGTTTCATCTCACCTCATTCTTATTCCTTCCGTAACGAGACATATTCCACACAGCTTTATGTCCGTGTCCTCCAATTCGACAGACCTTGCATAGGACCGCATCCAGTCCATCCCCTAGAGTCTGACGTACATATACGTACATACATACGCATAGATATTGTGCACACACATATTTATATATTAGTCTATACATCTTTACATCTACATATTTATCTATACCGTAAGCAAGCCCATTTCTCAACATTCCACACTTACACCTAGCTGATTATATCCCCAAGACGAAACGTGATGTCGCTCGCTATCAAAAGACTCGAGCTAAGAGTTTCGGTTGTTTCGAGACGTTTACTTGTTTCCTCGCTACTGCAACGTGAACGTTGTGATGACTGCTTAATGTTTATGTCATAGGTAATAGTGTTTGGGGGAAAGGCGCTAGTATGGACGTAGATGGCGGAGGAGGGCGTGTGCGGGCATAATATGTTGTTCAGATTCGATTGGGATATGAGGCTTGTGTGGTATACACTACAAACTTCTATTCTATTAGGCTCTCTATACAGACCCGCTCGGTTCTAAAGTAATGCGCCATGTCACATGCACACGCACTCACTTCGCACAACTATGATACAGCACACGTTTCATATCCAAGCCCTATCCTCCTCCTCCATATCCAGATCCCTCACTCTCACCCCTCCGCCCATCACCGCTCTCGACATCACCAACCCGGATCCCAAGCCCACTCGCATCACCGGATGAACTTGCCCGTCTATAACCCTGACGCACCGTCAGATCCTGCAGTCCGCGCGCCCACCCGCCGCCGTCACCGCGGTAGTAGTCGCGGTCGCTTGGTGGACTCGCGGGGAGAAGCGCGTGTGGACTGCCTAATTCATCTGTACCCGTGCTTTCCCGCCGGGCACTATCGTCTTCGAAGACGGACGGGATATTGTCTGTCCAATGGCCGGTCGGGGGTGCGGTAGTGTCGGAAAATGCGGCGTTGTCTGGAGGGCTGTCGTGGGCGCTGGGATGGAGGCTTGAGATGGGGGTGTGGACGGGCGTTCGTGAGGTGCTGTGTGTGGGATAGGGGAGTCGGTGGAGGAGGCGCGGGGAAGGTGGATTGGATGCGTCGCTGTCGCGGTGGACATGGGTTGCGATGTGTGCGATGAAGGGCGTGCGAAGGGGTGATGTGGTGCGGGTGGAGACATCTGTTGAGGAGCGTGGACGCGCGAGGGTATGGGTGGAAGCATCGGGATTGGGCGGGCGGTAGGGTAGAAGAGATGCGTCGGAGGAGTAGCGAGGGCGGTTCTGCGTGTGCGTGGGAGTGTGAAGAGAGGAGTCAGACGAGGAGTTGCGGGTCATGGGTTGCGATACAGGCGGGGAGAGAGATGCCCAGGACACAGGAAGGCCGTTATGAGGAGTGATGGGGCGCTGAATGGGGGCGAGGTCGATAGATATAGATGGAAAATGGTGATTGGTGCCAGAGGGATGCGGGTCTGATATCAGAGGTTGGGTATAGGAAGGCGAGGATGATGGGGTCGGCTTTCCCCAAACACCATGCCTCGTCCAAAGGAGACTTTTCTGCCTCTTCCGCACGATGCCCACCCAACGGAAGAGCCCATGAATAGGATGCACGGTGGCGAGGAGGAAATAGCGAGACATGATACGAAACCAATATGTGTACCGCTTGTAAGTACGCATCTTCCTCAGCCCGTCCATGGCGTCGTTGTAGTCCTCAGTATGCAGCCAGCTCTGTTGCATCCATTCGACGGTGATGTAGAACATGGAGATGCCCATGGTGGCGGAAGCAAGGAGTGTGCCTGTACCCCAGTACCAGGCCACGTATTCGTTGTTTGTTGTATCCTGTTGCGTGAAGTCGAGGTAGCCACCGGCGCCACCCCAGGTGCTGGTCACACAGTGGCAGTTTCTGTAAGTGCCAAATGTTTGTGCCATGACTATGTATATGAGCCAGGAACAGTTGATAAGTTCCAGTGGTCGAAATATGAATAATTCACACCGTCGCTGGAGACTCATCGCTCTGTATTGCACTAAGAGTCGACGAATCAGTGCATCGGCTTTGTCTTGAGTATCTATCTTATTATTGAGTGGGAACAGTCCGACGGTAGCTCGAACCAGTCGGACGAACTGGTCCTCCGCATTCCGAAAGATGGCTGAAGTTCTTCGTTTGAGTACAGCCCATCGGTTGTGGGATTCCTCCTCCAGGTAGGCAAAAGTGGCAGTCGAATGGAGACGGCTAGATGTTCTCGCCATCCAGTTAGGAGGCACCATCTCAAGGTCCGATGCCATCCACCATACTATCATCTCTGCGACGATCAACACAAATGCCAGAGAGAAGAAGATGACATAACCTCCACTTCGGCCTGGGGATGTTAGCAGGTGTGACTCTATTTGGGGTAATACTGACATCCAAGACCGACGGTAGGGGTGAAGAATGAGATGGCAAATGCCCCAGCACATCCGCCCAAGACTATGATGATAGCACTAGTAATCTGCCAAAGCTCTCTGATATCAAACCATATCAAGCCCTCTTCTACTGACCCCAAGACCAAGTTTGTCCTGGCTTTCTTCTCATCGGCCAGCCAGTCTCTGCCGCGTTCGGCAACATAACAGTTCTCGATGTCAGACAAGATTGGATGTGCTGCTCCGTAGTGCCAACGCACGCGGGCCTGACCAGCGAACTCTGTGAAGAAGTTACCCATGAAGTCTGAATGATCCTTGATCTTATCGAGCCATTCCTTTAGTTGGTCAAATTCCGGCTGGTCTCGAAACGAGCTGATGAACAAGGAACGATGGAGGTCGTCTTGAATTGAGCTGCGAACGTGATCAATCAGCTCATTCAATTTCTTTCTGATCGACTCGGCCGCAATTGGGTTACGATCCGCGATGGTGCAAAGGATGAGCGTCGGAAACCATGCAAGGAGACAACCGAGGGCAAGATCATGGGCTGTTGAATTTTCGCCTAAGGCGTTGAAGGCAGACTGTATACTGAGTACGAATGCAAACACAAACCACATGGTAGATATGAATACTGTATCGAGTTAGTAGTGATCTATTCGACAGATCACGACAGGGTACAGCAGCAGGACAATGGTCTAGTCAGGACACCAACATTGCCCTCGTGTCAAAGCGTCACTAGACCAGTGTCCTAGTACTGACTGTAATGTTAAAGAAAATTATGTACCTGGTACAACGCCTCTTCTACGCATCTCGCGGAGTTCACGGGCTAGTCTTCTGCGTTTGGTCCGAAGAGTATCATGATCATTCACAAGCCGGAGGTCTTTGCTGAACAGAGCGATTCGCAAAAGACCTTCAGCTTCTTTCTGCAAAGCGGCTTGCGGCTTCATGCTATACTGGTTCATGACCACCAGGAGATAAAGAGAGTCGCGCATGCTACCAAAGTCGGTTTTCCGTGCAGGGTAGTCATCGTATTTGACGGCCATGTCTGCGATCAAGGCACATTTTGCGTTGACTTTGATGTTCCACAGGATATACGACAGACTGGCAATGGGAGATCCGACCCAGCGGTTGATAGCAAGACATGTCCGCTTGAAGGAGTTGCTTTCGAATGGTGCCTGGAGCAGAGTGCCTATGACAGGCAGGATCCATGTTGTAATAGTTGCCGAAGCGATGTCCCAGCTATAAGGATCGGAGTCATGGCCACAGACTGCAAGACATCCTTCAAGAGAGATCTGACTGGTCTCGTTGCGTCTGATGCCAACTACAGGACCGTGCCAGCCGTATTTCGCACGCAGTTCGGCGCCGTCTGTTGTGTTGGCCATGTATCGTTGGCCGCACTGATCGAATTTCATGGCGCCGAGAGAAGGGCCGGTACGCCAGAGCAGTGGTGCCGGGTGTTTGCATCAGTATGAAGCTGCATCGACTCAGCTATGGTTACATGGCAACATGAAGGTTCTGAGGCCAGTGAAATAGAAAGTGAGAGAGAAGGAGAAAGAGAGCAGAATAGGCAACATAGTGTGATTACGAGCTCTGCTTTCAGGTGGATGAAGCGAAGACGAGGAATGAGCCAATCCACGCGATGCATGGCTTGGGGGCGTTTTCTCAGATGGGCGGCTGTGGCTCTCGTATTCACTCGTCAAAAGTGGAGTAATATCGCCAGAGGTGATGTGACGGGCGAACGATGGGGAGAGAGGCATGTCGGCAGATGGATAATACGAGGATAGTCGAGACACTGCCATGTCGTACGATGGATGTATAGACGATGCTGGTGATGTTGATTGACGGAATCAGAGTGTGAGTTTTGGTTCACCGATGAGATGAAATGAAGGATGCAGTGAACGAGGCAAACAATTGTTTTTGTTTTCGTCACCGGTGACCGCGCATGCCTGTCATGGACGTCAGCGCCAGTCAGGTCTCATGTGTGCCTGCCTCGGTATCACATTTACCCGCATTTTCACCTCCAGAAGAAGAAGCGAGGCCGCTAATCACGGCCCGTCAACAGGGGGTGACAGCGGCTGCACGTCCCTTACCTTATGCCTGCAGTGTGATTGAGGAGACAACAACATCACGTCAACACTACTCACGTCCCAGATGCCTCTTGATACTCATGACCACAATTATCATGTCCCGTACCCAAGAGGCAGAAACACCAAAACTAATACTCATTTGCCCTTTTTACCGTAGTCTACTTTCGTGGCTCGTCTTCAAAATCAGGAATCTGCTTCTACCGCCCGTCTACCATGTATGAAGTGCACGACAATATCACTCCCACCCAGCTTCTCTAACAGCGTCGTCCGCGACTGTCCCAGACCAATCGAGTCTGTAAGAAGCGTAATCTCAGACACACATGCGTGCTCAGCCGTATCGCTAGACTCCATCGTCACGAGGGGCTTCGGCAGATTGCCATCCTGACGATACACAGAATCCACCTCCCATGAGGCCCCAAAAGCGACCGACGATGGAAGCGGCGCGAACCCCAATATTGCCGAGTAGAGCTTGGTGAATGCGTCGTATCTGTTCCTGGACACCGCAACCGTCAGCTCGCCCACGCCCAGAGCGCCACACGGATGCGTCGTCTTCGGTACGTCGTCGACCGGCACACGCAGCGCTCTGGGTGTGCGGTCGTGGCACCTGGGCAGAACGGTCAGACTGGCTGGCTGGCTCTATCTATCACTACAGCAGTACTCTCTAGGTTTGGACGCACCAGAACGGCACCTCGCCACGCTTGACACCATGTGGGAACGTCACGTCCCATTGCAGCTCTGCGCCATCAGGCCGCCGTCTGCCTCCTGCAACCGCATCGTCGTAGCCTGCGCCCAGGCCGCCGGGGTTTGCAGCTTCGATATGCTGGGCTACCGCATGCACGTCTTCGGGTGCAGACGAGGTCAACGCCCAGTCCACGATCCCGAACGGCTGCGTGCCCCACCAGTGGCCGTGCATGAGCGTCTGGTCGTCGTTGATGAAGGCGATAAGCTCAATGTAGCTGCCGTCTCGGAACACGATCAGTCGGTTCTCCGTCTTGTTGTCGGCGTGGCGGCCGCCGGGCGAGATTGTGAAGTTGCGAGTCAGCCATTCTGATGGGTGGGTGAGTTCGGAGTATGGTACTTTGATGATGATGTGGTCGATCTTTGGTGCCATTCTGCATTGTTGAGCGGATGGTATGGTAGTGAGTCGTAAGTGTTATGGCGCAACAGCTCTTAAGCGGGGCTGTCTGCCTCAGGTTCCACCAGCTGATTGGTTCTGAGACTCAATGTCGAGGCTCAATGTCTCTGTGACTGTCGCAATATTCCTTTGGCACAGACCAGAGCTGCTTGGACAGTGCTATGTGATAGATTACCAGTCGTATACCAACCTCATCCATCGTTGACGCAGGTACATCACACTTCGACGCTCCACTCTTCCATGACCACTTGTATCAGGCATCTCGATCACCAGCACCACACAGCGAAAGCACACATCGGTCTTTTTCGAGCAGTCTACATTAATTACCCAAGTAGTCCGTTCACCTTCTACTCTCCCATCTCATTATATCATATACCGAAAATTGGCATTCTCTCTGTCCGTCAAATCCTCAAAAGCATGCACCAGCTTCTCATCCTTCGCCTCTTTCACCCCCGCCGCAGCCAACTCATCCTTCTTCCGGTTCTGCCTCACTAGATGCGTCCGCAGCACTATGATCACAATCACTAACAACACATAACACCCCATATGCGTCGAAAACGCAATAAAGTATCTGGGTGCGTCCCAGGACAGAAACACTTGACTGCCGGCGGCATTGCCACCGGCCCAGCAGACGAAGTTGAAGGCTACGACAACCGTTTTCTTGGTTTGGCCGGCGACGTTGCGGGAGATGAGCGACATGGAGAGTGTTTGGGCGGCCCAGAAAGAGAGGACGATGTAGTAGGAGAAGAGCAGGCCGCCTTGGGTTGCCTTGGAGGTGTTAACAACCGTCATGAGGACTATCGTGCCGACGAAGGAACTAGCACATATGTGAGTGACTGTTCTATTTGTTGATGACGGACGTCAGGTGACTTACGGGATGACATAGAGCCCCATGATGAAGCAGGTCTGATTGAACCTCTTGACCAGCCACATTGAGCTCATAAGCACGATAATGATGTACGCACCCAATACCATCGCCAACAATTGTACCTGTAGCGTGGTGAAATTGAACCCCTTGATGATGATGTTCGCAAATGCACCCAGCCCACTAGTCGGCAGCGTTGTGCAAATAGCGATAAGACCATAACACCACGTTTGCACATCCGTCAGCGCCTCAATCACCTGTTCGCGTCTGTATGTCTTGTTCTGCAGACCAGTCTGGTTAGAGCGCACGCGCTCAACGAGCAAGTGTTTGTCGGCTTCGGAGAAGCATTTTGCGCGCATAGGACTGTCGGGCAGCCAAAAGAGCACAAATACGCCCCAGAACACGCTGAAGATACCGTAGCACAGGAATATCGCTTGCCAAGACTTGATCGCTTTATCGTTGCCGATGAGAGTGAAGCAGTATGCGAGCAGGCCGCCCACAATCTGTTGGGCGCCGTTCATCATGTACCTTCTTTCGTCAGCATGACATCCGACTGTGTAGATAGGGGGTTACATACCAGTAAGTGACGGTCTGAGCTTGCTCCTCACGCTTATACCACATGCTGCTCATGACCATGAAACTGGGCTGGCATACGGCTTCGAAGATACCGAGCAGCACACGCACGGCGACGAGGCCGGCGAAGTTGTGGGTGAGGGCGTGGAAGGCGAGCACAGTACCCCAGGCGATAATGTTGAAGCCGAGATATTTGGCAATGGGCACGTGCTGGATAATGCGGTTGGTTGGGTATTCGACAAAAAGGATGGCGATATAGATACATGTGGTCAGCCAGGGGTATTGCTGCCCGTGCAAATTGGCGTCTGTTTGGATGCCCATGATGGAGGCGAAGGATAGGGTGCCTTTATCAAGGGCCTGGAAGTTTGTTAGACACTGGACTTTGATGCAGTTCTGTGAGTAGTCTGACCTGGAGGAAGTACGTGAAGACCATAACTGGCAGCACACGCCTGTCAACCATCTTCTTCAACCGCATGTTTTCCTCGGGGCTGATCGCGATAGCAGTAGCGTCGGTATACTTCGCAAGCTCTTTGTCGATACGATTGTAATTTACGTGGTCTTTCTGCAGGTCGGTATCCCCAGACATGACCCTTTCAACCATATCGATATCCTGTTTGTCGTCTTCAGACGCCACAGGCGCAGTAGCGAGCTCCTTGTCGACTGCCATGATACTGAACTGAAGTGGAGATGATCCGGAAAGTCAGAGGACAGAAGGTGCAACAGATCAAGACCGGCGACCTATAGAACCCACAACAGTCAGCGATGTACCCACGATCTTATACAGACCGGCCATCCCAGCCAGGTTCGGCTCTAGGTTTTCCGGGGAAAGGCAAGGTCGCAAGCTGCACTTAATCAATTTCTCCGGGCAAAGCACGCGAGGTCAGCCACGATGAGGGCAACAGCCTGAGCGAGTAATGCAACGGACCAGTCGATAGCATGGATTAGACTGCAGCCCATGCGGGGATAGTTTCTGGGGCCCCGGAATTTGCCCCCAAAGTTCGTGGAGAAGTACTCGAGTCGGTTCGCATCTTGAGGTTCGGGGGGAGATGAACCGAGAGCTCAGCCGTCGCGTCAAAGCTCACGCGTGATGCTTGCTTGGAGTGTCCAACGAGGCTTGTGCGAGGAACTTTCGTGCTGCAGATATCTGTTTAACTGTGACTGCTCTCCCAACCGAGATTTGGGTCTCACCAGTTCGTTCCTTCTGACCGCAATCCAGATCCTTTAAAGACGCCTCCTGGTTGAAGTTGTACTACCCCGCGCCGCAATGCCCCTTCCCCAGCATGGCATCCATGAGGCCGATATACATGCGAAGATAGACCTGCTCACAGACAACCTCGTAAATATCCAGGACGAGTCGGGCAAATTCCTTCTCAAACTCCCAGACGGTCGAGTCATCGACACAAAAGGATGGAATGGCTGGGAATGGACGCATGGGATTGGCCTCTACGGCTTGTACCAATACTATCAATTAACAGGTTCGTCGAAGACTCTCAGCACCATCAAAGGATGGTTCGATGTTCAGCTGAAAGATGGGACGACAAAGAATATCAATACAATGGCTGTATTCCTCACACTTGCCTACCTGTACGAAGATACCAAAGACAGCACATATCTGCCATGGCTAGATTCTTGGGCCGAGTGGGCCATGTATGATCTTCCACGAACACCATATGGTGGCATGCAGCACATGACATATCTCGGGCCCAATACAAATGAACTCTGGGACGACACTCTCATGATGACTGTGGTGCCGCTCGCGAAAATCGGCAAGCTTCTGAAGAGACCGCACTACGTCGAAGAAGCCAAGCGACAATTCTTACTCCACGTACAATATCTCTTCGATACCTCTACTGGTCTCTGGTTCCATGGTTGGAAGTTCGACGAGACGACGAAAGGGGGCGTAGGCCATAACTTCGCCCGGGCGCGGTGGGCCAGAGGCAACAGCTGGATCACAATAGTCATCCCTGAGATTATCGATCTGCTTGACCTCACGCCAAACGATCCTATCCGCGTGCATCTTATTGACGTCCTCGAGGCACAGTGCCGAGCGCTGAAGCGACTGCAAAAGGACAATGGACTATGGCTGACGCTTCTTGATGAGCCTGAGGCTGAAGGGAGTTACGAAGAGTCATCGGCCACGGCTGGTTTCGCATACGGTATTCTGAAGGCGATTCGAAAGCGATACATAAGCCGCGCATATGAAGAGGTTGCTGTGAAGGCTATCAAGGCGGTGATGGGAAAGATCAATGCAGATGGAGAGCTGCTTGATACCAGCTTCGGCACCGGTATGGGACATGACCTCCAGCATTACAAGGATATTGCAAGGACCAGTATGCCGTACGGCCAAGCTATGGCGATGATGGCGCTTGGCGAATTCCTGAGGACATTTAGATAACATTAATCCAAAACTTACTATTGAGGAGATCTTGAGATGTGAGAGTAGCTATGAACCCAGGCAGCGCTCTCTCATTTCCACCAAGCACATGTTCAGTGTAGTGGACCCAGGGTATCTGCCTAACTGCGTGTAGCCAATCGTGTCAATCCAGAAGACTTGGTGTGATAGTTGCCATTGTATCAGCTGTGTTTACAGCCCCATGTCTCGATTTCTGGTGCCTACAAGATTCAATGACCTGATATAGGCATCACTCCTGCAGATGCTTTTTGCACACTCGGTATTGTGACCCCAGATGGTCCAGGCAGCAAGGCGTAGGCGGAGGTCGAGCGGTTATGGTGGTACTTATGCTAGCATCTTCTAGGGTCTTCACGAAGAATGAGGCGCATGGGTCCAACGGTTCGTTTGCGACCCACCAACTTCACATTTGCATCGAATACTGAGGCTTCCCAGTACGCAGATACAATCTTTAGAATCAAATTGTAGCTATAGAAAGCTCTAGTGTTGTAGTCGAAGGCCCAGGACCAATTATCTTTGCACATCATGTCAATTTTGTTGCTTCCCGTCGTTACTGTGGGTACCAAGCACATCACGTGAAGCACAAACAACATGCAGTTAGAGAGGTCCGTGCACAGATTTCTTCCTACGAGCTCGAGAAGATTCCATCTGCAGCTTCGGCCCAGAATTTAAGCTCCCCCAGCCTCCATTTCTATCTTTCTATAAAACTCTGAATCACTCTCGTATACTCTCTGCACCACAATTCTCCCCAACTTCAATCAAGCAGCGCTACACCTCCCGCTTGCACACTCATACCTACCTTCACTCACAATCTTCTCCACATTAGGTATGTGATGACAACTGCCTGCCTACTCAGAATGCAGCCTCGTCTGGTTCAACTATTTGCGCCGGCGGTGCTTGACTGTATGTCATATGCTAACATGTCAGCAGATACCCAATCCCTCTACACATTTCCTCCAATTCACTATGGCTGCCAACGGCGAGACCTTTGAGTTTCAGGCTGAGATTTCTCAGCTCCTGTCTCTCATTATCAACACCGTATATTCAAATAAGGAGATCTTCTTGAGAGAATTGATCTCCAACTCCTCTGATGCCCTTGACAAGATCCGTTATGAGGCTCTTTCAGACCCAAGCAAGCTCGACTCTGGAAAGGATCTCAGAATTGACATCATCCCAAACAAGGAGGCTAAGACACTGACCATCCAAGATACTGGTATCGGTTTCACCAAGGCTGTAAGTTTTTTAAGCTTATCCCACTACGCACCCGAACAGTGCTGACAACAGCAGGATCTCGTCAACAACCTCGGAACGATCGCCCGATCTGGCACCAAGCAGTTCATGGAGGCGCTGAGCGCTGGTGCCGATGTGTCTATGATTGGTCAATTCGGTGTCGGTTTCTACTCCGTCTACCTCGTTGCCGACAAGGTCACTGTCACCTCCAAGCACAACGATGACGACCAGTACGTCTGGGAGTCCAGTGCTGGTGGTACTTTCACCGTTCAGCCTGACACCGAAGGTGAGCCTCTTGGCCGCGGTACCAAGATGGTCCTCCACCTCAAAGACGAGCAACTCGACTACCTGAACGAGAGCAAGATTAAGGAGGTTGTCAAGAAGCACTCCGAGTTCATTTCATACCCCATCTACCTGCACGTCCTCAAGGAGACTGAGAAAGAGGTCCCCGATGAGGATGCCGAAGAAGTCGAAGAAGAGGGTGACGAGAAAAAGCCCAAGGTCGAGGAAGTCGACGATGATGAGGAAGACAAGAAGAAGAAGACCAAGAAGGTCAAGGAGAGCAAGATTGAGGAGGAGGAACTCAACAAGACGAAGCCAATCTGGACTCGTAACCCAACTGATATCACAACCGAGGAGTATGCCTCCTTCTACAAATCGCTATCAAATGACTGGGAAGATCACCTTGGTGTCAAGCACTTCTCCGTTGAAGGTCAGCTCGAGTTCCGCGCGATCCTCTTCGTCCCCAAGCGTGCACCTTTCGACCTGTTCGAGACCAAGAAGACCAAGAACAACATCAAGCTCTACGTGCGCCGTGTCTTCATCACTGATGACGCTACCGACCTGATTCCTGAGTGGCTCAGTTTCGTAAAGGGTGTCGTCGACTCTGAAGATCTTCCCCTCAACCTGTCGCGTGAGACTCTGCAACAAAACAAGATCATGAAGGTCATTCGCAAGAACCTTGTCAAGAAGACCCTCGAACTCTTCAACGAGATTGCTGAGGACCGTGAGCAGTTCGACAAGTTCTACACTGCATTCTCCAAGAACATTAAGCTCGGTATCCACGAGGACTCGCAGAACCGCAACCAGCTTGCCAAGCTGCTCCGTTTCAACTCGACCAAGTCTGTTGACGAGCTCACCTCTCTCTCCGACTACGTCACCCGCATGCCCGAACACCAAAAGCAAATGTACTACATCACCGGCGAGTCGCTCAAGGCTGTGCAGAAGTCTCCCTTCCTTGACTCCCTCAAGGACAAGGGTTTCGAGGTCTTGTTCCTCGTCGACCCCATTGACGAGTATGCCATGACTCAACTCAAGGAATTCGAGGGCAAGAAGCTCGTTGACATCACCAAGGACTTTGAGCTTGAGGAGACTGACGATGAGAAGAAGAAGCGTGAGGAGGAAGAGAAGGAATTCGAGCCTCTCGCCAAGTCACTGAAGAACGTCCTCGGCGACAAGGTCGAGAAGGTCGTTGTCAGCCACATGCTGACTGGCTCTCCCTGTGCCATCCGTACTGGTCAGTTCGGTTGGTCGGCTAACATGGAGCGCATCATGAAGGCCCAGGCTCTTCGTGACACTTCCATGAGCAGCTACATGAGTTCGAAGAAGACTTTCGAGATCTCGCCCAAGAGCCCCATCATCAAGGAGCTTAAGCGCAAGGTCGAGGCTGATGGCGAGGAAGACCGCACCGTCAAATCCATCACCCAGCTCCTCTTTGAGACCTCGCTCCTTGTCTCCGGCTTCACCATTGATGAGCCAGTTCAGTTCTCCGAGCGTATCCACAAGCTCGTCTCCCTTGGCTTGAACGTCGATGAGGAGGTTGAGACTGCCGAGGAGAAGACGGATGACGCCGCTCCAGCGGAGGCTGCTGGTGAGAGCGCTATGGAGGAGGTCGACTAGATGCCACGCATTGTTCTTCGTTCCGGATAAACAAAATTTGGCGGGTTTAATGGGCACTGGCGTCTTTCTGTGGTGATGATCAAATCTCATGTCACGTCTTTTCTTTGAGCCAAGGCATTCCCTGGAGCCTCGATTAGCTATCGCTGTTTGTGGCTTTAGTTGGTGGTATGGCTAGCATACAACACGGGCACAGGCTTGTGTAGAGGAGGAACTCATGATAGCATGTCTGACTGTAGCATACGAGCCTTCTAATGAAAGAATTCTACTTCAACCTTGATGTTGTAACTTGCGTACCATACTTGTTTGCACTCTCTTAGAAAGCCGCATGACTTTTATTTTAGACATGAAGTTACGCTCACCTCGCACCCTTTGGCTGTATAGGATCACATAAAAGCAACGGGAACCGTGATTGATGAACTCCCTGGCTGGCTTTGGGTTGAGCACGCAACGGCTCATTTGATCGACATGGGCATACCTCGCCGTGTACTCGTGCTTGGGACATCTACTTCAACACACACCCGAACTGTGCTACCCCATTGTCAAACATTCCTACAATCAATTCAGCTCTGCAATCAAGAAGCCATAGCATCCCCGTAGCCCCAGACCAAAGTCCACAACATACCATCAACGAAAGAAAAAAAAACCACCGCCATCCATCCATCCATCCATCCCTATCAACTAGCACACTCACTCACTCACTCGCTCACTCACTCACTCGCTCACCCACCCAAGCGTTGTCGCCCGTGTTATTGCACTTTACAGTCAGTCCACGAACACATGAACACACCAAAACATAGCATAAAAATAAACCCCCAAAAACACAGAGATAATCACACGCGCGAGGAAGACTCAGCATTCTGCCCTTTCATGTAATGGGGTATTCCGCGCTTTTTTGAACATGTCTGTGCTGTGTGGCGGAGTGTGAAGGCGCGAGATTGTTCTGTTGCTTTGGAAGGAGGGGGTGGAGGGATGGATTTGGGTGGATGTGGTGGTGGTGGTGGTGGTGTTGAGGACCTGGTTGCTGGTCTCGGGGGAGTGTGATGAAAGATGGGAGGCTGAAGGAAGGAGGGGGAAAGAGGGCTGGGACGTGTATGTATGTATGGATGTATGTGTGTATGAATTGGTGAATGGGTAAATGGGTGAATGGGGTGGATGGATGTAATGGATTGACATCTAAGCTATTATATCGACATGAAAAACGGGACATGTTTGTTGTACTGTCCACGCAGATACATATGCAGACGAGACAGACTGGAGAGTAAGACGGACTTCGTTTCGATGCATTGCTTAGGCACGTGTTTGACTGACACGAATGTATCACGCTGTACATACATACGTGCATACATACATACATACATACATACATACATCCATCCATCCATCCATCCATACACCTGCTAGAAATCCCATTCGTTCTGTCTCCTGAGGAGTAAAGGCAGCGTTGCTGTGTATGGATGTGGGGATATACATATACATATATAACATCTCCCTCCATCTCCCAACCACAGATATCTTGTCCTCAGGGGAGGATAGACAAGTAGGTCAGACATACCAACCCCAGGCCAAGGGGAGGAAGCAGGTGCTTGTTTTGATATAAGCTTGCTTGGCGGGTTTAAGATTATGCTAGGTTACGGATTGGGCTGTGCTGGGTTGTGAGTGATATGCTGGGTTGGGCTGGGCTGGGCTTTGCTTTGCTTTGCTATGCTATGCTAGGGAGTGAAGGAAAAGGGCAAGGCCGTATATCGAATGAGATGAGACAGAGTGATTGGAAATCAAAGACTTGTGGTGGTGGTTGTGGTGGAGCATGACGTGCTAGTCAGTCACTTAGCCAGCTAGTACTGATCTATTGCTCCATCGGAGAAGGCAAGAGGTTTTGTCATGGAATGGGATCATGGTATCATACAAGTGCGAGTGTGAGTGCGAAGTAGAAGGTTGTAGTGCGTCATCAATACTGTTATTACTAAGTACTACTCCGTCGACAACAGGATGATAGGTCACAAATAGAAGATCTCGAGGAAGAGGGACAAGGGGATGGGGGATTGGGTAAAGAGAAAGAGAAAGTGGAAAAGAGTCGGAACAGTGTCCCGATATGGGATTGATCGATTGGAACAGGACTGGATAGGATAGCATCTGATATGAATGGATCTAGTATGGATGGACGGATCTGATATTGCGCCTTCCAACACACGCCCGCCTCACATCGACAGTACTTCACTATCCTCTCCGCAAGGAGTGAGTGAGTGATTAACAGATAGATCCCTCACTTCATTTACCAAGCTACAAGAGCTGAGCTGAGTAGAGCAGAGCAGAGTTGAGAAGTAAGTCCATGGCGCAGTGCCACGACGCTGTTACCAAGTACAGCCTCAGCCATAACAATGCATGCGCATCCCTTGCTCGAGCGGACTGACGGCGTGGGCGGCACACATCCACATCCGCATCCACACACATATCAAGACACACATCTGAGACATACTCACATCATGTACAAGTAAGGCATACGCTGCCGATATAGATGAGACTAGTGTTGCGGTGGTCTGCCACATTTACGGTGGACGTAGATGTGGTTGCGGACACCTGCGCTCTACTCAAAGGAAAAGCAAAGGGGGGGACATGATCTGAGACGGATTCGCATAGATGCCGATCGAACACGAGTGATTGTGTAGTGATTACATGAGATTTTGCACCGGTGTATAGGGCCTGGCGGTCTTGTTCTTGCAAAGGCAGGCTCTTGCGTAAGACCGACAGAAGCATAGCGCCGATGAATGCATCTGCAGACGTCCTGTTTGCGAGTATGGGATGCCGTCTGTATCATGTAGCTTGGAGGAGCTGGGAGATTACACTGCATTGTCAGTATACAGTGCTGTCGAGGAGAGCTCTTACCCCGCGCTCTGGTTGATAGAGAGATGGATGCTAAACGACGGATTACCTATTTCTTTCTCGCATCCCGAAGGAGTGGATAATCATCACACAGTCAACAACTTGTGGTTATCGCAACATATCCGGCACCGTCGTACGTTCGCGTGGGATAAAATATGTCCGAGAGCCTATCACGACTCTCCAACAGTATGAAGCCCAGTAGCCGTCATATCCGGCGCATGTCTAGTATCTGGCGGATGACCAAGGAGGCAACTAGAGGAGCGGGACGTACTGGCGTCCAAGGGAAATCCGAGCGAAGTGCTAAAACTGCCAAATATAGTTTAAATTCTTACGTGACTGACACAGTCTACTCTTCCTCTTACAGCGGTATCCACGTGCTGCTGTGTGTGTGATGATGATGAGGTGAGATTGGTCAACGTTGAGTCCGACAGTCCATCATTGGACGAGACAACATCGGAGAGAGGTGAGCGTAACGAATCAGCAATAGGGTCTGAAGACTTTTTTTGTAAGATCAGCTGTTGCGATCAGCAAACGGCAGACGTCCAGCTGCCGTGCGACGTCTTGACTGTGCATAAACGAAGAGCTTGACCATGACAAGCTTGTCGATGGATGCTCGCGTCCCCGCACTTTTGCGACCCCACACGCGATACACGCGCCATACACGAGGGTTCTTTTGTGCAGGACGTGATGCAGGCAGCCGCACGTAGTCGCTGACACCGTCTTTTTCTGCATGGATCTATCTAATGGTGAATGTATCAAAGCACAGAAGCACAGACGATGGCGCCATGAGACTCGCGTAGAAAAGCACAAAGAATTGCATCTACCTTTGGCCTTTGGCCTGCGGGCAATTCCGTGACGGGTCGCTGTCGAGGCTGAACGTAACACAAGAGTGGCTGTTGTTGGCGGTGGAGCTGAATATGCACCATCACGAGCACCGAGGTACGTTTGTTGGCATTGATCCTGGTCTCCTCGCAAGGCAGATGGCCGAGTGCCCCCATGAGTGAAGTAAGGTGGCGGTTTGAAGGAATGTAGCGGTGACGGCAAAGGGAGTCTGACAGAAATAGAATGGTTTTGACGATGACAGAGACGGATTGTTGAATTAAGAACGGACAGTAGAAAGCGCTGTGTCAGGTTACAGGTCATGTGTATGCGCAAAACGGAGCATTGGTACAGCGACAGGGACAGACCTTCCTCGCACAAACCGTTAAGACAAGCGACATTTCTGACAAGGAACTGCCAAGTATGAATAGAGTGAGGTCCTAGCACTGTAGTGTTCATGTATGTGCCGCGACTAACGTGGTAATTAATTAGTAGTAAGGGCGATAAAGCAGTATGCATCGCACTGCACAGTTTCACTAAATCCTGTGGACCAGTGCGATAAAGCTGCATGACATGGCAATGACTTGGAATGGATCCATCTATCGCGTCGAGCTCGGCCGGACTGGGTGCAGATATGGCAGAGTCTGCTGTGGCTCTGGCCTATGGGCTATGGCGCGAATTCTTCTCTCGTCCTTTCATTATCGAAATGGAGAGGACAAGACAGGCCCTTGACAGTGAATCGAACCGATGACCCGAGGAGTCAGGTAATTAGTAAGTAGGTGTGGTAGGTGGCCGAAGTCGCAGTGGACGCCACTCGGCACTCAAAGCTAGTCGACACACTTTCTCCATCATGATCAGGGCGATGCGAAGATGGCGCGACACAATTGCGATGCGGTTTCGAGCTATTTAGAGCTCACCAAGTAGTGCATTCTCAGTCAAAATTCTTCAGTTGTGAGCCGAATGATTTCATGCATCATGTGCAGCTGTGCGCATTATAAGCCAGAGGATCAGGGTCTGTGTTGTATCCCTGGGTACGTACCCACGGCGCCACCCCTTGCCCAGAGCGGGATTGCGATTGGGCTGTTGAATTCCGACAAATGAAGGTGTATGAGTGGTTGCTCACCAAGTTCCAAGTCCACTATCCCGATGGCAGACCCCACGCAGTAGAATCCACATTTTAGATCGTTTCACAGACGATACCGGATAGTCTCAGGATGCGGGATTTCTTTGTATGGCCGCCTCTGCAATCCGTCGACGACTCTACTCTATCTACGACGAGCGCACGCTTAGAAATCTCAGCCTGGCCGTGGCTCTGAGTCCATGGCTGGACGGAAGGCTGTGTAGGAGGCCCGGCTGGACGCTTGCAGGCGCGCCGACGAAAGTCATGGTGGAGACGTCCGATATCGTCAGCAGCCTGACGGTGCCATGAGAGTGTGTCAGTGTCTGGAGGTGCAGTCAGCATACTTGCAGCGGTCAGAAGAAGGTAACAGCGGAACGTGAAGCACGATATGGATAAGTCAATGGCGAGCAAAAAGGTACCCGCTGTAACAGTGGTGGGTATGGCTAAAGATGTAAAAGATCAGCACATGTACAGATGTGACGTGGTAGGTCGAGGTAGGGTGCCGGTGACGACGATGACGAGAATGACGGAAATGACGATGAAGATGGGTATCAGGAGGGGCCGAAGTGACATGGCTGCCGGCGCCGGTGGTTGGTGGTTAGTGGTTGGTGGTAGTATCGTGGTAGTGGTGGTGGTGATGATGGAGCTGGAAAGAGATTGGTGGTGAAAGCAAGGGAAGATTATTCATTACAGTACGAATTACTATTATTACGGCAGACCACGTTGCCTGAAATGGAACGGCGGCGCATCTGCCGGCCAAAGTCGACCTGTGCATGCGAGACGACCGACAACAAGCTGCAGGTGGGCAGGCGGACGGGCGCGGGCGCGGGCGCGGGGGGGCAGTACTGTAACTTGGGCAGTCAAATAAGGGCAGATTGACAGAAAGACAACAGCCCAGACCCGCTAAGAAGCCGCTAAGAAGGCCCCAAGAAGACCAAGCGACGGCCAGCCTGACTGCCCACTGCCTGCCCAGCGCGTTGCCCAGCTCTGCCTATGTGTATCTAATTAATACCTACAGTAGCCCCGCCGCCCACTCTGGCCAGCCGCCAGCCATACAACTACTGCGACTGACTACCTACCAACATACGCAAATTTACCGACAACCAGGCTTTTCCATGCAGCTGCTTGCATCCACTTCTTCATTTCTGCTCTAATCTGGTAATTAATTACAGTAACGACGGTCATCCTGTATTATATCATTACTCTAATTATACACAGCCAGCTCTTGCTCGTACGAACAGATGAGAAGTGGACAACTGCTCCTCTGGCCTAATCAACCCAGACATTGTTATATACTATTTACTACCTGCATATGATGAAGAGCCTGATGCCGGTGTGTGGTGTGTGGTGTGCGGTGTGCGGTGTGCGGCGTGCGACGATGGGCCGATGGCGATGCATTCAATGCAGGGCAGGGCAGCGCAGGGCAAAGACAGTCCCACCGCCACCAGCATGAAAAAAAGCCTGCAAACTGGCCCGTCAACTCTCGAAGGGTTCCCTACAGGCTGTTACAGTAACAGCCTAATTCCTGTAATTACCTACCTAACTCTAACCCTCGACAGGGAGATGGCCGGCGCTAAATTCGATGGGTAGAGAGTAATGTCTTTGCTGCAGCGGCCGTAATATCAGTTGCAGCGCTGTTTCCGCACGTAATTCGTAATGAGTAATTTCGACCTTTTCCCATTATTACTATTATTACTCTTCTTATGATCTCGCTCGCTTGCTCTCTTAAGAAGCTTCCAGGGTGAAAAGAATTTACCAGTCAGCAAGCAACCCTCCGGCTGGCTCCCGATCATACACCGCTAATCCACTTCCGCAAGGCCCATCCGATCCCACTCTCCCTCTCTGCCTGTTTTTTTTTTCCCTTTCACCTCCACCTCCGCCCAAATCACCTCTTCATTCGCCTTTTCCCCTCCTCTAATACTTCTCGACAACTCCTCCTCCTTCTCATCCATTGCAACACACCACTCCAACACTCCAACACTCCAACTGACGACGCGTCACGCTGTAGCCGCAACGCTACATTCGTCCGTGCGAACTCCTACCTTCAAACCATCCCACGCCGCCCTAGAACAACACCTCCTCACTTCCTACGGCCACCGCAGCAATCTGCATTGCCACTCTGCGCACACAACACTACTACTGACCTCTCAAACCCGTCCATCTCTCTCTCTAACGTCCATCATAATTCCCTCCAGGGCCAATCCCAGGTCCTTGGCTGTCACTTCCTCTTTTGTTCCGTTGGCGCTGCCTTTACTTCTTCTAACACTCGTCCTGCGAACTTCTTTGTCTTCTCCCACTTAACCATGCGGATATTATAACCCTTACACAACGTCCTGTGGGCGCCGACCGTTCGCCACCATCCATATATACACACACACAGACCCTCGTCTCTGCTGTGCATACACTACACCGAAACACTATCTGTTGCAGCGCATACTTGTTCATCTCTGTTCCCCCGCAAATCAACCTAGCTCTATCTGCTCGCTATATCAACTCCTTCTCGCCATATTCGACCTCACTTCCGTTGTCATACCATTTGGACTGCCTTAACCGTCAATCATAGTATTGATCACATCCATTGCTCTGCAATGGACCAGACCAGTGGTCAGTTGAATGTTGCTGTTGATACAGTATGTGTTTCCTGTGGAGAAATCGCCACAGAGGTCGACGAACCTCCTGATCATCCCCCTCAGCGGACTCCCGGTCCAGTCTCAAGCCTTGCTGCCGAGACGGACAAGTTCACTAAAACAAGGCCCACGAGCTCCCGGAGACAGGAATCCTTATTGACTCAGGCACTTCACGTTTCCGAGCCCGAGACCCATTCTGAAGAGGATCCATGTCTTCAATCTCCCAAAGACTATTCCAGCGCTGATTTGACCAGCGATTGTGGTTTTACTAGCTGCGGAACAAGGAACAGCTCGCCCAGTCCTCCTTGTCCACCGTCTATGTTTAACATACTCCCTGTCTTCAGCAAACTCGATTTTAACCCATCTCAAGTCAAGATCCAGACTGATGACGATCATGTCGTTCCCCAGGGTCAGGCCATGCCCGAGAGTACTCTGGAGGCCAATCTTGGGCGAAAACGGTGCATCACCTTTGCGTGTGGGCGCAAGGCGTCGCCAACTCCTACTCCTACCCCTCGCGTACAGACTCCTCCAAAGATGGAGCAGACTGCACCAGTCAAGCGAGGCTGCACTATCCGCTTCGCATGTCCATCCAAAGTCTTGGCAGAGCAGCCGATGCACCTGCAAGAGAAGAAGCCGAAAATTAGCAGAGCCGCTAGTCCTGCTCCTTCCTTATTGAAACAACGCGAGTCCATCCCAGCTTCGCCTCGCCAACATCGAGACTCGGACTCCACCGTTCGCAACGATAGCCCTAAGAGTGTTCGCAAAGTTGCCTCTACCAACCACAAGCGAACGTTGAGTGGCAACTCAGATCTTGGACGTAGCGAGGCCACCCGCTTCCATGCCTTTGCCAGTGGCAAAGAAGAAGACGACGATTGGACCAAGGAGGCGACATGCCATCGCAGCCGGCTGACTGTGTCTGACACGCTGAAGATTGAAAACTGTTTGCGGAAACTGGGAGAAGAAGCTGAAGAGGAAGCACTGCAAGAGGAACAGGATGTCGATGAGGAGGATGAAAATGAGGATGATGACGATGACGATGAATTTGGCGGGGCAGGTGCCAACGATATGGACGAAGATTCCGATGACGGCTTTCATACCGACAACGAGGCAGGATTTGCCAGCTCGGACGACGAGAGTGATGCTGGCTCTGATTACGACTGGTGGGCTCCCGGACCTGGCGCTGGCTTGTCGACTGCAGCAACCTCTACGGACCATCTTGAGCACATCCGCCCCCTTGGCCGTCGTAGCTTCTCTGACTCTTCTGTTGGCTCGCCCGACAGTGAAGTCGCGTTCTTGACGCACCACAAGAGTTCACCGAATCGTCTTAGACGTAGGAAGCGGAATGCCATCAATATCAACGTTGAGCCAACACCAGAGTTACCGGACAGTACTGACTTTGTCTGTGGTACGCTGGACGAGGATCGCCCGTTGGAGGATGCTTATGCCTCCGCAATCGAGCGTCGCCGAGCTGCAAAGCATCGTACTACTCCCCAGGACATTGATCCCTCTTTTCCAACATCAGACCCTGAGCTCGATGACGACGAGGAAGAAACAAGAACAGGCTCTGTATCCGACCAGCACATGCTCATGCATGGCGCTTTCGATTCCATGGATGAAGACGAGCCGCGCACTGCCCGCCCAAGCAAGAAGGCTACCACTCCAGTCCGCATGCGTTCGCCACCACCGGCAGCCATGCGCCGAACCCGCTCACCCGCTCCGATCCGTCGTGCACATACTGGCACACCTCCAAAACGAATGCGCTCGCCTGCTCTAAGGCCACCTCGCCGCGCATCCCTGATTCATTCTCCACCTGCTGTTCGCGTCTCCAACCTCCACTTCGTCGGCATGGCAGAGCGACCGTCTATGCAGATTGCCGCTTCTCTTCCTCGCGCTCCAGTCATGAACCCCCTTTCTCCTTTGGATTACGACGATGACGAGTCCAACGACCTCCCAAGCCGCGGTGCCATCGACATCAAGGCCGGTCTAGAGCAGAAACGTCAACGTCGTCTTCAGAAACTTTATCAAAAGCATTGCCGCAAGCAGGCCAAGGAAGGTGAAAAGAAGCCTTCCCCTGGCAAGGGCTGCGAGCGCATGCGCGAGATCGGCCTCGAGATGGCAGCATACAACAAGAGCAAGCGTGCCCCGATTAACGCAGCTCCCGCCACGAAGGATCCATTGATGATCTCCGTCTAAGAACATGACACTACATGCAGTCTTTCCATTCCGCTTGTATCGCCTTTCACACAAACCATTATGGGATGATAGTAACGGCTTCGAGATACCCCTTGCATGATGACTCACGAACTATTTCATCAATCCTATATCTCACGCGTGCATTTTTGCGGCATTGGCATACATAATTCTGCGATATTTCACCTTTTTTTTCTTTCTCACCGCTTTTTTTTCTTTTGTTATTCACGGCATGTCTACTATCTCTATCCATCGTTCTCTCACTTGAGAGCTTTCATCATGTTGTATAGATACCGATACCCCGGAGTCGCCGTGTGCATACATGAAATTGATGCATGCGAGCAGACCGGGTTGATTGAGGGGAGAAGGGAAATTGGCTGCAGCATCGCGCCTCCTGGGTGGTGGTGGTGGTGGTGGTGGTGGTGGTGTAGGAGTAGGAGTAGCATATGCGCCCCCCGGTAGCTATGGCAAATACAAAAACACCAACTAAGTTTGTCTGTCTGATGAAACAACATCAAGACTCGTTCCCCATTCTTGCATGCGGCCAAATAGGGTAAACACGGTGTGACCTCGTCTGAATACGGCTGATACGACGCGGACAACAACATTGGACCTTTCTTCCAAGCCCTGTTAATTACCCTGGTTCGCTCTAATGCGCGTAATTTGCTTGGTGTCGTCGTATGACCGACATACATACATACTTGCATACTTGCATACATGCATACACATATACTCTACATGCACCTTTGTACATATATATCCTGATAGATAACTCACTAGATGGGCTAGATGGGCTAGATGGAGATTGTGTATGTGTGTTAGTTAGAATGTTAATTAGTACTATAGTAAGTAGTACGCTGGACTTCTTCTTCCGCGCTGTTCCGGATACCGCTGGTTATCTGGTTATCTAGTTAACTGGCTGGCTGGCTGGGTCCTTTTGCTTTCGTATTGTTTTACGAAGTTGGGTGGTAGTGCTATGTGTTTATATTAGAGTAGGATGTAGAGTTGTGTTATAGTGCACTTGGACGTGGAGGATTGATTGATTGTTATTCATTATTATTCATTGTTGTTCATTGTTGTTCATTGTTGTTCATTGTTGTTCATTGTTGTTCATTGTTGTTCAT